TTTTTAAAAAGTATCCCTTTTTCCCTTGTTATATGTACCTCTATATGTAATATCTTAAAAATTTTGTTATCAGCGACAAAAAGCAGAGATAATATAAAATCAATGAAAACGATGGTATGTACGTGAGTTTATGTTTCCTCCGATAATTATGGATTTTATTGGTGTGCCGACACAGATATCTTATCACAATGAACGGAAATCTCTCATTTATAGCTTTACAGATTCTGTAACAGATGCTATAAATATTTGACAATTAACAAAAAAAAACAATAATTATCCTCATATCCATTCGTATTCATCTTTAGCTTTTGAAATAATATTGTTCCAATATTATACCCTCATCATTGGGGTAAATTTGTTATATATATATATATTTCAAAATTGTTATTTTAATTAGAAAAACAAACTATAGAACATATTACTTTAAGCCTAAAATAAATATAAAATCTTTTTACTAAGTAAAATAAAAAATACAAAAAAAAAGTTATTGAAAAAAATCAATAATATTCTACAGCATTTTTTTTTTCTTTAATGAGAATAAAAAATTAACTACCTAAACTTTTTATTGAGAATATATGAAATAATTTATATTTCTTTGTGAGCTGTCAAATTTCAAAAAAAAAAAAATTTTATCAAATCATAATTCTAAAAAAATTTTTTTTAGAGCTTTTTCATGCGTCCCGTTTTATCAAACTAAATTTTATTAATTTTTTATAGATATTTAAAATTGTTAAATGATAATTTTTTACTATTGTTCGACAAATCGATATTTTTTCAAGGATTCCGTTTTTTACACGTGCCTCCTTCTTCCTTTAAAATGTTTAATATTTATTAAATTTTATTAAAAATGTAATTTTTTTGTATTAAAAAAATTGTTGTAATAGCCTAAAATAAATAGAAAATCTATTTATTAAGTAAAATAAAAAATAACTGAAAAAAAACAATAATATACTAGAGCATTCTTTTAACAAGGATAAAAAATTAATTAAACTTTTTATTGAGAAATATATAAAATAATTTATATTTCTTTGTGCGCTATCAAATTTCAAAAAAATAAATAAATATCAATCATATTGTAAAAAAAAAATTGACCAATTATTTTTCTGAATAAAATATTCAAAAATAAAATTCAATGTTTGAAAAAAAAATTCTCTTACAAAATTGTGAAAATTTTTATTCAGGTTATATGAAACTTTATATAACTTCTCTATAAATAACAATAATAATTTACACAAAGTAACGTTTTAATTAAATAAAAAAAATTGCTAATGTATAGGAAAAAAATCATTTTTAAAACAAGAATTAGAAAAAAAAATTGTAAAACATTTCAAGAGAAATATTATATATATTATATAGGGGGATGAAACTGAAACGAAGAAGAAAAGTTACGTAACACTTGACTTGATCTTTTTAATAAGTACAAGTGCGCAATATTTTCTAGCATCACAAATAAATATATATAATATTAAACTACTTCTCGAGGCAATTAAAAAAAAAAATTACTATCTCTTATTCTATTTAAAAACGGATAAGAAATACTTCGTCTGAAGAAATAATTCGATATAAATTTTTTTCACGTCAAATATTAAGAGGAATTAATTATTATAAAATATTATATAAGGGAGAAATATTATTTCTATTTCATAATTTTTTATCTATTATTTTCCATTATTTTTATCAAAAATTAGTTTTTTTTTACAATTTTAAATATTCACAACTTCCAAAAAAAAAAAAATAAAGTCAATAATTAATTTTAACTTAACTTCAAATTAAATATACATTAACCCCTTGAGTCTAACTTGGCGTGTATAGACGTCATTTTTAGTACGTCTATACGCTCGTTTTTAATTAAAAGCTTAATTAAAATTAAAAACTAAATCTTCTTATATCAAACATAATAAACAAAAAGAAAATAATAGAATAAAAATTATTTTTAGTTAAATAAATTTCATTATTTAATTATACAATTATTGTTTAATGAAATAATTAATTTTTTTTTTAGAAAAATATTATTGAATGAAAAAAATTTATGCACAAATTCAAAATATTCGCATTAATTATATATTATATAATTTACGTGAAAAATTTTTTATCTCGCCTATAGAAATATTATATGTGAAATTTAATCCAAATGGGAGGAGATTTAGGGGAAAATATATTCACATTATTAAATGTCTTTAACAGGAGAGCATTAAATATAAAAAAAAAAGAAGAAGAACGTAAATGGAGCGACTAGACTAATGTTGGGTGGACATTACTTAATTGTCTTTAGGGGATGAGAGAGAACCCAAGAAATTAACTACGTGATTGGAATGCTGAAATTGCCGATTTTCTGTAAATGTAGCAGATGTTCGAAGTCTTTTTACATCAGCTTCGGTCATTTATTTACTTCCTAAAGCCTTTTTACTCTTTCGCGATTATCATCGATTTCCTTTATCTTTCCTCCCATTTATATTACGGGGCGGAAAAAAAAAAAAATATTTCCAACTTAAATATTTAAAGTGGAATTCGTTTTCGATTTATGATTTCAATAAAATATCCATTTTCTTGTCTAATTTTTTTTTCCAAGATAAGAAAAAAAAAGAACACGCGAAAAAAAAAATTTTTGAATAAAATTTTTTTTTTTTTTCCTCAAATCGAAAGAAAAGTAAAATAGAAATCGCACTCTCTTATTTCTCAAGGGAGACATTATAGTCTTTGTTACAAAGATAGAAATTTCTTCCGGGATTAATTCTTTATTGATACTTGATTGTTTGTTTGATTTATGAAATGATAAAATTGAATTGAAATATAATAAAAAAAAATTCAATAATTTTTAAAATCAAAAATATAGAAAACAAATTATAAAAAAAATATTAAAATCAAAAATTTTTGTCATAACAGTTTTAAAAAAGTTTTAGAATTTTTTAAATATAAAATTGAAAAATATTTGTATGATAAAAAAAAGTAATTTTTTAGAAAATGAATTCATAAAAAATTGTTATATCTATTTTTATTAGTTTCATTTTTTTTTAAATAGCTCACATTTTTATCGTAGTAAAAGTTTATTTTTTAATTTTATGTGAAAAGTAAATAAAATTTTATTTTAAAAAAATTCATGGAACAATATTTATTTTTAAATATTATTAATTTTAAATGTTAAATTCAACTCAAAATTTAAAAGTTTTTATCCACGCATTTACGTGTAAAAGGTTTCATCAATTAATATTATATATTCAATATTTAACTTAATAAAAAACATACTTTATATATATACTATCATTTATATTAAATTTGCTGAGCGGAACTCTTCTCGGCTTTTATTCGGTAAATTTTAATTCACGTTATGATTGATTAACTGAAATATAATAACAGGAAGTAAAATTATAAAATAAAAGCTGAAATAAAATCCATTCAGTTTATTTCAAAAGTATAAAAGATAATAAAATATTTTTTTAAAAAAAAGTTTATTAATTACAATTTTTAAAAAATCAAATTTCATTTAATAATGAATTTATAATAAAAAATTAAAAAAAAATATATAAATGCAATTCTTATAATTTTCTGTTTGAATAGAATTATTAAAAGAATTAATTTTAATTATTAAGAATTATTGACAATAATAATATTGTAAAAAATCTTTTTTTTTTTGCAATTTCTACGCAATCTAAAATTATTTGACGATCTCAAGGATCAAATTGTCAAAGAGCAATCTTACTTTTATTAAGGTGAAAAATGGAGCTCATTCAACATTGAATTGGATTATTCATAAGACAGGAAATGAGAAGCGTATTTTGTAAAAGTGTAGAATATTTTAACCCATAAAGTCCATATAAATTTATGGTAACAAAGAAAATGTTGAAAAAAAATCAATTTTCTTTTTTTTTGAAAATATTCAATATTTAATTGAAAATAGAAAATAATTATTTAAAAAAAATTAATTCTCATCTAAATAATAATACAGAAATTTATATAAAAATTTTCATAAATTATTATTTTGCTTCAATATTTTTAATAAATACTATTATATTGAAATCATAAATTGAAGAGAGATAAGTGAAAACAATGGAATAAAATACGAGATATAATATGAAACAAAAAAAAAAATTGCGAAAAAAGGTGATAAATTTTCTATTGAATACAATATATACATTATCACGACAATATTTTCGAAAAAAAAAATTATAAAAAGAGTCAATCTTTAAAGGGTATAACTAGGTCACAAATTTACATAATGTTTGCATGAATGTGAATCTGTCGAGTTGGCAAAAAAAAAAAAAAAAAAAGAAGAGAGACTCGGCCCTGAAGTTTATGGTCAACAATCTACAAGATTAGCTTTGAAACGAAAAAAAATTCATTGATGACAATGTTTTGAAGCAAAAACCAGGCTTTCAACTTTAAAAAATGTTTTCATATATAAGTATTTTTCAATTTATTTTTCATAAAAATTAGTAAAAACAAATTTTCAAAAATATTATCCGACTGATAAAAATTTTTCAAAAAAAATAATCCCTAACTATTTCAGAAGAATATGTTTTCTATCTTACTCCAAATATTATATTGGATAAATAATAATAGTAATAGTAATAATATAAATAATAATAATTTAATAATAATAATAATAATAATAATAAATATTATTGATATTGTTATAATTATATAATTGAAGAGGATAAAATAATCAGAATTAATTAATCCATATTACAATAGTATAATTGATAATTTCTCATTATATTTGATATCGTAATTGACCCTTGTAACCATAAAAAAGCGATACCAACGGTCAGGGGTGCCAGATCGTGGTCAAACTGAATTTTTATTCCCCTTCCATTTTTGAAATTATATAAAAATAAAAATGAATAAATAAATGCAAAGAAGATAAAATTTTCTTCTATTTTTATGTAATTCTATATAATATGCAGATGGAGGGGAAAAATAGTTTGACCGCAAAATCTGATACTGACAATAATGAATAATATGTGCAAATAACCAATAGCGCCACTGACATAAAATGTGGTCGTATGTATATAAACGACGCGATTTTCCCCGATATCTCACAATACATAACAAATAGAAATAGTTTTTAAGACACGCAAGTAAATTATCATATATCTTTCGACAATGAGAATTTTCTATTTTCTTTTTGTGCTTCTTGCAATTATTGTAAGCGCTTCATTTGCTCAAACTGCTCCAGGTAAGTTTCAATTTTTTATTTTATTTTATTTTTTTTTGTTTAATCTTAATTTTTAAATCTAACTGTAAAATATTTATCAAATATGAAAAAATTTATTATTCAAATTAATAAATTTTTTCAACAAAAAAAAATATATAAATATTTTACGATTTACTTTAAATAAATAGAAACTATTTCGTATTCTTTTCAAATTTTATTTTACATTTTTATTACAGAACGTTGTTTACAATATTTTAATAATAAATTGTGCTAGAAAATAAAAAAAAAAACCCTTCAAAAAGAAAGAAAAAAAAATGAAAAAGTTTTCTTAATCTACAAATATTTCCACCTAGTTATTTTCCTCAAGAGATCAAAGAAAAATTTATAAAAGTCTCTTGAGTAGAGTTGAAGAGATCTTTATACTTTTTTTTATTCTCTCTATATTATTCATAGGAAACTCGAAATTAAAATACATCGTAATATATTAATTTTCTTGTATCGATCATTTTATTTCAATTTTTATATTTTGATTCATAGAGAAAAAAAAATTAGAATTTGAAGAATAATTCTAATTTAATTATGAAATAATTATTTGTATTTTTTAGGATGCATTGAAGATGACTGCAAAAAAAGTTGTCAAAAAATTAACCACGGTTTACCAGGAAATAGTGATGGAAAATACTGTAACAAAGTCACTAATTCATGTAAATGCAGTTAAATCATTCACAAAAATTTTACTTCTTAAAAATACATCCAACAACATGTAAAAAAAAAAGAAATTCTGTGAAAATAAAATAAAAAAAAAAAATTTTTTTTTAATATTCAACCAAATACATAAAATGTTCCTTCAATTTTTCAATAATAAAAATTCGTTAATAAATATTTTCTATTATATTTTATATTAAATTAATAATTTTTAAATAAATTTTCAAACAAATTTTAATTACATTTATTATGGAATTAAAGTTAAAAAAATGTTTTAGATTTAACAAAGAAAATAATTTTTAAATTCAAAAAATAAACCATTTTTTTTCTTTCAATTTCAATTTTCCTCTCTTAATTCACAATTTTCTTTTTCTATTACATTTATTCTCCTTGCACTTCTCGCATATAATATTTCAGCAATAAGAACAAAAGTACAACAGAAAAATGCTCCAAAAAGAATAAAAAAACTTAAAGAATAATGTTCCAATGTCAAAACAGTTATTAATGGTTTAGAAGCTAATTTTTGTTGTTCCTCCTTATAAATTGGATAATGCATATCATTATACCATTTAAAAAATAATCCCCCCTCACTCATATGTGACAATAATTTATCGATTCTCTCTAAATAAGGTGAATAACGTTTGACAATATATGACAAACTATAAACCCCAGGACACTCGTCAATCACATGTAACAAATATTCTCCATCGGCGTCATAAAATTTTGTACGATCCTCTAAATCAGCCGTCGATAGTCTCATAATTCCAAGAGTACTTTTATTATTCACAACAATATTTCTCAATGATGTTTTAACATTTTCCAAAACAACAACTCTATTTTTCAATTCACCATAAGTACTATCTTTGAGATTTTGATATTTCGTCAATATTGGATAATTTGTTTTAAGAACATCATTTAATGTATTTAATTCTGTATATTCAAATGGTTTTCTCATTGATGACAATAATGTACTTTCATATAAACCAAATATAATAATTGTAAAAATTAATGTACCAGAGAGAAAAAATCGTTGCGCTGTTGTTTCAGCACCATGAAGATGTGTACAAGTTAAAATTGTAATTTCACCACAATATTCTAAACGTGAATCAATTTTTGGTGGATAATTTTGTAAATTTTTCTCAAATTTAGAATTTTCCAAAGAAGAATAAATATTTTCAATTAATGAAATTTGATTATTTTTATGATGAATTCTATCACTAAATGATTTGAATTTAATCCAAAGGGCACTAATTAAAATATTATAAATAATAAAAATAGGCCAAAAATCAAGAGAAATTGGTAGAAATGGCATAAAAGATTTTGGTACTTTGCCAGCGGCTTTGCCAAAAAAACAAACTTTATCAATATGTACACTAAATGTAAAATCAAAAAATTGAAAATTATCATAAGTTTTCACAAAATATGTTGTCATAATAAGATCAGCTTCATTCGATTCAATTCTTTTTAATCCATTTTCAAATGGATCAAATTTATAATTAGGTGAAAGAACACTAATTTGAAAATCAGCATTTAATAATTTTTTCAAAAGAAACATGACATTAATATCAAGTCCCGAAAAATTTGTTTTATTTCCAATTTTTTCTATATTCAACATTTGTGATTTGAAAATAGTCACATTAATTTGATAATTATTTAAATTTTTAAAATCTTCAAAAATTTTATTCAATTCTTTTAATGAACAATTTTTCTTTTTATTATTTTCCAATCTTTTATTTTTCTTATGATTTAGAAAAATCTCAATATTATCCTTATCAATGAAAATTCTTTGAATTTTTCCAAAATCCCCATGAGAATTTATTTCAAACGGAAGATAACGATAAAAATAGAATAAATGATCCTTAGCATCTCCAATCAAAATTTTCGAAATTCCATCATTTTTCCAATGAATGGAAAATAATTTTTCATAATTCTCTATTGTATCTTTATTATTATTATTATTCTGAAGAAAAAGGATGAGAAATTTATTTCTCGAGTTCCAAAGTAATTTCGAATTGAAATTCAATAACACTTGTGGATTTTCAGCAAGAATAATCCAAGTTGTACGATGAAAATTGCCAATTATAAACGAAGATAAATTGTTTCTTAAATCAATTTGATAACAAGTGATTAATTTACGTTCAAAGAACTTAGAGATTTGTCCCATTAGATAAGAATTGGTATCGAATGTACCAATTGATATTGTGAGTGGTTGAAACTCCTCTGAGTTTGAAACTAAATCGAGTATTTGGAACAGATTCACAAAGTCGATATCTGAGAAATCGCCCGCTCGGGTTAAGTAATTCCCAACATTGTCCCAAGAGTATCTTCTTGATTGATTATACTTGAGCTGGGCCCTCGTCGCGGATGCCAAGCACGCAATGGTGCAAATCACACCGTACATGCTTTTACTATAATACCATCCAGAAAATCTAGAAAAAAAAGAAAGAAAAATTAAACTTCATTTTATTTAAATAATATGAAAAGAATAATTTTAATTTAATACAAAAAATCATCATTCTTCACGGAGAAAATTTTTCTCAAAGAACAAAAAACAGAAAACATTTTTCAATATGTTTATTTTCCAGAAAACGAATCAAAATCTTTTCTCCGTGTAGGAGTGATAATAATTCGAAAAAAATTTTCAAAAGAAATTATTTTGTTCGAACAAAAATAATCCAAAAAAATAGCATTTAATTAAAGTTTTTTTTTTTTTTTTTTTTTTTTTATATTTCAAAGAAGAATTACCTTTGTTGTCGAGTCATTCCCTCAGGATTATTTTGATTTCGTATATAGTTCTCTCGGCACTGATTTTCACAAACTTGGAAAACTTCTCTATAAACTTGATTAAATCTCTCTCTCTCTTTCGATATAATTTGTAGAGTTCAATTATTTACTCGTTCAATTCCAAGGACATTGAAAACGAATAATATATATTAATACCGGAAATTGATATTTGCAACAAAAAAAAAAAAAAAAAAAAAAAAAAGAAAAGAAAGAAAAGAGACATACACAAGAGGTAAATGAAGATGAGTTAGAGAAGAAATTCTATTAAAGAAAATTTCAAAGCCTGGAAAAAACTGTCGAGTAGTGTTTCCCTTGACTTTTAGTTTTAACGACTAATTGTGGAGGAAAAATGGGGATGGAGGGGTTTAGTTGAAAAACCCAACGATAATAAAAGAACTAAGAGTAATAAATAAAAATTATAGTTATTTACTCTTTTGAGTGATCAAACTTTTTATAGACGATCAATAATTATAATGAAATTTTAATGAATTATTTTGAAAAATATTCATTTTTTTTTTTTTATATTTTGTGTAGATATATTTTCTCTTTACTTGAGAAATATTTACTTATATAAGAGAGGATATATTTGTTTAGTAATTCTACATTTCAGAATGACAATAAAACAAGTTAATTATGAGACATAAATTCGTGATAAATATCACGAATCAGTGATCAAATCAGCTCATCAGTGAGGCGAAAAGGGGATTTTAAGGGTAATTTATAAATATAAGGGTGTTAAGCACAAAATTATCTTTTAAGATCAAAACAATGAACATCTAATTATTCTCAAATTATAATAAAAATAATTAAAATATTATTATTATTATTATTATTATTATTATTATACTTAAATTATGTTTTTTATTTAAAATTAAAAAGAAATTATAGTAGAAAAAATATTTTAGTGACCCAATAATAAAGCCACAAAAAAAAAATCCTTATTTAAAAATTATAATATTAGAAATTTTATTGTTCCCCTCATGACAAAATATCATAACTGCCATGGGAAAAACATTTGATTGTGTATTAAAAAAAAAAAAAAAAAAAATTTGTTGGCAACAGATTCAACTTTTCATATAATTTATGGTCACAGTTTTGATTTAATTTTCAAGTATATGAAGGTAATTTCATAATCGATTTGTGTGTGTTAAATAAATTAGAAATTTCATTATATGGACGACAATTTCTGCAAGTTTGCAAAACCAATTCTTTGGCAATTGGCCCGTTTTGATTCTGTTCTGAAAATTGTGCCCAATGATATAGATAATAGCTTATGGAATAATTTCAACCAAATGTTATATCTTGGATAAAAAATTAATTCTTAATTCTACTGTTATTAATTTTTAGTTAAAAAATATTTATTATTATTGTTATTATTATTATTATTATTATTATTATATTATTGCTATTAATTATTATTTTTAATATAATAATAATAATATAATAAATTACCTATTCAATTATTTAAATTAGCCTAATTATTTCTTATTTTTTTATAAGGCGTGATTTAATTTATTATTGATAAAACAATTGTAAAAATTTTTGAATAAGATTTTTCAAAAAGGATTTTCATTTGAAATAATAAATCTATGTGAAATTCTGTATATATACGAGTGACAACGGAAATTGGATTTATTTTGGGAATCTCTGAAAATACCCACGGGCTACAAGTCTTATAAGATGAAAATCAGTCGTTTACTTTCATTCTTAACGTGATGAAGACAATGGAAGGAAATAACAAAATACTTTTTATATTGATATTATCAATTATTTTTAACGGTAAGTTTAGTGATAAATATTAATTTTTATTTTTTTTTGCAATAAATATATTTCACATCATAATTTTTCTTTTACTGCATAAAATACATTTTATAACTATATATATAAACACTTCATGTACATTTAAAGGTACTAAAATTTTTTCATATATGATGCTCTTTTTCAAACTTTTATGATATTATTTTTCATCTTAATATTTCATATCCATAAAAAAGATTACGACGACAGAGAAATTATAAAATATATAAAATTTATATCCTTTTTCAGTTAAATGGATATCTACTCAAGGATTCAATGAAGCTGGGTTCGTATACTGAATTCTCAATTTTATTTTTGAAAAAATTTATTATTTGCTTTTTTTTAATACTACTTTAACAAAAATTATGTAATATTACTTTTAAATCCACAAAGTTTAGTGAAAATAATAAAAAATAATAACAAGTTTTAACGATTTTTTTAATTTATAAATGAAACAAAAATGTCTTAAATTTATTTTATAATTATTTTCATTTTTAAAAATCTCTATTTACAGATACGATCTTCATAAAGGACCAGTTTTCTACGAAGCCTATTATTATCCAGAAAAGCAGAATTTCCATAAAAGACGAAGCATCGTGGAAGGAGAAAGAGATGAAAATGCATCGGAAAAATTTTCACAAATTTCAAATACACCAAATATCATGATTTCAATTGATGGCAATGAAGTGATTATAATTGGTGATAAAATGACGCGAATGCCATTAAATTTACTAGGAGTACGAAATGGTTTCAATACAAATTGGATTCAACAACAACAAATGTTATTACAAAATAATATCAAAAGAAATAATGATAATCAATTAAAACAAACTAAAAACAATATGGAAAATAATAAAATGAATCAAGAAACATTGAAAAATAATCGTGACAAATTTTTGCTCACATCACGTTTTCAAAGAACTGCATATCCATCATATAGAATGAAAAATGTCGATTCAAATTTTGCACCATCACAAAATAAATTACCTCTCAATGTAAATTTTAATCAAGAAAATTCAATTCCAAATCAATATCCAACAAATAATAATAATAATAATAATTTTAGAACTGAAAATTTCGATTTTAATAATCGTAAAAATCAAAATAACAACTTTGACAATAGTAAAATTTCAAATATTGATTTTTATAATCGAGAATATGAAAATTTACCAAATAAAAATCAAAGGATAGAAAATTTTGAATCATCAAGGAATTTTAGAGATTTTCCTAAATCTCTAGACGAAAATATTTTTGAGCCTCGACCACAAATAATTCAATATCTGTTTTCAGCGCCAAGGGAAAATGTGTTTGAAGCAAAGAAAAGTAATTTCATTAATGACGATGCTCAAATAGATAGTGTTGTTATTAAAGAACCTGGAATTGCATCAATCGAAGTGAGTGAAGAACCTCGACACAAAATTCGACACCATCACGGAGAGAGATTGAGGCGCAATTACTCTCGACAATAATTTCTCTGCAAAGAGACAAAAAATAAAAAAAAAAAAAACGAAGAGAAAAAGAGAGAGAGAGAGAGTGGGATTTTTCCAATATACAATACTTTCACAATAAAGCTGATAAGCTACAGGTCACTTTTTTCCGATACAAAACGATTTATCAAATTTTCTTTTATTTTTAATAAAATTATTTATATTAATATTAACTATAAAGTTGAATAAAATGTTTAATAGATTATAAAATAATTAACACATAATATTAATATTATTTTTATTAATTTTTATTAATATCTTAATTAATAAAAATTAATACTTTAATATTAATTATTCATATAGAAGTATTCATTAATTAAAAATATTATTTAAGGTTTCAAAAAGCAACTTAATTTCATTTACCATTGATCCAAACAAAAATACAAAATACGTTTTATATTTGTAAATTGTATTATAAATTAAACAAATAAAATAATTTAATAATAATATCTGGATTGTCATTAATTTTCTCATGTATATATCGACGTCAATAATAAATTGAGATTTTCATCATTTTAAATTAAATAAAAAAAAACTATTGCTAAACTAAATAATTGAAAAAATTGACTCACCAAACTGCTGTTCAAGATTAAAATCCAGAATTACGCTGTTCATCAATTTTACTTTTTAACATCTGAAAAAAAATAATTTTATTAATTACTTGAAATTAACTATTATCTCAATAAATACTAATTTTAATTCTATTAAAGATATAATTAGGAATTACAGAGGAAAAAAATGTAAGAAATACAAAAATATTTCTATATAATTGAATTTTATTAACTTTCGCCACAACAGTAAATTACAATATAATTTTTTTACAATTGACATTTTAAAATTGTTATTATCAACAGATGACCAAAAAATATGTTTCAAAAAATAAAATAAAAAATTCATTTAACTTTAAAAAGAAAATCCAATTTTTTTAAATTAAAAAATTATTAATGTTATGAAAATAATAAAAAAATACAATTTTAATATCAGAAATTAAAATATTAATTGAATAAAATTCTATTTTTTTCGCATATAATTTTGGTCATTTCATATGACAACAATATTACGCAAATTGTTTTATAATTAGATGGTATGAAAAACCTAATTAAAAATTTTTTTTTTTAAATCGCGCTGAAAATTTTTTTAAGAAATTAATCTTGTAAAATCGAAAAATTTTTTCAATTGTAATTAATTAATTATTAAGAAATAAAAGTTATAATGTTTAATTTAAAAAAATTAAATCAACCTACAAATTTAAATATTATTTAAACAATAATAATCAATTTTACTTGAATGATAAACATTGAATAAATTTCTTTTGCAATTTTATGTTTTTTTTTTTTTTAATAAACAAATTTTTTTTTCTTTTTTGAAAAGTTTTCAGCGCGAAAAGTTAGATGAAAAATTAAACGTTTACAAAATTAAAATATACATAATTACATCCACTGGTAAATTCGATTTTGAGAACGAGGATAACATTTTTATTTTTAACGAGATTTCGAAAAAAAAAATTAATTCCAATGATGATGAAAAGTCGCATGATATTAACGTAACGAATGCATGAATGACAAATAGGCAATACTTTTCTACAATCTAAAGAAACACTTTTCCTCCCTTTCCCCATAGAAGCAATCAAAAAAGAAAATAAAAAATTTTCAAGATTGTCGAAAAGAATGCCTCAATTGTATTTTATAAGTAACCTACACTATTGGAACACAACCTTTTCAATTGGTGGATGGTCTCAGTTATCTAAATCTACATTTTACATTAATTTATAATCGTAACATTTTAAGAAGAAATTTATTTCTACAGAAAAATGTCTAATTAATCTCTGAGATCCAAACTGCATTCGATCCGACTTCGCTTACATTTCAAAAATATAATATAGAATTTTTTTTTTTTTTTTTTTTTGACTTGATTGTATATTTGAATTAAATATTCAAGTAGAAGAACGTTACCAAAAAACGGAAGTAACTTTTACAATACTCAGATCCCATCATCTTAATAATAAGAAATTACATTACACTCGCTCATTTACAAAAAGTAGGTAAAAAACATACAAAAACAAAATTTCTTTTCTCTTATTTCTTTCAATAATATATAATATAAATTGTGTCTTGTTATAAGACGGAAGTGAAAATGTAAAAATATTAAAGTTTTAATTAAAAAAAAAAAAACAATGATTGAAAACACGTATCTCAAAAGATATTCATACAAACAATTTCATAAATTTGTTTATAACAAATTAATTTTGTTTCATTTCAAAAATCTCCAGCAACAAAATGTTGTTTTTTTTTTTGCATTTTGTGAATATGAAACAAAATAAATTAATGTTTTCAAGTCGTTCACTTATTCTTTATCTCTCACTCATAAAATTGCCTTATCATAAAATATATAACTCTCTTTTTCTCTCTAAAAGTTTGTGAACATTACGCGATAAAAACTACTCGTTGATTGATAATACCGGTTTCGCATAAAACATTTAAAATGTACAAAAATATAATACTGGCGAGCTTTATAAACTTTATGAAGCACTATTTAAAAAAAATATGTACAATTTTTTCTATTTACGTTCATATTAACTCAATGAAAAAAGAAACAAAAACTTTTGGCAATTAAAATTAAATGCAAATTTACAGATCGCATCAAATCTCATATTTAAATTTCTGCGGCTTTACTCACTAAGTGAATATTAATTTAATTCTCGATCTGTTATTTTTCTACAACGAGAAATTTGCCGCCTAATTAACTAATGTTGCTTATGAAGATTCTTTTAGACAGGTACTTGATTAATTCTCTGAAAAAAAAATAAAAATATTTTTTAGCGATATAAATCAAAATTAAAACAAAATTAAGACTTTCAATTAATAAAAAAAAAGGAATTTAAATATAAAAATACCTGAATCATTTTGCTGTTTTATTTCCGATAGAATATAGTCTCGCAATGTATCATAGGCATTTTCCACTTTATCGTTTATGATAATTAAGTGAAAATTCCCTGGATGTTCACCTATTAATGGAAAAAAAGAAAAAAAAGAATTAAAAGAAACAAAAAAAAATTATTCACATGTACATGCAGAATAAAAAGAAAATTAATTAAAGTTACTTAGCTGAAGAATTGCAGAATCAATTAAAAACGCAAATTAAAGGGAAGAGAAAAGGTAGGATTCAGGTCAATCCAGAGATATTAAACATGCTTGATATTCCATAAATAAGGATTCCACAGATAATAACACAATTTTTATTACTACATTTATTGTAGTGATGTAAAAAATATTCACAGTGCCAATAAAAAAGTAGCAGTCAAATATGCAAGAGAAAAGTGCATAAAATTTAAAAAAAAAACACGATCAAATACACACATATATTAAAATAGAAAACGCAAATAAAAAAAAGCAAGACAGAAATTTTATTTAACCAAATTATAATTTTATTTCACTGAATTTCTTTTAAATAATTTTTATTTAAAAGAATTTTTATTTTTCAAAATTTCTATGAAAACTTATTTTTATTTAGTAGAATTTTATTTAAAGGAAATTCTGATAGAAATCACAAAATAGAAACGTGAAATTAGTCAAATAAATAATTAAATCATATGAAAAAAAAATCCAATAAAACAAAAATTTGGTTAATTAAAAAATTCATCTAAATTAAAATGTAATGAAAAAAAAAATTCATTGAATAAAAATACCAAATTATGAAAATTCAGTTCAGTTCAACATTATAAATTTCGATTCATTAAAATTTGTTTACTAATAAATATTAAAAAATACGTTTAATAAAAATAGCATAAAATATCATATATTAATATGAAAACATGACCAAAAATAAAATCAGGCATTAAAAATTAAAAACAAGCGTGAAAAAATAAATTGTGCAATTTTTTAAAGCAGTTGGAATTTTCTCACACACGCTTAAATTAATAAAAATAAAATTAAAAACAGTAATATTTCTCACCATATTCCATTTCGACTTTGGCTGCTGTTAATCTTAAGAGAAGTGACTCTTCGGTCTCCGTATTTCGATCTCTTAATCGACGCTCTAATTCTGCAATCGATGGTGGCTTTATGAAAACAAACAGCGGATTTAACGACGATTCTTTTATTTGCTTTACGCCTTGTGTATCAATATCCAATACGCAAATTTTCCCATCAAGTTGTACATTCTCAACAGCTTGTTTGCTGAAATTTAAATAAATTTTGTAAATAAAAAAATTTTATAGAAAAATGCAAAATTCATCTAAAAATTTTGATTATCAAAAATTTTTTAAATACATTTGTAAATTTAATAATATAACATTTTACAAATAATTGACAATTGAAATATTTGGAAACAGTTTAAAATTATTTATTAAATAATAATTAATATTTTAAATACTTTTAAAAATAATAAAAAATGTTAAATTTTTTTAAAAGCTATTCCTAAAAATTTTTATTAGCATTTGAAAATATTACATTAACAATAATAATTACCTGGTTCCATAAATGTTTCCACCATATTTTGCAGTTTCCAAAAAATCTCCTTGATCAATTTGCCTTTGCATTTCTTCCTTGGTAATAAAATAATATTCCTTTCCGTCTTTTTCATTATATCGTGGTTTTCTCGTTGTGTGACTTATTGAAAATCCAAATGTTTCAGGAAACTCATCAAAAAGTCTTTTTATCAATGTACTTTTTCCACTTCCTGATGGACCACACAAAACTAAAGGACGAAATCTTTTTTGAACCATATTCAAAGCACCTGTAAATAATTTTAAATTGTTAATAAAAAAAGAATTTATAACAAAGAAAATTTTTTCTTTTCCATTTCATTTTTAATCAAACAAATCATTGAGAATCCCCGATAAAAACGAAAAAATAATAAGTTTATCTATTATTTTTAAACAAATTATTTTTCTTGCATTTTTAAAATGTTTTTTACATTATTTTTGTTTTAAATATAATTTAAGCTTTTTGTGGAAAATCCACAATTAATTTTACTTAATTAATTAAATTAAATATTGGTAATTCTTTTAATAATAAAAATAAATGTACAACTCTACTTTATATGATACTAAAGTCATGTCCTTTCTTGGTCTTGAAAATAAAATCACAAATAAATACTTTCATACCTATCGTGAAATTTCTAAATCTCATCATTCTCTAAAAGATGATCCGTTAAAATTCTTCTAAAAGACAATTACAACTGGCCATCGGATAAAACTAAAAATTAAAGCAACTCCACATCATTATCATAAACTAAATATTCTATCTTTTAAGTTTAAATCACCAAGAATGACATATTTATATTTAATATTAATTAATAAATTTCTCATCTAAAAAATATTTTCCTATCAATTAAAATAATTCAAAAAGTATTCTAATAAAAAAATAAGGATAAATTTCGTTTTTCAAACTTTAGTGCCATTTTTCGCTTTTATTTATTTTATTAAATTCATTTTTAAATTTTTTATATTATTATTATATTAATCATTTATTTGTAATTTATTTTTATCTCGTTTATTTAGAGTAAATATTTTATTTATATTTATACAAAATATGTCTGGTTTATTATATGTATATCAATTGTTCTGTGTTTAATATTTATAAGTTTATTTGTTGTTTATGTATTCACGCAGGTATTTTTATTTGTTTACATTTCATTTACATGTAAATATTATCTCATTATTTTTTCATATTAAACGTTCTCTTTAATTACTGATTATTTATTGAATAAAATATTTTATTTTATATTAAAAACGACTTAGAAAAGCGAAAAAACAAAATAATAACAACAAAAAAATTTCAAAGAGAATTGAAGTGGAAATTTTGTTGGAATCAACGACCCATTTGTGAATGATTTCTCAATTTTATTATGTAGTTAAAATATCAGTTTCATTATACCGTTATTTGAGGACATAAAAGGGAGATCAAGGTCTTCGAAATATTGATTACGCTTGACGCAAACGTACAATAAAACGTGGACTAACATGTTTTAACCTCAATCAGCTGTTATTTATAATTAATTTTTGAGCATAATATATATATATATATATTTTTTTTTTATTAAATAAAACTCGACTATTGTGAATGACCATACCGTTAAATAAACAAATCTAATCGTGACACGTAAAAAATGATATAATTTTATAAAAAAACAAATTTATTTCGGCGAGTAATGATTTTTTTTTCTTGACGCAGTAGTCGCAACAAAGAATAATATTCACATAAAATTTGCCAACATACCTATTTTTTTTAAACTGTTGATGAAAAATTAAAATCTTTTTGTTCACCTTTAGTCGGAAATTATAAAATAAAACTATTTAATAAACAAGATTAAAATTCGGAGTAGTATTAATGACGTTTATCACGTTTTCAGCTTTTATCATCGCATCGCATGACGCATGCGCAATAAAAATTGATAAAGAAGATCCCTTTCATTACTTAATAGAATATCTCCATTTAACTAATACGGATAAATGTAATTTAAATTTAAATTATATCATTTTTTATTAGTTAAATTTTCTTGTTAATCATAGCCTACTATAAAAATTAAGTTTTTTCAAAATTTGATTCAAAATTCGCGCCCATCATTAAGTTGGCAATTCTGTCAACGCATGCGCGCTGAATAAAAACACAAATTGAGGTTAGGAAATCCAAAGAACACCACGTGTTATTTGTAATGTGATTGTTGTCGTTCCGTTAAATAAAATAAATAATAAAAATAATCAGTTTTTGTCTATAAAAGTAAATTTAAAAAAAATGCCGCGAAAGAAAATTGATAATCGTATTCGTACTCTCATTGAAAATGGAGTGGAAACTGGTCATCGAACAATGTTCCTCGTTGTCGGGGAAAAAGCAAAAGATCAAGTTGTTTATCTTCATCACATGTTATCAAAAACAGTTGTAAAAGCACGACCAACATTATTATGGTGTTATAAAAAAGAACTTGGTTTTACATCACATCGTAAGAAAAAAATGAAATCACTACAGAAAAAAGTTAAATCAGGAAAGCTTGATGTTAATGAGGATGATCCTTTTGAATTGTTTATAGTATCAACTAAAATACGCTATTGTTATTATAAGGAGACACATAAAATATTGGGAAATACCTTTGGTATGTGTGTTCTTCAAGATTTTGAAGCATTAACACCAAATTTATTGGCAAGAACAATGGAAACTGTTGAAGGTGGTGGTATAATTACAATTCTTCTACAGAGTATTAATTCACTAAAACAATTATATGAAATGAATATGGATGTTCATAAACGATTTCGCACTGAGGCTCATCAGGAAATTGCCTGTCGATTTAATGAAAGATTTCTCCTTTCTCTAGCTTCATGTGCTCGTTGTTTAGTTATTGATGATCAATTTCACGTGCTTCCAATATCAATGCATAATCTTAAAATTCAACCGGCTGTGAAAATGTCATTGAGTGATAATACATCCGAATTACAGACTTTAAAAGAAAATCTCCGCGATACACAACCAGTTTCAACATTATTGGAATGTTGCAAAACATTGGATCAAGGAAAGGCGTTACTTAAATTCATTGAAGCAATATCAGAAAAAACATTACGATCAACAGTTTCGTTAACGGCGGCAAGAGGTCGTGGAAAATCGGCAACAATGGGTCTTGCAATTGCTGGTGCAATTGCATTTGGCTATTCAAATATCTACGTTTCGAGTCCAAGTCCTGAAAATTTGAATACACTTTTTGATTTTGTCTTTAAAGGTCTCGAAGCATTGGAATATAAAGAACATTTGGATTATACTCTCATGCAATCAACAAATCCAGAATTTAATAAAGCAACAATCCGAGTAAATGTCTTTCGCAATCATAGACAAACAATACAATTTATTCATCCATCAGATGCTCATAAACTTCAACAAGCTGAATTATTAGTTATCGATGAAGCAGCAGCAATTCCTTTACCATTGGTGAAAGCAATGTTTGGACCATATTTAATTTTTCTCGCATCAACAATCAATGGCTATGAGGGTACAGGAAGATCATTGTCCTTGAAATTACTTCAACAATTGAGAATTCAACAATCAAAAGATTCTAATTCACAAGAAAAGAGTAAAGCAGACAAAGTAATTAGTGAACGTACTTTAGAGGAATTGACACTAGATGAATCAATTCGTTATAAACCTGGTGATGATGTTGAAGCATGGCTCTCAAAATTACTTTGTCTTGATGCTGGAAATTTTTTACCACCATTATTAGGATGTCCACCACCAGACAATTGTCAATTACTTTACATTAATCGCGATACATTATTTTCATTTCATCGAGCATCAGAAAAATTTCTACAAAAATTAGTCTCTCTTTATGTTGCATCACATTATAAAAATACACCAAATGATTTACAAATGATGTCCGATGCACCAGCACATCATTTATTTTGTCTAGTTGGACCATTGATGGAAAATAAATTACCAGAAGTTTTAGTATTCATACAAGTTTGTATGGAGGGAAAATTGAGTAAAAATTCAATTGAAATTAAAATGGGACGTGGTCAAAAGGCAGCTGGTGATTTAATACCATGGACAATATCACAACAATTTAATGATCAAAATTTTCCCAGTTTAAGCGGAGTGAGAATTGTAAGAATTGCCACACATCCTGAATATCAAGGAATGGGATATGGAGCCAAGGCTTTGGAACTTTTAAAGGAATATTATTCACAAAAAAATGAAGATATTGGTAAGTATTAATTATTTATTAAATGAAATGTAAATTAAAAAGTTTTATTTAATTTTATGAAATTATTTTTAAGATATGGAGGATTCAGATGACGAGAAAACACCAACGAAATCGGAAACGACAAAAAGAAAAAGAGAAGATGAAAATGAATCGAATTTGCTAACGGAAATTATTGAACCTCGAGCATCACTTCCGCCTCTTTTTATGAAATTATCCGAACGACCTGCTGAACATTTAGACTATATTGGCGTTTCATTTGGTGTAACCGAGCAACTATTGAAATTTTGGAAAAAAGCAAAATTTGTCCCTGTTTATTTGAGACAAACGGCTAATGATATAACTGGTGAAAACACTTGTATTATGATTCACAGATTAAATTGCGAGAATAATCAACAAGACGAAAGTTGGCTACAATCATATTGGATGAAATTTCGACAACGTTTTACAAATCTTTTGGCAAGTTCTTTTCGTAATTATAAAGCATCATTTGCATTGAGTCTTTTGGAAAATTCTACCATTGAAATACCAGCAAAAACATTGACTAAAGACGCATTAGAGATCTATTTGGATTTACATGATTTAGAACAATTGGACATTTACAGTAATAATATGAGTGATTATCATTTAATAAGAGATCAAATTCCTTCATTGGCAAAAATGTATTTTTTACGACAACTTGGAAATATTAATTTAACACCAGGACAAAGAAATAATAGTTTACATATTTCTGCCGTACAAGCAGCTATTCTACTTGGACTTGGACTACAACATAAAAGTATCGAGGAATTGGAGAAGGAATTAGATTTACAAAGTTCGCAACTTCTTGGATTATTTAATAAAATCATTAAGAAATTTACTTCTTATTTGAATTCAATTACTGAAGAATTTGTTAGAAATTCTATGGATTAAATTGAGTTTCAATTCTCTTTTGAAAATTTATCAAATTATGTTTAATTCGTTTTTTCTTCTATTACTATTTTGACTGTAAATATTTTTCACCAAAAAATTTACAATAAAATGTATTTTTATGGTAGTTAATATCTTATTTATTTAAATAACTAATTTAAATTTATAGTTTAATTTCTTTTTTGTAGTTATTTTAATTAATTATTATTTACTTTTTTATTTACTATTTAGTTTATTTAAGTTTTGTAATTTTGTTTAAAGAATTCTTATTATTTTTTTCGTTTTTCAAAGGTAAATGATTTTTTTGATTCTCCCAAAAATTTGTCTAGACTAAAAAAATTATTAAAATTACTAAAATACATACATGTATAAGAATACAACTGTACTGCAACAATAGGTTTGTAAAGTCAAGCACTGATTAAGACGTCTCGTATTTTAAAACCAACGTTGTTTCGAAAACCGACCATTGAAGGTAAGTGCTATTAATGAAAATATAGGAAAATTAAAATTTTGAAATAAATAAAAAATTTCTAATAAAACTTAATTAAATATTTTACACTTAGCTTTCACGTAAATTTTAATAATTATATTTTTAAAAAAACACTTTGGACACTTGAAAATCACTTTAGAAAATAAACAATTAAAAAAAATATCGCGATTATTATATTAAAATTTTTTGTGCAATAATTTTTAAAAAATGCAATTTGCATATTAAATTAAGTCTCAATTAATTTCTTTTTAATTTGGAAAATATAAAAATTTATTTATACTAAAGTATAAAAATTTAAAAAAGGGGCAAAATTTTGAATTTTACAACAGGAGCCTGAATGAATTTTGTTTAAAAATTATAAAATAGATTTTAGAATACTATCGACTAAAAGTCGTAAACAAGGAAAAAAAATTAAATATATAATAAATATATTTCTGAAAAAAACAAATAATTAATAACACTGAAAATAAATAAAATTATTATCAAATCATTCTTTTCGAGTCAAATATAAATAAAAATATTATTGCTCACCACAATAACTGAACTGAAAGAAACTATCAATTAAACAAGTACAAAACATGCATAATTATATATGCATATATATATACTCATTATACATATACATATATAATTCACAAAATTAAAAAAATTTAAAACAACATAGTGACAAAAAAAGAGAAAAAATTTAAACAAATTATATTTTCACTGGTTTTCCAGTTACTTGTTTTTTTCTTCTTCCCTACCTATAGCTATATTTAAATCGAAAAAAAAAATTATTATTTTTCCTATTCCTGATTTTCCTACCTATAGCTATATTTAAAACGAAAAAAAATTTTCTTTTTCCGATTTCCCTACCTACAGCTGTATTTAAAACGAAAAAATTTCTATTTACCTATCCCGTTTTTTTTTATCTAAAACGAAAATAATTTACCGCCCCGGTGCAAAATGACCTACACTAGGGTTAACGTCCCGGGACGCAACCGTCACCTGAGCGGTATTTTCTGAAATGAAAACTTTTAATTAGTCGTTTCATTACAATTATCAAAAAAAATTTACTTTTAAATTTTACATGCATTAACTTTTAACTTGAACAAATTATCAAAAACTTTTTACTTTTAAATACCACATGCATTAACTTGTCAATTTTGAAATTAATAAAATGTTACAAATTTAATTCCAATTATTTATTTTTAAAAGAAAAAGAAAATAACTTTAATCAGATAAATTAAACAAAAATAAATATTAAACAAAGTGCACAATATAAATGACATACATATGTATATAAATAATTGAAATAAACATTGACAATAATATTAATTTACGTAGTAATAACGAGTCATCCATGAAACATATGATATTTTAGGGTGTAAAGTGTTCAAAATTGGGAGGAGGGTAAATTTTTAAAAGTCTATCAAATGCTTTACGGATGATCGCTAAAACTTCAAAAATAATATATTTTGTCAATGGCGTCACTATGTTGCCAGAATTTCTTCCCTGTTTATAAAAAATCTTTCAATATTTTTCGGCTGGATCTATATTATAATTTATTAAAGGAAAAAAATTGCGAAAATATTGCAAAAATTCATAAATTTAAAATGATATCCAAAAAAATTAATTTTCAATTTATAATGATTTATAAATTATAAATTAATTTTGTTGTAATTTAATTTACATATATATTAAGAAAATTTATTCAAGAAATTGCGCGTCTCAAAAAACAGGGAAAAAATTTAAATAAAAAATGACTCACCGATCGGCGAAACATCCCTCGTCGGGACAATAACGTCATTGCCACTCTCGAGCGCTTCAGGGCCAGCTCCCGAGGATCCCTCTTTCTTGCTCGCACTTCTGCGTGAGGCCGGGAGCTCAAAAAAAAATATTATAAAAAAATATGAAAAAAAAGAAAAAAATATTTTATAAAAAAAATATGTTGCAGGGGCCACTTTTCTTCTTCCACATCCTTCCCAGTCTCTTCAGATATTTGGAAATTTGGAATGGAGCTGAAAAAATAAATAAAAAAAACATTTATTAAAAAAATTAAATTATACAATTATTTTCTCTTACTATGAAATGCTGAGTTATTATTTTTTAATCAATTAGTTCAAAATTAATGTTAAATTAATTTATTAATTGAAAAAAAAACTCACCTATATGAGGGGATTTCTGCGTAGTGTTAGAGAAACGATGACAGCATATCTTTTTTATAAAATGATTTCCTTCTTATGGACCTGAAAAAAATTTAATAATTCATGATGTTATATTTGTAAAATAAAATATTAAAAATGCTCAATATTATCAATTATTTTTGAATACATTAATATTTCTAAATATTGCAATAATTTTTTAACTTTTTTTTTTTTTTATTCCATTTATTGATATTCCAGAAAAATATTGTAAAAAAAACTCACCTATAAGGGAAAATTTCTGCGTTGTGTAAAAAATACGATGTCAGCATATCCTCTCTTTCAATGGACAAATCTTTCCGCTACTGGACCAACTGCCTGAAAAAAAATAATTCATTATAGATATTACATGTGTAAAATCAAATATTAAAAATCCTGAATATTAACAAATATTTTATTATTATAATAATTATTAATATACTTTTAAATATTTTAATATCTATAAATGTTAATATTTTGATATTGTTCTAATCATCATTTACAAATATTGAAATAAATTTTTATTATATATATTAACTATTGATATTTTTGCAAAATATTTTAAAATATTACAAACTATTTTTGACTGGTATACTGTAACTTGTTTATAAATTGTTAAGTATATTTTTAATACTAATTATTATTATATCTAAATATTTAAACAAAGTATATCTTAAAATATACAAAAATTAAGGGAAAAAATTTATCAACTTACATTGAACTGCGACTCAGCAATGCAAGATCTCCTCCAGGAGCAGCTCCGCAACAAACACCCATCCTTCATGATTGGACACCTGTAAATTGAGAAAATAAATTGTTACATAAAAAGATAAAATAAGATTTTCAAAATATAATTAATTTCATTATTTCTTAAATTGATTTTTTAAAACTTAAACATTTTCTTAATGTCAATTTTTTTGTAAATTTAAATTAATTTACAAGATTTGTGTTATTAATATTAAGAATATAACTTTAATGTAATAAGTAATGTATTTTAATAAGTAAAACAATAATTTTCTGTATCAAAAGATACTCACTTATTCGAAGATTCAGTAGAAGTTATCATTTGTCATCTCATCTATGGATATAAGAATTTCATACAATTCTTCTCGAAGTCTGAATTCTGTAAAGACAAATAATAAACAAAAATTGTCTAATTAAAAATTCAGAAAACTTTATTTTAAAAAATAGATATTAAATAATTTTATCATTTTTAAAAAATAGATATTAAATAATTTTATCAAATTTGAAAAAAAGTTTTAATTATTGCCTATATACAGTGTAAAAAAATATTTTGCCTGATTCACACAATTTCGAATTGTAAATTTACATAATTTAGTGTAAACTTAATACTTTAAAAGTATCAGTTTTACAACTATTTGTAAATTTACCACTTTTAAAGATGTACTATTATTATTATATTTACAAATATATAATTGATAAGAATGTTAAAAAATTGTATAAAGCAAATAAATTGTTATTAAAATAAAAAATAGAATTTTTAAAGAAAAGAATGTTTAAAATTTTTAAATTCGGTAAAATCTTAGTTTTTATAAACAAATATATTTACCTGAGTTGAGAAGAATAGACGCCGAAAGAATTAGAATTTTTAGGCCTTTTTTCCTGAGACAATCATCTTTTAGCACTGTAAATAAATAAATGAAAATTAAATAAACATATAACACGAATTTTAATAATTAAATTTTGATTTTAAATTTTATTTCTAAAATACGGTGGACAAATATCGGAACAGATGTAGGATAGAAATATGAAATTGGTTATGTGGTAATTTTTAGGTTAAACATCAAAGCGTCATCAAATTTAACAAAATATTAAAAATTCTTATATTTACCAAGAAATATTAGTTGAAATCTAAAAAATTTATATCACGCTGAACATAATTATTAAAATATATGTTTAATTTGTATTAAAGTTGAAAGATGTTTTTTGTTATTCACGAAATTTTCTTGTTACTTTCAACCGCTCTTTTCACAATGTCTACTGTAGTGAACACTGATACCAACTTCAGCGAAAAAAAATACCAACCAATTTTACATTTCTACCAACGTAATAAGAAATTTTTTTAACTACTTTTTTGAATTTTAATAACCTGCCATAAACCTTGTTTATTGTTTTCACTTTTATTAATAAATGGTTTTTTTTATTTAATATTTATGTTTATAATAATCGTATTGTTGAAAAAATTCAAGTCGCCCGAAAATACCATGGCTGCAATGTGAAGTCACAATATATGCAACAAGGCACAAGTTTAATGCCAAAATTTCTGGGTTATATTGTTGTTATTTATTCATAATTTTTATATTTATTACATATTAATAAAATAAAAATGTTATATTATTACGATTTTACCTATACATTACCTATTTTTTTTTGTTTAACATTTCAATGCTAAAATTTTTAGGTTAGGTTTTTATATCGAAATATATTTATTTTCTTTTTGCCTGCCACGAAACTTATATTATTTATCGATAATTTAAACAAATCTGAACTTTATTACTGTAAAATATATACAATTAACGTTATGATTTACCTAATATTAAAAGATTAAATTTTCTCCAACAAAATATGGTTTCTTTCTCTGACGACGCCATTTGCAATGAGCTGCAATGACAACATTGCCAACCCAAGATAACAAAAATTAAACTTTCTCACTTCTACCAACATAAAAAAATTCCCTTCTTTTTCTTTAAATCGATATAGAGAAATTTCCTAGGTTTACGTCAAAAATATCAGCTGATTTCTTTCTATTTATTTTCAAAAAGATGTTGGTGACACGTCTAATACACAGATATTAGATCAACAGGTATTATTTTAGAAAATTCGACAAAGCTACTGTGATTTTTAAATATCTAATTAATTTCATTTGGTTAATTTCAACTTAATATACATTTAGTTCAATTAAAAATAACTTCTATAATTTTCCCGCTTTCGAATATAAATTAATATTATTAGAAATTCATCTTGAATTATGTAAGTATTCATTTATACATTTTTTGAAGGAAGTAACTAAGTTTTTCTTTTCTTATAAATTATGTAAATTTAGAAAAATTAAATATGTATCATTTTTGTAGAGTTAATTCACAGTGTAAAACCACTGTTTTTTAAAAATATATAGAAAATAATTATAGAAATAAGGTTTTGTTAAAAAATATATTTTTATAGTTTATCGCGGTTTTATATTTTTCCTCATTCTTATCAGTGTTTATTTTCTTGAAATTGTGATATCAGTATTGTATTTAAAGTGAATATTGCTTAATTTACATTTTGAAAAGTATTTTCTAACCTTTCAACCCTAAATATTTATTATGTTTTATTGTAGATGCTTTCGATATTTTCTTTCCTAAGATCATCAACAAGTGTCAATACACTATTTAATTTATCAACGAAAATAATTGTTAATTATTCAACAATGGCATCTAAATTTGATTTACCTGAACGTTACAAGGGAAACGATAAATCTGTTTGGTATGATATTATTAATTATAGTATTTAATTAACTAATTATTAATTATCAACAAAATTCAATATGAACTAATATTTTTTTCTATACTAGAAAAGAAAATTAAAATTTCAGAATTTATTTATTTTGTAATTATAATTTTTTTTTTTGTAAAAGAAAAAAAATTGTTATTATGAATTTTGTTTGTTTTTTTTGTAATAAAATAAAAAATAAAAGAAATAAATTATTTTTTTAGGGTGGAATATATTCAATTAGCTTTGCAATATAAACCATTGAATCTTGGTCAAGGTTTTCCTGATTTTCATGCTCCTGAAAATGTCACAAAAGCATTAGCAGCCGTAACAACAGGAGAAAATCCCTTATTAAATCAGTACACTAGAGGATTTGTGAGCATTTCTTAATATTAATTTATTATATAATTAAATTTTTCAATTATTTGATTGAATAATTAAATTAATTTTCAATTATTTGATAAAATAATTAAATATTATAACTATTAATTATTCAATTTAATAATTGACGATATTTTCAATTGATTTAATCAATATTAGTAGACTATTTCTATTTGTATTTGAATTTAAATTTAAAGATATCAATTATTTGGGTAAATAATTAAAAATAATAATAGTCCCTATTATTTCAGGGTCATCCACGTTTGGTTAATGCGGTTGCGAAATTGTATTCAAAAATTTTAAATCGTGATTTGAATCCAAATAATGAAATTCTCATCACGTCGGGTGCCTATGAAGCATTATACGCAACAATTGTGGGACATACAAATCCTGGTGACGAATGGATAATTATTGAACCCTTTTTTGATTGTTATGTTCCTATGGTTAGAACATCAGGTGGAATACCACGTTTCATAGCCCTTCAACCTGTGAGTTTTAAGATACTAATTTTCCAACTAAAAATTATTCAGAATTTATTTACATAATTTTTATTTATATTAAATAAATAATAATTTTTTTTTTTTAAAGAATTTTTTCATTGTAAAATTCACAGAATAAAACAAGTGGAACAATTAGTTCATCTGATTGGGTGTTCGATAGAAAAGAAATGGAAAGCCTTTTTAATGAGAAAACAAAAGGAATTATAATTAATACACCTCATAATCCAGTTGGAAAGGTTTTTACACTTGATGAATTGCAATTTATTGCTAATTTAGCAAAAAAATGGAATACTCTCGTTGTTTCGGATGAAGTTTATGAATGGATTGTTTATGAACCATATCAGCATATTCGAATTGGTAATATATTTTTTTTATAATAATAGGTATACTATTTTCATTTGAAGAATTATCTTTTTTTCTCAATAATAAGTGAAAAGGTGAATTATTTAAATTATGATAAAATTTTGTTTTTAGCAACTTTACCAGGAATGTATGAACGAACAATAACAATTGGCTCAGCAGGAAAAACTTTCAGTGTAACTGGATGGAAAATTGGATGGGCTTATGGTCCAGCGAATTTACTTCGTAATTTACAAATTGTTCATCAAAATTCTGTTTATACTTGCACAACTCCTATTCAAGTAATTATAAATTTGATTTTTCTTTTATTTATATTTCATTTTGGGGAAAAAAATTTTTTTTCCTAATTATTATTTCATAAATATTTAGGAAAATATTAATTTTGACAAATAATACTATAGGAAGCAGTGGCAATTGGATTTGAGGAAGAAATTGCACGATTTGGTCGCGATGATTGTTATTTTGTGAGTCTTGCAAAGGAATTATTACCAAAACGTGAATATATGGCGAAATTTCTCACTGAAGTTGGAATGTCACCGACAATACCGGAGGGTGGTTATTTTATGATTGCCAATTGGTCGGCATTAGAAAATAAAGTTCGACTCAATGAGGAACAAGATGCAAATAGAGATTATCGTTTTACTAAATGGATGATTAAAAATGTCGGTGTTCAAGGTATTCCACCATCTGCATTTTACAGCGATGAGCACAAACATTTAGGAGAAGATTGCGTTCGATATTGTTTCATTAAGGTAAATGAATATAATTTATTTTTTTACATGTATTTTCCATATTTTGCAATTTTCATTTATTTTTTTAAACTTCATTAATTTCTTTAAAGGAATATTTTTAAAAAAGGAAAATATTCTTTTTTTTTTGCAGAAAGATGAAAACTTACAGAAAGCAGCCAATCTTTTATTAAAATGGAAATCTCAACTATAAAGACGAATTAAAAAGAAAAAAAAAACTTGTAATATATATATATATAAAAAAATAGCATTTATGTTTGTAAAAATTGATCAAAAGTACAAATATTTGTACATCATTTTTTTAAAATATAAATATTCTATATTTGTTATAATTAGTTTGTTATATATTTGCTAAAATGAATAGTCGTGATTCTTAAAAACTGTTTATAATATTCTTTCCCTCATAATTAAATTTGACTATTTTAAGACTCAATAAAAATTATTTTTTACTTTAAATAAAGTTAGTTATATTTTTTTTCAATTTATATTTATTAATGTAAATTCTTTTTTCCAAAAATTGTCATGATCGTTAATTAATTTATTTCGTACAATAAACAAAGTTTTTTTTCAAATAAAAGATTTTTGAATAAAATATAATTAAAAATTTGTTATAATTTGTATATAAAATAATAATTTAAAAAAAATATCGTGAAGAAAATTGTGAATATTTAGAAGGAAAACTTTCTACTATTCTTTTTTTTTTTAAATTACTTTATTGCAGGAATATAAAAATTGAGTAATTGAGGCGGTAATAAAAATGTGGGTGATTTATAATTTGTATAAGAATAATAATAATAATTAGATTTGGAAATCTTTTCAGGTCAAGTATATATGAAAGGTATAGGGGTACTAAATCACTATTTTTTGAAAATAACTAGAATTGAAGAAGCCAAGAAGAGAGAAAAAAAAGAAGGGAGTATAACAATAGAAGTGGGGTGTTCGTTGCGTGAGGAAGCATCTAAAGGCGACTTTTTCCTTTTCAGTTTTCACAGGACCTTCATACAATGAACATTCCAAAGCTGACACTCTTTTTCTCTCTTTCACAAAACAAAAAAAATGTTCTCCAAAAATTCAAAATTTTAAAAACTTCCAATTTTTAATTTTTTCACAGTGAAAAATATTACAAAATTAATTCAGAAAAACATTTTTTTATTGAATATTTTTACTGTCAATTAACTTTTTTTTTGTACGTTTCTAATATTTTAAATTTAACTGTAATACGTTTAAATAATATATTTTTAAAAAATGTGGACAAAGTGAAAATAATAAAAAATAGTGTGCAGTGTTAATTAAAGTGTTATTTATCGCCTCTATATATAAAAAAAAATGTGGCTTCAAAAAGATAAAAAATCAGTCTTTTATGTTGATTCCGGCGAGGAAAATATTCATCTCAACAATGCAGTCAAGGTACAGGTTAATTAACTTTTATGATTTAATAAAAAAAAAAGAAAACAAAAAACTGAAATACAAATTTTTTTTATAAGAAATAAATTAACGAAAGAAATAAATAAAATCGACAATTTTTGGAAAAAAATTTTTTTTTAACAAATTTCAACGTTAATTTCTTAATATTCAAAAGTATATAATTTCAAGCAATAGATCAATGAAATAATTATTGGAAATTGGAAATAATTAGTCACGAAATTTGTGTAAATGGACTTTTGCTCTTTTCTCAAACTAAAATTAGATTAATTTTCCCCCGCGCCATGTCTATATAGTAATGATTTGTTATTAACTGAACCAATTTACGCCAAGTTCTGATAAATTGGCGCTAAAATTACAACCCTGATCTTAATTACATATCCGTGAAAGATTCTCTCCTGCGGGAAGATTGTATCGCAATTGTATGGCAGGTGAATCTTAGAAGGTAAATTACGATATATAAAAATATTTTTTTAATTTTTACTTTCACAATTTGAAAAAAATCCCCATTTTTAATTTTTTTTTTAAATTATATTTTTAAATAATATTTCGCATTCTAATTATCAAATGAAAATTTATATCAATGGATAAATAAAAATTGTTTCAGTGGAAAAATAGAGAAATTTTGAAATAAATAAAAATTGCAAAATATGGATTTATCTTTTTGTTTGCAAAGAAAAAAGAAAAAATGGTTTTGAAAAATTATAATTATAGAAGGGAAGGATGTGATTTTTTTGTTTTATTTGAAAAATTATTTTTTATCCGCATACTAATGAGTCTTCATCCTGTGACTTGTTCATTATCACACAAAAACCTTATCATCAGCATACCAATGGTGGCAAGTTTGCTTTAATGTTATTTATGAACATAAATCATAAACCAACTGAAATTGCTCAACATCCAAGTGTTTTTTTTCCATATGTATAACGATTCGTGTTCTTGAAAATTTATTTTACTTTTTAATAAATGTAAAAAAAATTTAATTTCAACTTTTTTTTATCATTAATCAGAATAAATAATAATTTAATTAATTTCGAGAGAAATATCACGAAAATTTTTTATATTTTAAAATTATTCCATTTTTTTAAATTAATTTTTGTTATGCTATTACTATTTAATTTTTTTTCAGGAATATTTACTCGTATTTGTTCTTAAATTTTCTAAATATGATAATAAATCAAACACTTAAAATAAATTAATAAAATTATTCATTTTAATAAAAAAAAAAAAATAGAATAATAAAATAAAACACGAACTCTACGAGTAAATATGTCACCTGTAACTTTTATTTTTATATCCTAGATTATGTGGGATAATAAAGTGAAATGGAATTTTTTCTAGAATATTTAAATCTCTTTTTTTTCAAATAAAAAAAAAGAAAGGGGGAAAAAAATTAGTGTACGCATTGAAACGTGCCTTTGACGTTAGTTAAAGGCTAAATTTAAAGCTCTCAAAGGCAACTTAGTATATATAGTGAATCGATAATCCTTGTTTATCAAAAGGGGGGGTTTTGCTGCGCCAGGTGTAGGCCAGGTAAATCAGGCGCGGAACATCCGGTACACTCGTACATTTACGTGATCGCATAAATGCATTATAAGTACATTCGTGTGCAATTCGTGCTACGAAAGCATAATGATTTCTTCTTTTTCCTCTTTATTCTTCGCTCTTCTTCTTCTTCTCCTCTTCCTCTCTTGCATTTGCGTTTTGTGCTCTCTAAAGTCTAACGGATGTCAGTGTTGTTATCTGGAGACACAGTTCGTTAAACTCCATTTTTTTTACGATTTAACAGCGACTCTAACCATGACTTTGAAAAAAAAAACGGAAACCATTTTCCTCACAATTTTCGAAAAAAAAAAATTATTCTCATTCTATTTTCATCATTTTTGTATAAAATCAATACTTTTAAATAATTATTGCATTTCTTTGAAATTTTCATCTAAGAATTTAGTTCAAAAAAAAAAAATTAAATTTTTATTTTCGGAACAACATTTTTAATAGAGTAAGCAGAAATTATTTCTAAAGATTTAAATCAAATTTGTTATATTTATTTGAATTAATTTTTTTTTAATTATTAGAGCACAACACAAATTCAGAGTATGTAGAGAAGAAAAAGAAGGAATAATGTTTTGTTTGCACGAATTGCACACAAGAATAAATTAGAATTTATTCCCTATATTTATTTAAATTATTTTGCTTTTCTTTTTCCCTATTTTGTTTTTAATTTTATGCATTTCGAAAAATGTTCAATTAATTCAATGGGAAAATTTTGGAATTTAATTAAGAATTTGTTTAAATTATTATTTTTTTTTTATTGTAAACATGCAGCATGCATAAATTGTTTATTTTTCTAATTTTGTACCTCGTTGTTTTCCTTATTTTTCCAATTATTAAAAACCGGCATTACGACAATCTTGACGGAAATCTGAATACGCCGAAATAACGCCATTTTGCTGTGAAATGGCGAAAATTAAATTCGGATATCCTGCAAAATCGGTGATATTATGTCCAACGTTGTATAAATATTCCTTTATTGGCAATGGAAAATTATTTTCAATTTGGACTTGCATTGGCAAATACTGAAAATTTAATTAATAATTAATGAAAAATTTAATTATATTTTCCACATATTAATTAATATTTAATAAGAATTTTTCGTTTATTTTTATTGTCTAGGTTTTTTTTTTTTTTTTTATTGATTATCGAAATAATTTTTTTTAATACCTGATGATGCATTCTGTTAGCGTCTATAGCCTCTTTAATAGAATATCCTGCCCACAAATGTAATATTGATGTAAGTGCCACCCCTGTGGTAATTTTTATACCACCAACGCCTCCAACCAATAATCGAACTTGATTCTTCTGGTCGAGCTATAAAAAACAAAATCCTTTTTTTTAAATAAATGTCATTTAATTAATAAAAATAGAAATAATCAAGTTACATAATTATCGAACTTTATCATTAAAAACTTAAATAAAATTAATTTATTGAAAGTATTGCAAGTAATAAATATTTCCTAAATAATTATACGAAATTCAAAAAGATATTTTTTTTTGTGCAAGTATCTCTCTAAATAAATCAAATATAAAAAATATAATAATACTGATAAACTGGAGAATGTTGAATTTAAAAGAAACGGACAAAAACAATGTTCAATTAAAGAGGTTCAACTGTATAATACCATAATTGTTGGTGCCGTTGAACTAAGTGGTCTTTTTCCCGGTTGTATAAAATTAGCCTCAGAAGGACGAACACCAAAGATATTAACAATATTTGGAGCTGAAAAATCGTCCATTTCATTGTTAAAAATAATTCCAGTTGATTCCGAACGGAAGAATGCTCCAAATCTGAAATTCAACAAAATTATTTTATATTATTTAAAAAAAAATGTACTTTATAATATAAACAATTTAATAATATTTTGAGCATTTAATTAATTAGTTTAACATACATCGTCTTCGGATTAATAAAATAGGTGATTTGTTTTTTTTTTTTATAAAATATATACTTACAATCCGTTAATAGTTGACGTAACAGAAACGGCAGAACCATCAGGAGCATAAACACAACCATGATAAGTTCCATGATCATCACGATTAATTGTATCTGTACTATAATAATCAGGATCATTACTGGTCCATGTGTCTTTGATTAAACGACGAATAACACTTGCATGATCCTTGTCTGTCAGATTCAGTGAAAGTTGATCTGAAAATTCGTTCAAATCAGTTTATTATTTTTTCCATTTTAATTATATTTATTTCAATTTATAAATTATAGAAAACTAAATTATTACAATAATAGTGATAGAAAGAGAAAATATTTAATTTTCCATATTAAAAGAAAAACTTACTTGCATCAGGAACAAAAGCAGGATCACCCATTTTAGTTCGGAAAGAGTAGGCCCATTTGAATGTTTCTAAAATTCTTTGATAGCCAATAGTTTCGCCTTTTTCAAAGACAAATCCATCGAGTACATTTAAAATAAATGCTAAAATTGATCCCGATCCAGGAAGTGGAGACGAATAGACAGTTAATCCATTCTTGAGTTTTGTTTTTACTGGAGGTCTCCATAAAATTCTTAAATTTGTTATAACGTTAAGTTAAAAAATTTGATTCAATATTAAATCTAATTCGAGTTAATATAAGAATTTTTTTTTAGAAAATATTAATAAATGCTTCTTCTTTAAATTAAATAGATTCTTTTGTCATTAAAGTAAAAATTATTATTTAAAAATAACAAAAAAATGATAAAAACGAACCTATAGTCTCTGAAATCTTGTTCGTCGACAATTCCATTATGTTTTTTAATTTCTCTAACCATATTTTTAGCCATTGTGCCATTATAAAAATCTCTGACACCGCTGCCGTCTGGAGCTGATAATTTTCTAAGGGTCCTTCCATACACTGGCCTTTTCATTGTGTCTCCATACTATAGATAATAAAAATCATCTCTTTTAATTTGAATGCACCATCAAAAATTGACTTTCTCTTATACACAAAAGAAGAATGAAACAAATATATATTTATTATTTATAGAATTATTTCAAACAAATAATATGTGAAAGTTTTAAAAATATCTTTCAAAAAATTATTTTCATAAAAAAAACAACTTATCTATTACTTTTATAAAAAGAATATTTAACTTTTATTTATTTATCAATTTAAAAAATTTTTTAATAATTTATTTTTTGTGAATTATTTTTTTTTTTTTTACATCATAAAATTAATTTTCTGCCAATTGCCTCAGTAAATAGGAAATTTAATTTTTATTAACACTAAAAATTATTAAGAAAAGAAAAATAAATAAAAAAAGATAATTACAATTGTATTTCTGTCATAAAAATTAATGATGTTTAACTAGAATCATTAGTTTAATTTTAATTTGCGATGATTAAATAAAATTTCTGTTCATTTGAATGAACATTTAGTTTTAAGTGCATATACAATTTGCAGTTACATTACTTTTACGATTGAGAAAAATAAAATAGAAAGAAATTACATAATAAAAAAAAATGGTGAATTTTTGAATATGTCAGAAATGAATTATTTTCGTTATTATTATTATTATTATTATTATTATTATTTAATTATTATTACTATTATTTTTCCTTTTTATTAAAAAATTATTCTTTTTATTTAATTTAATTCTCATTAAAAGAAAAAAAAATTGAAAATGCAATCAAAGACACGAATCGAACTTAATTGTATGTTTAATTAAAGAATTTTTGGTGTAGATATATTTTACCTGGAAAGGTTGATTAGTTTCGGGATTTATAAATATTTCAGCCATAGATGATTCAGCTCTTATTAAATTTTGTGTTGCATTGATTCCATAATGTAAGAAATGATTAACTCGAAATCCTTTTTCACATAATTCAATTGACGGTTCAAAAAGTTCATTCCATTTTAATTTTCCAAATTTTTGATGAGCCTCCCAATATCCTGCCACTTCACCTGGTACAGCAACGGCTAAACCACCTATTTTTTTTATAAAAAAAATAAAATTGTTAATTATAAAAATTATACGAAAAAAAATATTCATCCAATAAATTCTTTTAAGAGAATTAGAAAAAAAAATAAAAACAGTTACCGTGTTCAGCTAATTCTGCTCTTCCTCGGAACATATCGGTAGAAGCTTGTCGTGGTGCTGTTTCTCTAGCATCTAAAGAATGAACTTCTTTTTTTTTTGCGTCCCAAATTGTCATTGAAAAACCTCCTCCCATTCCCATGCTTTAAAAGAATTATAAAATTTATTAGTTGCAATTTTAATTATTACTAGCTATAAATTAAATTATTAAATAGAAGCAATTTATACTTACGCATGAGAAGAAACGACGCATTCGCAAATAAGTGTTGCAATCGCAGCATCAACTGCTGATCCTCCTTTTTTTAACATTTGAACACCTATTTTCGCGCATTCTCCATCCACTGTTGAAACCGCACCCTAAATATTTAAATTTTTAATTAATTTTTATTAATTATAATTAATTTATTTATCTTTCTTATTTCAATATGTATCATTTTTTTTCTTTTCTAGAAATTTGTAACAAATAAAAATGTATTCAACAAACGAAAATTTAAACATATATTTTTATTGTTATATATAATATTAAAAAAAATTCTTACATTTTTGTATTCTCCCATTGGATTGGCAGTTCTTTGTTTGTTCGTCCATTTTATTGGTCCAGGAGCAGAAAATACTAAAGCTATATTTATCAATAGCAATGGTAAAGTTTTTTTCGAGGCACTGAAAAAAGGAAATTTCAAAAATAAAATTTTACAAAATGAAAACACATTTAAATGATATTTTAAATTATTAAAATTACATTAAGATATTAGATGCAATTAAATTTAAATTAAATCAAAAAGTGAAGGAGAAAATTCTTTATTTTTTAGTTAATTATAAACTATAATAAATTAAAAAGAATTATTAATTAATAATTAAATAATACAATGTTCGTGAGCTAAACTTTGTATTAGCTGATTATAAAAATTTTTGTAAAACATATTTATATATACAAATTGCAATGTTAAATGGACATTTGTAAATAAATTTTTTTAAACAAAGGTAAAAATTAGGCTAAAATTACAAATTCATATATTCAATATTCTAACATTGTAAGTTTGCATTTATGATTAAACATATTTTTTTTTTTAAATCAAATTTTGGTAAATCCTCAATATGTGACATCACAATATTAAAACTGCTACAGTTACGTTCGTTTGAGAGTTCTTTTATGGAATTTATTTTTTTTAAACGAAATGTTTCATTTTAAAAAAAAATTTTTTTTGTGAAAAAAAGAAAAAGAAGCTCAAGGAATTATTTTATATATTTTAATAAATTTATCGTTATGTCATGTGAAAAAAATTGGTCGTGAAATATTTTTTTTCTCTTCTCTCTCTCACTTTATCAGTTGGATCTTCATTCGACTCAAGTCGGAAGAATTGCAGATTGAATAGATTGAAATCTGGTACCTTAGAGGAGAGGGTCACATGAGGTCAATGCTTCTGTATTTAGATTTTTGTCTCCGATCAGAAAAAAAAAAAGTATTCTATACTGACAGAAACAATAACCAATGTGATAGTTAAATATAAATTTTGTTAAATGGAAATTCGGTTAAATAGAATTTCTGTTAAATACGAATTTGGCTGAATAAACATTCTTTGATTTGAAAATTCATTGGTAATAGAAATTTTGCCTAATAGAAATTTGGTTGAATAGAAATTCTGACGAATGAAAATTCGGTTAAATAGAAATTTTGTTACCTATTTTAAAAAATTAAAATATTTTTAAACATTTGAAATTTTTATACCAAGAAGGAATTTAATATTATAAATTTTCTTCAAGATTTTTTTCTCTATTTCTCTTCATTTTTTTTTTTTTTTTTTGCAAATATAAAAGAAGCATTGTATCTATAGAAATGAGGAATTTTAATTGAAATTTATTAGACTGAAATGGAGTATTTCAAGAGAGGTGAAGAATTTGGAACAAGGTCCTCATGAATTGAATCCTTTCTTGTCTCGAGAGGATTGTTTGACTTAGCCCATATGACTTGGGGACTCTCGAGGCCACTGGGTCAGGAAGTCAGAGAATGCTACACAGAGTGTACCGTCCACACAGATTTTTCAAGTGTTGAACACATTCTTTTGAATATATTACCCGATTCAAGTAAATAACAAAAAAATATATATAATAATAAAAAAAAATCTCTATTTTTCTCACTAAAAAAAAAAAAAAAAATCGTCATTCAAAGGACAATATAAAAAGAAGAAGGATGACTCTTCTGTTTATTTTACTCTCAATCAGCATATTTTATATCTCAAAGAAAAAATCTAATATTTACTAAAAAAAAAAATCTTTAACAATGGAATGAAGAAATTTGACAATTCTAATTGGATTTTAATTTTATTTAGGTTGTTTATTTCTTAATTTAATAATTATTTTACTCTTTTAATTTTAATAATTGTACCAACAAATTTAAAAAAAGAATTTTTAATTGAAAAATTAATTTTTTAATATATTATTAAATAGTTAAAATTATTATTTCAATTTAATAATAGATTTTAATATTACGAACCTCACACTTTGAGAAGCCATAATTAAATGTTCTTTGAAAAAACTTATAATAATAGATAATAACAATTGTTCGACATCATATTTATATGCTTTGTTGCACGTCTTTTTTTTATCAGTTTTCAATTTCTGCTCGAATTCATCAGAAAATTACAAAAAAAAAAAAAAAGATGATATTCACAAAATTATTGCAAGATAACACAATGCTAATTATGACTATATTTTAAATATTATAACGAGAATTAAATGGACGCGAAATATTACACAAGGACGTTTGTGCTATTAAAATAAAAATAGACAAACTTTTGAATACTGTAAATAACTGTAAATAAAAATTAATACATAAAATGAAGAAATTGAATAAAAAATTATTTTTAATTTTACAAAAGTTAATAAATTATTTTTAATTAAAATAAGTTTCCCAAAATAATAATTATTATATTCGAACGTAAAATATTTATAATCTAATTTTTTTTTGCAAAGGAATATAAAATAATTTGTGAATGATGTCAGATGGTATATATGGGCGACTAATTAAGATAGTTTATCGGACGAATGAGATGATAAAAAAAAAGATTTGCAAGTGTTATATTGCCCCTTGGGATAATCAGAGATTTTTATCCTGGCGGGAAAATTACAGAATCAAGTATAGGGATTTAATGAACATTGGAGAGGGGGAGAGGCCCAATTAAAGGGGACTTATGGATGATAACGAAACAAAAAAAATAATAATAAATCGCAAGATATATATATATATATATATATATATATATATATTGAAATCGGAAAAGGTTGCAAGAATTGCCGCAGAGAGTCAGATTCTTTGCGGAATGCGGTCAGGTTGGGACCGAATGTGGGAGAGTCGGGCCCCAAGTGAAAGAGTGTGGCCCCGCACAATATTCCCCCGACATCTTGGATCCGCTTTTGCGAACAGTCAATGTCTTTCGACGAATTGCGCGCGAAATCAATATTCCCTTTTTTTTTTATTTATTATAAAAAAATTATCTATAATTATTTTTTGAAAATTAATTAATTATTGATTTAATAATATTTATATAATAAATAAATCTGATTCATTTTTAATTAATTTACATAATTAGAAAATTAATTCCAAATATAAATAAAAAAAAATAAATTAAGACAAGTAAATAATAATTTAATCAAGCAAGAAATATTTTTTTTTATTATTCTTATAAATTGGATATTGAAGGGAAGAGGGGGGGGGCAAAGTATATGGAGATGTAATAAGACCAATTTTGAGATAGAGTATTTATGAAGATCATAATATTACTCTTTATTAAGGCCAGTGAAATGGAGCATTGCTGGCGTTTTATAGAGAGCAAAAACAACTTATCTAGCCTTTCGCTTCTCGCTGGCAATAATGAAGGTAGTGAAATTAACGTTTATATTCTCGAATCCTTATCCTAGGCGCCCTTAAGTCGCGAACGTGACTCATGTACTCATAAGCACCTACCAACCTTTGAAGTAAAAAAAAAAAAAAACACTACACGAACCTTGAGCATTTGAAATACGTTCGAGATTACTAGAGAAACTTTTTTACCCTCTTGATTTTATATATATAAATATACAATAGAAAAAAATTTTAATTGAACATTTAGTCTCAAAAAAAAAGAAACTAAATTACACATCACAATATTCTGCTATTATTCGCTGTAGAATTTTTTTTCATCACAAAAATTTAAAAATAATCAGGTACAATTTCTATTTAACTGAATTTGAAAATTCTATTTAGCCGAATTTTAATATTCCAGAATTTTTATTAAACCGAATTATTTAACCCAAATATAATAAAAATTCGGTTAAATAGATATATTTGTTAATAAATAAAATTCCACGTAAATACGAATTTGGATGTATAAAAAATTTTTGATATGAAAATTCAGTAAAATAAGAATTGGATTAAAAAAAAATTCGCCAGGATATGAAAATTTAGTTAAATATAAATTTTGTTAAATACGAATTTGGTGAAATAGAATTTCTCTTAAACACCAATTTGGCTAAATAAAATTTCTTTGATATGTAAAATTCTGTTAAATAGAGCTTCTGTTAAATATATGAATGTGATTAAATAAAATATTTATAATACGAATTCGGCTAAATAAAAATTTTTTGATACAAAAATTTCTTCATAGGAAGAAATAGAAAATTTTGAATAGATTTTAAATTACAATTCAAAATAAATATTATAATTTTAATTACGATTAATAAAAAACTTTGTTATCAATTATTATTTTCATAATATTTTCTTTTTCTCTAAATAGGAGGGGAAAAACATCATTAATCACCGTATTTGCCCCTATATAAAACGTTTTTTTTTCTCATATGGGACAAGAAAAGTGGGGAGTGAAGGGTTGAGTTACTCTCATCTGAAATCCAAGTTCACAGTGACTTTCGGAGTAGCAACGAGTGTGTTCCTAGTTTTTCTACTCCATCGGTCCATTATTTAATCGTTAATAATTTTTGCATTGATAGAGAGAAAAAAAAAGAAAATATTTCCACAACTTGTGCCTTTCGCGAGTGACCAAAAAAAAATCATTTGATTCAGTGTTACGTGTCATGTGAAAAATTAATATAATAAATGATAAGGATTCAATTCCAAACGAATAAATATCGAAAATGTTTCCTTCGTTTTTTCGATCATCAAAACAATGAGGATAACGATGCAATAAAGGTAGTTAAAAAAATTTTTTTGTTCATTTTGATAAAGGATTAAAAATTCAGTTTTTTGATATTATTCTCTATTCTATTATTTATGAATATTAAAAAAAAAGAAAATATAATTGAATCAAAATAGTAAAAAAAAAAAAATTTATACAAAAAACAAATTAAAAATAAATTTAAAAACCAAAGAAAATGATTTTTTTTTAAACTATTTCCGGAAAAAGAATTATTTCTTTTAAAAAAAATTATTTAAATACCCGTGTGGAAAAGTGATGTGGGCCCCCAGCGGGGGCCCTTATGGATCGCCCTCATGCCATGAGGGCCGCATATGGATGATCCATAGGGGCCCCTCATGGAAACGACATGCTCATCGATGAGGGCGCCCGCATGGGCGATCCATGAGGGTGCCCCTACGGGCGCCCTTATGGGCCCTCACGTTTGCCCTCATCTTGCCCTCAAGTTTGCCATAATGTTTTTTAATCAATAATATTAATAATAAAAGTTAATTAATAATAAATAAGCTTAAGTTATGAATAAATAACATATTTATTTAATAATTATTCAATTTTAAATTAAATTCTTACTCAAATTCAATTTATTAATTAACGTTCTAATTAATTAACTGTCGGATATAATTAAAAGTAATAATAAATTAATTAATTAAAAAATTAAAAAATATTTAATTTATGCATACTATTAACGGATATTTTCATTTTTCAATTAATTCATACATAGAATTAATGATTAAACGCAAACCTGAGAAATAAATAAATCTAACGCATGGGGGGAATCGAACCTACGACCTACGGACTATGAGTCTAACGCTTTACCAACTACGCTACGTACGCTACTTCAAAACGAATGCTAACTTCTTGATGCTATTTAAACTTCAAAAATACCTAACAAAGAAAAGTGCTTAACATCATTTAGTTAAAGTTAAGATATTAAATTATATTTTCCAATCAAATGCAATTTATAAAATATAATTAATTATATGCTTTATGATTATTATCATCAATCATCTCAGGTGAATTTTCAAAAAAGTGTAAATATATTTTTATTAAAAACGCGTTTTTCGTTGTTTTGAATCATTGGAAACATTCATTTTTTGTTGATGAAAAAATATTTGACTTTTGGACTTAGAAAATTTTGCTAATCGATCATGAGGGCGATCCATGCGGGCCCCTACGGTGGCCCTCATCTATTTTGCCATAAGTGTGAGTGTTATTTTCAAAAAAGTGTAAATATATTTTTATTAAAAACGCGTTTTTCGTGGTTCTGAATCATTATAAACATTAATTTTTTGGTGATAAAAAAATATTTGATTTTTGGACTTAGAAAATTTTGCTAATCGATCATGAGGGCGATCCATGCGGGGCCCCTACGGTGCCCCTCATGGATTCGCCATAAGTGTGAGTGTTATTTTCAAAAAAAGTGAAAATATATTTTAATTAAAAACGCGTTTTTCATTGTTGTGAATCATTATAAACATTAATTTTTTGGTGATAAAAAAATATTTGATTTTTGGACTTAGAAAATTTTGCTAATCGATCATGAGGGCGATCCATGCGGGGCCCCTACGGTGCCCCTCATGGATTCGCCATATGGATCAGCCCTCATGGGCCCCCGCCGGGGGCCCCGAACTCTTGAGGGCAAGATCGTGGCTTTTTCCACACGGGTATACACGATTAAATTGTTATTTCGTGATTTATAAATAAATCGTCTGGGAATTGCAATCGGAGATCTCTTGGAAAAAGGATATATCCTTTCGGAGACTGGATGTCTGTGGTCAATAATGATGGTTGCGAGATTTGAATGCCCGCAATCGCGTGTTCTTTTCTCTTCTTCGTTCACGAGCTTAGAGGATAATCTTTATTTATAGGTTTCTCTTGCTGCAAAATCATGATTTCAATTCTTTATTATATTTGCAATATAATTTTTTAATTGTATTAATTTCACTTAGTGCCCTCCTCTCTTATGTTGCAAAATCTCACAAATCAATTTCTCTGAATAGGAAGTGCTGAATAATCACTTCTCAATAAATAAATGCAATAATAAAATTAAAAAAAAAAAATTCACATGGAACTTACGACACGAAAGTCGATTTTTTCGTTCCGGGAATTATGTAATTAATTTTAAAGATCAATTTTTATGACAAAAAATAAATTTTATTATTTCAATTTTAAATAAACTAAAATTAATTTTAATTCCAAGTAAAATTTCTATTTTCACTAAATATAGTTAATTTTTTTTTAAATATAAAATAATAAATAATTTCTCTATATTTTTAACAATGACTATAGCATATGAAAAATTAAATATATAAGATAAATAAATTATTGTTATACTTGTTTTCATATATATAAAATTGTGAAAAAATAAATAATTTTTTTTTTTCAATTACTTTGTTGAAAATGTTTCGAAGTGAAATTGAGTGGAAGTAATTCCTTGATGACGTCAGAGGTATATACATCACAATGATAATAATGTTTATTATGATAAACGCCAACTGATCCTATGCAATTCCGTAACTTGTAACGGGCATTCGAGAGTCAAGGGTTAATGGAACGCACGTAAAACCGGTCGAAAGATTGTTATGACACGTTAAAAAAAAAAAGATTTTTCCCAGACATAATAAAACTTCCCATATGAAAAGAATAAGGGATTGCAAAAAAATTTCCAAAAATAAAAGAAAATTATGTAAAAAATTTCTTTTTTATATAAATTTGTTTAATAGAAATCAAATTTTAGTTGAATTTTCATAAAGGATTTTTATTTTTTTTTTAATTTTTTTAAAAAATGCTATTAAACCAAATTCGTATTTAACAGAATTTGTAACCGAATTTTTATTTAGCCAAAACTTGCAACTACAAAAAAAAGAAATGTTTCCAATCCTGACAAATTATAATCAATAAAGAATACTGATAATAATTCCTATCATCAATTTTAATTAAAAAATGACTCCAATTTTCATATTAAAAAGAAAATTATCATCCATAAAAAAATTGTTATAAAAGGGCAAAATAATTTGAAAAATTGTTAAATGAGAAAAATCTACAAACTTACGATATGCTTTTTCGTTGAGCCTGATTTTGTTCCCATCTTCTTCAGGTCAATAACACGCTCTTGTAATACAGCGTGTAAACTTGTTATGGCTCTTTGGATTCTTCGTGCCAATTCGTTTCTGCCAAAAATCGCCGGTCCAGGAACCTGGGCCAAGTTCAGTTCGCGGAATTAATGAAACGCGATGGAAACCGGTTGACAGTCGGCTGCGAGAGAGAACCTGCGAGACACGGAAAGAGCACGTTAACCATCAAGACTCTTTTATGATCTTCTTTCACGGCACGAGACATAAAAAAAAAGAAGAAAATAGAATGAAAAGAAAAAAAAAATCTTTTCAGTATCGTTAAACATTCAAAAAGAATTTGTCATTTTCCAAAATTTTGAATTCATTCAAAAAATTTATTTGCCATTATTTAAACAATTTTTTTTTTTTTTAATATAAACGAAAAAATGTAATTTTTCGTGAAAAATCCCATCGCTGTCACCATTTAATTTCCGCGTTTCGTTTAACCAAAAAAAAAAATATATATCTAGTGAAAGTTAACAATAAATAAAATTTTCATAAAAAACAGGATTCCCTAGAGGGAAAAAAAAATGTTGAAGAGAATCGTTTCCGTATTTATAATATACAAAAAAGCAGATCTTGTACCTGAACCTGACATATGACGTGAACAATTAGCAGGAAATAATAGTAAATTACTGCTGGTCATTCACTGGAAAAACATAGTCAGAACCACTAGGTCACTGGCCAAGTAACCAAGAATGGTTATAAAACCAAAAAAAAAAAAAAAAAAAATTCCTCACGCATTCTGTTAAAGTTGTTAATCGATTTCCTGATCGTGATTGAAGGCACTTCCCAACTATCTTTCAAGGTTTTATTTCTCCTTGAGAAAGCATTTATTGCACAATCAATAATCAGAAAAATTTATTGGAATATTAATTATTTGATCTCAATTAATTACAACGCAAAAAAAGAATTTTCTCACATTTCCGTCCACTTTATATTAACGCTCTTTTCTTTTTAAATTAAAAAAAATTTTTACAGACAAATTTTAATTTCATTGATTTAGCATTTAACAGAATTTCATTATACCGAATCTTTATTTGTCTGAATTGTTTTTTTTATCTAATTCTCAAAAAGGCCGAATTTTTAATTGACCGAAATTGTAAATTTTATTATTTATTATTTATTATTATTATTTATTATTATTATTATTTATTATTATTAATTATATATTAAATAGTTTAAAGTATCTGGATGCAATAAGATACAATATTTTAAATTTTAATTGACAACTTACGTTTGATTATATTGTCAGGAATGTTAAATTAAAATGATTGTTTTTTTCTTATAAGGAACATCATAATAGACTCATATGAGATATGATGTGTCAAGTTAAGAACAATTCAATGTAACTAATAATGTCGTATTTAACTTAATTGATGTTTTTTTGCCTTCTATACGAGATGCGCGACCGTCATTCAATTCTCGTTTATTATAAAAATACTCTCGCCATTTACTATCGTGACATCTTTATAATAATGAACAGGGTCATCGCTTAATTTTTTTTTTTTTTTTTTTTACCCTTTACATTTCACTTTCACAACGAGCAATTATAATAATTGATTGAATCATCATTAAATTACTATTAACAAATAGTAAAATATTTGAATGGTACATTCGAATTAAATATAATTTTAAATTAAATTTTTTTAAAAATATATTTTAATAAATAACAATAGTATTAGAAAAAATTAAATTTTTTTAAATATATATATATTTAATTTTGTCTTATTTTCTTAATAAAGAAAAAAGTGAAAAATTAAGGATTTACGTTAAAAAGAATATTGGCAAATTTTTGAGTAAAAAAAAAATACTTAAAATTCCCACGGTTCAACTGTGTGTTGCTCCAGAGACTTCTTTTGTCGTTTTTTTGTCTTTCTTTCTTCGTTTTTTATTTATTTTTTTTTTTTTTACTGTACTGGAAGTGTCATTCTTCATGGTTTTATTTTATTTATTTTATTTTTTTTAAGTGAATTCACGGTCAGAAAAAGCTACTGCGGGAACGAGTTTTGCAATGTGAGAGAGGCGAATATATATATCCCACGGGGAAAAAAAAAGAAAAATTGCACAATAAGCAGAAACCGTTAAATTTGTTACCGATTTTCAAAGCTTGTGGACAAATTAGATTAAAGCAAAATTAAATTCAGGATGAAAGTTTATGAATGACTAATTACACTTGGAAATTATAATGTGAAGAAAATCTTTTGTTTCAACGGCAAAAACAAAGCACGTTGTTAAAGTGCTTATAAAGAGAAAATAAAAAAAAAAATTTTAACAAAAATGATAAAATTAAATTAAAAAGTTAAAAACCTAAATAATATAATTATATACTATTATTATTATTTTTATTATATGTTTAATATAATAATATATAAATATAAAATGATTAATAATTTTGATAATATATAATTAATTAAATAATTAGTATAAAAAGAATTAATTTCCATTAAGAATGTTATTAATTTTATGATGAAACATGAGATTTGGTTTTTTAATTTTCTATGACTAAACAATTTTTCCGATCGACTTTTATTAATGACAATTTAATTACTATTGACCCGCATTATTGAAAAAGTGAGAAATATTTAAAGGCTTGAGAGTTTTTAACCTTGGACATAATTGTTTTACAATTTTAATTTCTATTTCAAATTCAAATTACGAATTCATTTATCATTATCAATTCTTTTTTTAAATGTCAAATTTGACAAGTAAAAATTATATTAATTTTGTAATAAAATAAATAAACACATATGTATATATATATTTTTTTTTAAAAAAGTAAAATAATTTTGAAATATCTAATATTTTGGAGTAGTATTGACTTAATACAATGCAATATTTTCCCAAAAAAATTTTTTGGCTTAATTTCCAAATCTTTTTTTTAATAAACTTTTATTTATTTCTGAAATATATTTCAGTAAAATATTTATTTTTGTACTATTTTTTGTTCTGTGGATAAACTATTTTTTTTGTAAACTATCAACTATTATTATTATTATTATTATTATTATTTTTTTATTTCTGTGAGATAAGTAACCAGAAACATTTTCTTTCTATATCTGAAGGTGTCCGGATGAATTATTAGTGTTCTTTGCACGATACAACGCATCCGGGATCGATTTCAGATTGAAAACAGTAGACGTGTCTTGATTCGCGCCGATTACAGTCAACACTGCTAAATTGAATGTGTCATGAACGTGCAACATTATTATAAGCGGATATCCGATGTCAGGGTGCCGTTTTTTTCTCAATATTTTTTTCCCCTTTTTTTCTACATATTTTTAAATTATATTAAATTTATATTATATATAATACAGAACAATATGATTCAGAACGAAATTATTTGGAACGAATTCAAGGTCTCGTAATAACTTGCTTTGGAAAAAAAAAATGTTTATGATAAAAAAATTAATTGATAAGAAAAATGTCTGTCAAGCGTTTCTTTTGACTTAGTTTATTTTTATTTTCTTTATTTTCTTTTATTTCATTTTTTTTATATTTTATCTTCTTTTCAAAAAAAAAAAAAAAAAAAAAAAAAAAAAGTAAAATTTCAATAACAAAAAAATACCCTTTTTACTTGGTTTGATTTACTGTTACAAGAAACAATATTAAAATAGTATTTTTCATCTTTTTCTTTGAAAAAGAAATTTTTTTTCTTATAAAATCGAAATTTATATAGAAATTGCATACCTTTTTTCGAAAATATGAGATATAATTTTTTCCATTTTAATAATCATTTTCTAAAAAATATTTTTATCAAGCATAAAAAATTATTGCACTTTATTTTTTTCGAACAATTTACTCCAACAATTTATAATCTTGTTTTTCGTTTGAAAACTAAATTTATTTGATGTTTTAAAAAAATAATTGTACAGCATTGTAAATAAGTTAATTATTTGAATAATTATCACCCAAAAAGTAATAATAGTTAAATAATTTGCATTTCTTATTTCACAAAAAGAATTTGAAAGAAAAAGAGAAAAAGAATAATTTATATATTTCTTTTTAGAAGTGCATAATTGACTAAACAATTAAATGTTATTTTAACAGAAAATAAACTTTTTTTTCCTCATTTTTTGGACTATATTTACAAGAAAAAAAAACGTACAGGGTCAAAGTAACAAAAGAATTTTAAGACAGTTACAAATCTAAAATCTAAATACAGTTCAAAATGAAAGTACTCATTGTTGCCTGTGTGACAGTTTTAACTATTATTTCCATGGCTCAAGAAGCACTTGCCAACAGTAAGTTTAATATAAAAAAAAAAATTGATTTAATTTTTTTGAAAATTTTCCACTTTTAAGAAAAAAAAATTAATAATAATAATTGAATAATTAATTCAATATTAAATTAATATTACTTTTAATTAACTGAAAATTTACAATTGATAATATTTTTTGTTTTATTTCTATTAAACAGATCAAAATCAAAATCAACAAGACCAACAAAACTAAAAAAAAATCAACTTTCAAACACCATCTATTGGTTTGTTATTTTCAATGACTTGAAATGTATTAATAAAAGTTGCAACAAATTATATAAAATGATTTTTTTATTTCATTAGAAAAATTTAACCTTAACTATGCACAAAACTCAAAAATAAATAAAAACGATTAATTCGTTAAATAAAATTTCTATTAAGTACGAATTTGGAATTCGGTTAAATAAAAATTCTCCTATATTAAATGTTTGTTCAATATTAATTCTAGTTTGTAAATATTGGCTTAATAGAAATTCGACCCTATAATTTTGTTAAATAACGCAAATTCAAGAATTTTTTTTTTACTAAATTCTGAATTTTTTTTTTTAAATAAATGAATAAATTTTTCTTTTACATTCAAATGTGATAAGTAAATGTTTTATGATAAAACTCGTATGTATAATCGATTTTCACAACGGTTGGGATTTTTGCGCGTCTCAAGGTGCATCAAATTTCTCAACACAAGAATATTTGAACCTCGGTTACTATTGAGTGGCGCGTTAATGTTACCAAACGACTCTCAAATCTAAACGCATAACACACATTTATATATATATATATATATATATATATATATATATATATATATATATATATATATATATATATATATATATATATATATATATATATATATATATATATATATATGTACAAATTTATAAATGTATGTTGTATATATAGTGAAGTGATAAAACATTGCGGTGTTGGCACTCTTTACCTTTTCTACTAGCCTGGTATAACGTCGATCAAGACGTTTGCGCAAATCGCGTGCTGCGGGCACGCGTACTGAGGGCCTTTTCAGAATCTCTTTGTCTGACCGTCTTTCACATGAGATGGCAAAACAAAACTTGGTTGGTACAATGACCGAGAATCGACACCGTAAACTAACCGTATACGATAATCATGATAATCGTGAGTATAATTGCACAAAATTCCTGGCTACATTTTTTTTTTCTTTTTTTTCAAAAAAAAAGGTCATTCCGACAGAAGAATTCTTTATACGCACAACTTTATTATCGTCTTTTTATGAGCTAAACGGTTTTTATTTTTAAAAAAACATCTCAACATGTTTTACACATCTTGTTTATAGTGTGAAAATCTCGAAAATTTTCATTAAGCCTTCATTACTTTTCTCTTTTTATAGTCTGCAGCGAGAGGAAATTTAAAATAATTTTCAGAATTCTGTCTCGAGATACATAATAATAAAATAAAACTTATTTTGCAAAAAAATAAATTTTTTTTTTTGATTTCAAAACATAATTATTTAAATTATTATTAAATTTATTTATTACTCTCTAAATTTGAATTAGTAAGAATTTGTTTACTAATTGAAGTAAAAATTTTAACTATTTAGTAAAATAGTAATATTTTTTTGTAACTAAAATTTTAGTGAAAATGACTAAAAATCAATTAGAAATTTTTACAAATTTAAATTGGTGAACGAATTTTTAAAAATTATTTAGTTTAAAATTTATTTACAATTCAATTGAAAATATATATATATTTTTTTATTTTTAGAAATGAAATAAAAAAAATTTGTTTAAATAAAACATTCTTTTCTATAGGTGTTAATTGGAAAAAATTAACACCTGAAACATATTGTGGTTCGTGCCAAGGAATTTTTAATTAAAACATCTCTAATATTCTTTTAGAACATCATTTTTACAGAAGAAAACTTAATTTTTCAAAATTAATTATCAAAATCTAAATACTATTTCCTGTTTAAAGTTACAATAATTTTTTATGTAAACTCTTCTTTTTTTTTTATAAAATGTAACTTTGACCAAAGAATGTATTCAACTAATCGTTGAATTTATTTATTTATAAATTAATAAATTCAATGATTAATTAATTAGTAATTAATTAGTTAATTAATTACTTATTAAAATTATTTAGTTAATGGATTTGGTAATTATAAATTAACAAAACTTATAAAGGACAAAAAACAAAAATAATTTGACATTGAAAAGGGACACCTGTTGTAAATTATTACATTAATAATAACTGTAATGTTTGCAAGATTATAAATATTTCTATTAATATTTCATAATGACATTCATAATGAGTGACATAACGAGGTCATTTTTTTTTTTAATTTGTCATGTCTCATGTGAAAAGAATAGCAAAGCTCTTATTTTATATCAATAATTTCTTTCAAGAGACGTAAATTTGATGACCTTTGAATAAAAATTGTAATAAATGAAGACTAAACAGTTCTTTAAGAAATGATTTCGAAATATTACGTGCGTTTATATATAAATAACGGGTCATGTTTTTTCACATCAATGGAATCATTTAATTCTTCGTATTATTAAAAAAAAAGTATTTTTCGAACTAAAGAATAAGAAAAAATAACTAGAATTTTTTTTTGTTTTTTGATTGATTAATTATTATTTCTGTAAATGTCTTTTTTCATTAAACAAAAAAAAAAATTTTTTTTGATAAAAATGCATTTGGTAAAAGTCCCTGAACTGAATAAATAAACAAAACGTAATTTACTGATGATAATTGATACTAATTTGTATGCATCTTGCAAAACAGGTGTCGAATGCCTCATGTTACTGAGTCTGCTCATTTGAAAAATCAGTTTGATATTTCATTTATAAATTAACAGAGACAAAGGAGAATTTCTTTCATCTCAATGACTTTGAAATTAATTGTTATTTTTAACTAATTCATATTTAGAGAGTAATATTAAATATTTTAATTAAACTAAAAATTACAACATTTTTATAATTGAAAAATAAATAAAAATTACGAATAAACAATTAGCGGGTGAAAATTTTTAGAATAAATAATTTTTTTTAAATATTTGTAAGTCCGTTCATTGTTAAATAATTAAATAAAAAATAATAAAATAAAATGTCAAAAATAGAATAAGAAAAAACTACAATTCAAATGAAACAAAAATTTTTATGGGACCTTGTCCTATAAAAACCACATTTTCCCCTAATATATATAAACGTCAGTCTATAAAAAAAATATAAATATTTACCAACGTCTTAAAAAATTCAAATTTCGATATTTTCATATCCTTGACCTTGTGTGTCATTTTTTTTTATCTATTGCAGAACATAATACTCATGGAATTGCCGTTTGTTAATTCAATAATCGTAAAATATTGACGTGGCGAGACTTTCTAAAAAAAATACCAGCTCTGAAATGTAATACACATTCGATTACAACATAGAGAAAAAAAACCTTCTTGCAGAAAGAGAAAGAGAAAGAGAGAGAGAGAAATACCTCTTTGAAATTGAGATCAGCCTACGAAAACAATAGACAATTAATCTGCACCGAAATCTGATAGAAATTTTGCTACTGTTGAAAAAAATCCCCTGACCTACTTTGAAAATTGTGTGCGGTGTGTGTAAAAGTAGCACCGTCAGAAGCAATAAACGTCCTATATATTTATATACAATAACGGATCTATTGTCGAATCTTTAAAATCACTTGAATGGAAATAATGCCTTTATAATATCAGATCAGAAATCGGTTTCAGAATTCTTGGTCAGTAATATATATATATATACAAAACCATTAACAAGATCCGTGTGTGTCTATTTTTTATGGTCAAAACTTTCAACAGGGTGAGTCAGAAATTTTTGACTGACAAAAAATGAGGGTAAAAAAAAATAATCTCACTCCCAAAGGAAAAAAAATATATCTCCAATTTCTAATAATATCGAATTCCTCTGATTGATTTAAACGAAAGTCAATGATTTTCGTTCTACTTTAAATTTATTCATTTGCCACAAATTTCATTTCTCGATTTTTAAATATAAAATAAAATGTTGTTTTTTTTTAAATTAAAAAATAAAACGAATAAGAAAAAAATAAAAAAGAAACCAAAAAATTAAAACAACTTATTTTATTTAAATTTTCATCCTCTATTTGCTTTACCACTCGTTAATTTTTACAAATAATAATTTTTACATTTCACTTGATTTTTTAAATATATTTTTTTATATGATTTTTATCGTTTATGTGATATTTTCCCTTCTATATATAATATTTTATTTGACATTTCTCCCATAATTCATTTTATTTTTTATTTCACATTTTTATGACGCGCGCGCGACACCTATATATTGAATATCATAATTATTCAAAACTTCATTCTCCAATGAATCAAAATGTCTGGAAATTTATTTTCACCGATTTATTAAAAATCTATTTTTAAATTCATTGAATCTGTGAAAAAAATGTATATCTTTTTTTTAATATTATTTTTGTAAAGATTTTCTTTTTTTTTTAGAGTCAATAAATATTTTTTTAATTATAAAAAAAATATATTTTTTTTAATTATAAAAAAAATATATATTTTTTTTAATAAAAAAAAAAAATTGAAGATGAAACCCTTTTTGAAGTTAGTCAGTTAAAGATGAACTCGGTGAACGTCCAAAACACTCGAGGGTATTTTCATCTCCATCGTGAACGATGTTGGTTAGTGTGCTAATCATTCGATACCGTTAGACTGTGTTATCCACCTGAGAATCTTCGTATTCAAACTCACGAAGCGATCATATTTGCAACCAAAGTGGAGAATAATAAACCCAGTGCAAAAAAAATAAAAAAAAATAAACATTACACGAAAAAAAATTAATTTTGCCTTCTATGCTTATAGCAATGAAAAAATATCACCGAAATAAATAAATTTTTAATTATAAGTATACATTTTACACTGCAGTATATATTTGCAAATAGAGGAGAAATTTCAATTATGATTCTATTTTAATTGTTTCGAGAAATTATATATAGAAAGTCAAATCAGAATTATCAATTAAAGTTTATGTTATAAAATTGCAAATTCATAATTTAATTTGCAAAATTAAATTAATTTCAATGTAAGAAAATTGGGGCAAATGAAATATGAGAACAAAATTCAAAAAAATTTCGTCGAAAATTTTTCTTGTAGATTATGTTTGTTCGGTCCATTTGAAATTTGAAAATAAAAATTCGGCTATTTTAAAAATTTCCCATTCATCACGAATTAATTTTTTTTTTTCATTTACACGAATTGAAATTTTGATAGAATTCTTAAAAATGCCAAATTTTCGTTTAACAGGAAATTCCTAATGTCCAAACAAATATATATTTAAGAAAAATATTTAAGTACGATTTTTAAAATTCGACCAATTTTCCTCGATTCCGAGGGAGATTTCGTTTCCATTTGAACCTATATAACCATATCGGATTCTCTTTCTCTCGCGCGCGCATTATACGTTATTTCACATGCGGCGATAAAGATGAGTCTTAAGATTTGAAATAAAATATAGATATACATATAAAATGTCAGCGCATGTTTTTGATGGGAGCTTATATATGAATGTTTAAACGCATTCTGTTCGCCGGATACACACGTGGTATTACGTCTGCGCGACTTTTCGCACCGACGACAAGCGTTTGTGGCGCAAGGCGCGCAATCTACACATATATGCACTTTATAAATGAAGAGAACCATGTCGTCGTAGTCGTCATCGTCGTTTCTTGTGCGCTATCGCATCGACCAAATATATATCTATATATATATATAAAATTCCATTCATGCGCGCGGAATATATCTCTCTGGCGGGGTCCAAACTCCCCTTTTTCCTCCCACCCCCCTCTTCCAAATACACGGGGGATGCAGTCTTCACGGTGTTCTGACCACCCACGCGAATTTCCTGGTACCGTGCTTTCAAATTTTTATATCAAATTTTATTTACAATGACTATTTTATAATTTAATAAAGGTATTTATCTTAATTGAAATTTTTTTTTTTTTTTGAACCTCCCCCACTCTGGTAAATAGGAAATATTTTTGTATATTCTACCTCCTTCTCTATTATTAGGATTTAGTAGCAAAGAAAAAATTGTCAATTCCAAGGGGATTCGAACGCAACAAGTTGGACTACATCTAACTCACAATTATGAAACGCCTTAACGTCCGCGGTCAACGCAAACTTAAGTGGCATAAATACAAAAAGGCAAAACAATAAGAATGATAACGATACTAATAATCAAAATAATAATAAATACAATACACTTGAGGTATATTTTCAGTATATGAATTTAAAATAAATATTAAGAGAGGAATCATTATTCATTGGCAGAAAATTGAGGCTGCAATAAATAGATAACATTCATGTACTAGTTCCAATGAGATGGAACGACTTTGTTTCAATTTAAACTAGCTTACTGAGATTATCACTTCTTATGTGTCTGTGTGTATCTTTTTCCCTTGTAACTATTACGATTTACGAATACACAATCCGCAGGTATATACATTGCGCGCTTGTGTAACTGTGTGTAATGACATGTTCTGATAAAACGAACGCGATTTTACATTTTGTATATAGTATAGTTACAAACACATAAAATCAATCGAGCGTAAGAGAAAACGAGGTGCAAAATTGTTTCGTTTCGAATTATTATAATTTAATATTAATAACATAGCAATCTTATCGCGGGCGCGCGCGCGCGGATGTTCTTTGTATAAAGACTCTTGAGATGCGGAAAAATTAATCTTTGTCATATATATATTCATTTTCTTTCGTCTCTGATAAGAAAACTTTTTTTTTCACATTCCTCAGTAAAGTAGTTTTATAACAAGATTTTTTGAAACTAGATATATATGTCACTGTTTTATTTATAGATTTCTTTTCGAAAATTCCGAGAATTCTATACTAAATTAACATTCTTTTTTTAAATCTTATTAATTCTTCTATTTTCTATTGCAATAACATGGCATCATTTTTTTCCTTTAATGAAAATTCTGATTGTGTGTTAATTTTTATAAATAATAATAAATACCTGTTAAATAATTTTTTGATACCGCTGCATTCCTCAAATTTCCAAAAAAGATTCCTTCCTTACAGAATCTACTCGACATTCCTCGTATCAAACCAAAAGTATGAAGTATTCCAAAAAAGGTTCCTTCCTTACAGAATCTACTCGACATTTCTTGTACCAAATCAAAAGTATGAATACCTAAAAATAAGAAAATATATTAGAAAAAAATAAAAACTAGTTAAAAAATGACAAACACATATCAATAGCAATTCCTCTATGGAGGAGGAAGCAATAATAATAATAATTAATATGGATTTCTCGGACGTTGGCGAAAAAGAATAAGAGAAAGAATAAGAAAAAAAAAGAAGGGAAGAAAAAATATAAAGAGAGATTTATAGCAGCCAAGAACAAAGTATGAAAAATGTAAGATAAAGGATGTGTGATAGAAAGGAATACTAATGTGAAGCGCTGAGTAATAAACAGTAGATAATCCATGTAAGTGCCCCTTGTCTCATGAGGATGAAGCTTAACGCTCGTGCCCCTATTGAGCAAGTGCCTTGGGGCCCCTTTAAGGTCTTGAGACCAACCTACCCGCGCCAATCTTTTTTTTCTTTCATTTTTTTGATTTTATTCTTCTCTTTTTACCTTTTCTATATCTCTCTCTCTCTCTCTCTCTCTCTCTCTCTCTCTCTCTCTCTCTCTCTCTCTCTCTCTCTCTCTCTCTCTCTCTCTCTCTCTCTCTCTCTCTCTCTCTCTCTCTCTCTCTCTCTCTCTCTCTCTCTCTCTCTCTCTCTCTCTCTCTCTCTCTCTCTCTCTCTCTCTCTCTCTCTCTCTCTCTCTCTCTCTCTCTCTCTCTCTCTCTCTCTCTCTCTCTCTCTCTCTCTCTCTCTCTCTCTCTCTCTCTCTCTCTCTCTCTCTCTCTCTCTCTCTCTCTCTCTCTCTCTCTCTCTCTCTCTCTCTCTCTCTCTCTCTCTCTCTCTCTCTCTCTCTCTCTCTCTCTCTCTCTCTCTCTCTCTCTCTCTCTCTCTCTCTCTCTCTCTCTCTCTCTCTCTCTCTCTCTCTCTCTCTCTCTCTCTCTCTCTCTCTCTCTCTCTCTCTCTCTCTCTCTCTCTCTCTCTCTCTCTCTCTCTCTCTCTCTCTCTCTCTCTCTCTCTCTCTCTCTCTCTCTCTCTCTCTCTCTCTCTCTCTCTCTCTCTCTCTCTCTCTCTCTCTCTCTCTCTCTCTCTCTCTCTCTCTCTCTCTCTCTCTCTCTCTCTCTCTCTCTCTCTCTCTCTCTCTCTCTCTCTCTCTCTCTCTCTCTCTCTCTCTCTCTCTCTCTCTCTCTCTCTCTCTCTCTCTCTCTCTCTCTCTCTCTCTCTCTCTCTCTCTTCCCCCATCCATTCTTCTTCTAAACCCAACTCGTCTTTCAGTTTGACTTGGAACTTTCTGAAACTTGTTCATACCAGTATATACTTGCTATCCAACAACACAGATTATTGTGCCTACATTGCTCTTTAAAGTTACGATGCTCTTCCTGCTTGCTAGTCACAATGCCACAGTTATATAAAACCTTTAATATATATTCTCTTATTTATTATAAAGTCTCTCTTTCTTTCTCCTTTTTTCACCACCCTTTCTCTCTCCTTTTCTCTTTCAAATCATATTATATAATTCAATTACTTTCCATGAGGTAATAAATATATTATCACTTCAGTTAAAAATGTTTTGCAATAAGGGAGTAGTTTTGCATTACATTTTACGAGACACATGCGATAAATAAAAATAGATATAGATAAAGATTTATAGATATTGGAACAAATGAAAATTAGGTAAGAATAGGCTAAATAAGAATTAGATTACAGAAAAATCGAAATAATTTCAAATTGATATTAGGTTACAGATGAAATAAAAATTAGGTCAAATTTTGAAACAATTCATCAGCATTAATTTCATTTTAAAAAAAAATTAGTGACAAAATTTGGAAATTTCGAAAAATAACCAAACGGATGAGCTTTATTTTTTAAAGAAATATTTTTTCAATTTCAAATAAAAATATTCTCTTTGGCCAACAAAACTTTCGCTCCATATTAGATATATAGACAAATGTTAATTGAAAACTGGGTCACAGGATATATTTACACACAGTTCCTGCGTGCAAATATTTTATCGTTCGCATTTTCTAAATCTTTTTTGATGATATAAATAAATTTCCGTTCAAGTATTTCTTTAATATATTTATATATAATTGTGGCACACTCTTCCTGTATAGAATATTGTAATATCAACTAATAAATAAATTCTTATCTACATATGCAATTAAAGATTTTTTAAATATTTTTTTTTTCATATTTCTATTTCACGAAACAAAAAATAAAATGTCTATGACACAATTTAAATTTGTCACAATTCCCGTACATAGAAATTATTTCTTCGCTTCGTTGCATGCAAAACCGGACATTTTAAAATGCTCCTCTTCTTAAACTATTTTTCCTCTACTAACGGTCTAAATAACAGTCCAAAGAACGTGCTTGCAATGTTAATGGTAAATATTAATATAATAATTAATTAATATAATAAAAAATATATTAACAATTAAAATTTTTTGTTTTCAGGTGGGTTTTCATGTAACTACACGATCTTAAAGGTACAAAAAAAATTTAATCACAGAAGAAATATTTAATTTTTTTGAGATGCGGGGACTTTGATAAGAATTTCTATTTTTAAGCGAAAAGAAGCGAAACTATCGGCACCTGGTATATTTTGTATTAAAAAAAAAAAAAAAAAGAAGCAAACGGAACTCGTATTACAATGCTTTTGTCTTCTAGAGACAAAGGTTTTCTGCTACTGGCTAACGTTGAATAGTCCAGAGGAATGCTTTGTCGTGACTGGATGACGGAACATGTTGAAAATTCAATTATGTCTCTTCTTACGTGAGAAAAATGACGATTATCTATTACCCTAAATGGATAATACTTTCTTACACAATTTCTATATGGATTTTGTTTCTCAATTTAATCACTTATATATATACAATATATTTCTTTCAATTATTTATAGTTTCTTTTATTAACTCAAATATTCTAAATTTTTTATTTTAACAACGAATTTTTGTTTAACTATAAAGATCAATAATTTGATAAAATTGGAGAAAAAGGCTTTCTAAATTAGTGAAAGTGCGAGGAATTTAGAAACAGAAAAAAATGCATCTAGTGGCAAATTTTTTTTTACGAAAAATAAAGAAAAAAAAAAAAAATAGCGATAATATTAGAGCTCATTATATACAACAGTGAAAAGTCGAGGTTCTCTCTCTCTATATATATATATATAAATATTACTCTATGTACAGTTGTCCCGCAATAATGGAGCCAGAAAACCCGCATAAAGTTCCCCTTTTGTTTCACGGTTGCCTGCAACTAGTGAATGTACAGTCAAGTACATTTTAGTATTATATTTTTCTGAGACAGTTAAATAACAACTATATAATTATTAATTATACAATATTATAAATCCCAATTTCTAATTGCAATACATATGTGGCAAAAGTGATCTCGATTTTATAATTATTTTTTTTTTTATATAACCTCGAGTTTTCACACGTTGCGCGATTATATTTTCTTTCTTCCACAATATATATTTATATAAATAAATATTTTTCTTGTTATAAAATAAAAATATTATATGACGGACTTAACAAATTTTTATAAACAAAAATAATTTTATTTAGCCGAATTTGTATATATGTGTCCTGACGCGGTGAAAGGGACCTTATGATTAAATAAATCGATTTTTATTTTTTTATACCAATCGATAGTTTTTGAGTGGCTTTTTCATTTCCAACAATTAAAATTTGTCTCCTTCAAATACTTATTGTGTTATATAGCTTTAAACATAAGTACTTTTCCGCGTATTCTCGGGCGCCTCGTGGCTACTGCAAAACCACTACCACTGCTCACCACTACGACGCTACCCTCGTATATCGGTGAGCGTGTTTCCTTCGTGCATCTTCGGCTCTACCATTTCTTGTCTCTCCCCACTAGTTCTAAGCTCTGATGTATACATTGCGCTGGGCCCGGAAAATGGATTTATCTCATATTAAAGCCAGTAAAATTGCAATAAACAATTTATTAGATTTTCATTATTTTAATAATGTATAATAATAACAATAATTTATATTTTAAATTCAAGACATATAACTTATTTATACAGCAAAAGTAATGTTATTTTTACTGTTGTAAGAAAAGTAAAAATTGAAAATTTCTCTGTTGATAAAATAAATAATAAAAATTAATTTTATTTGATAACAACGATTTTCAGAGAATTAATAAATAATTATTAAAAAAATGTTTAAACATTGTCAAAAAGGGGTTTCGTAAATTTCTTCTCATCTTTAAAGGATAAAGTATTTCGAGTTGGCATTTGGAGGAATAATAGAGGAATATTATTTTATTAAAGATTTAAAGTGGAGTAATTTGGGGTAAGTTAGTTCAGCAGCGGCCACTAGCTAGAATTGGCGCCACATAGATTCAATGTCTGTCCCCACTTCTGTCAAAAATCCAACTTTTATAACCACAAAATTACTTTTAAAAATGGAGATGCTTCTTAATCAGCTCGCCCTCATCTAATTAATCCGACAAATCCGAACAAGATATTTCAAGTTATTTACGTATTATTTTGTCAATAAAAATTAATCAATTAACTTTAATATAAACTGAATCCATTTGCCGGGCCCAGGGCAATGTTTACATCAGAGCTTAGAAAGAGTAGGGAGGTACAAGATATGGTAGAGCCGAAGATGCACGAAGGTAGCATGCTCACAGACATATGAGTGTAGCGTTGTAGTGGTGAGCAGTGGTGCTGATTTGCAGTTGTACGTCCCCACTACTCAAATGTCTATTTTCGTGCTACACTTCGAGCGCCTCTCCTGTAAAATTTGCTTTGGAACCGTAAGGTCCCTTTCACCGCGTCAGGACACATATTTAACTTAAACAAATTCGTAAATTTTAAATTTAATAAAATATTTTAATAAACCAATTTTTTATTTGACCGAAATTGCAAATGTTCATACAACAAGATTTTGACGCAATTATTTTAAATTCAAGCCAAAATATTTTTGTATGGTTAATTTTGTTCTGTCATTTTTAATTTCAGTCAAATAAAAATTCGATCTTTTTGATAATATAATATAATAATTTGTGCAAACGAATATAAAATTAGGAAAAAATAAAAAAAAGATTCGGTGAATTAGAAATACTATCATTTAAAAATTCAACAAATGAGAATTCTGCTAAAATTGAATAAAAAAAAAAAAAAAAAAAATTATTATTTTCTATAACAATAATGTCGAGAGCTGTACATATGCAGATACTCCCTCGCTATTTACGCAAAGTACTTGGTATCGCATCTGCTGACATGCCCTGGTGGCCAACGGTTGCGCAAATTGAAACACGCTCTTAAAGGTCTAACGACTGAAAATCCATAAAACTAGAAGAATATTCTCCTCGCGATTCTATTCTCGAGCCAATTTTTCTTTCTTATATATATATATATATATATATATATATACACCTTTCTAAAGTTAAACACATTTATGATCTCATTTAAACTGTTGCTTTCATTTTATTTCATTCTCTTTTATTTTAACCCTCATTAATTATGTTGTTGCGATTCATTTTCTTTAATTATGTTTAAATTTCAATTTTTTTTTTTGTTTTGTTTATTGCCACCTGGAAATTTGGCAATTTTTTTTTATTTTGATATTTATTAATTAAAATAACAATTTATTAATATAAAAATTCATTAACGATTAAAAAATTAATATAAATTTTTTCATAAAAAATATAATTTTTAAATTGAAAAAAAATTATAGTAAATTTCAACTAGAAATAATTGATTTTTCATTATAAAAAAAAAAAAAAAAAATTATGTCTGCATCTGTGAAAGCATAAAGAATCTAATTGTATTCAATAGATTACAAAATGGTGGAGTAAATTAAAAGGTGTTATTGATAATGATAAAAAGTGACATAATCAGTAGGATGCGACGTTTCGCACGAAACCGGAAGTTATATATATATATATACCTAACTCGTTCGCATGGGTTGGTTAGATATGAAATCTACACACAAACCACAAAGTTTTCTTCTGTCGAAACTTCAGTTTGCCGCCGGATTTCCCCGCGACAACCTCGCCGATTTCGTTCTTAATCAGGAGTGCCAAAAGTGAGAAAAAAAAATCTATATTTGTGTTGTGTTATCGAAAAAAAAAAATTGTAAAAAATTAATACCCCCAAATATTTTAGTAAATTAAAAATCATTGATAAAAAAAAAATTACTTTTTATATAGATGAGAGTTCAAAACAATTTTAGTTTACTACAGTTTTTTTTTTAGTGGCACTTAAAAAAAATGGTAATTTAAGTAAATAATTCTTCTAAACAATAAATATTTTCCGTGTTCTAAATGTTATTGTAAAATTTATCCTCATTGAAACGTTCAATTTCTAAAGAAAGTCAGTGTACTTTGTGTTCTCAATAATTGAGAAAGAATGCAAATTACCTAAATAAATGAAAGAAAAAAAAAAAAAAAAAAAAAAAAAATGAGAATATACAGAGTGAAGAATCCTAATTTCTTGTCCATTTGTGGTTTCACAAAATTACACGTTCGTATATAAAAGCTACCGTTATAGCACTACGAAAACCGCACAGGAAATAAAATTACATGTATTCAACTATATATATTATATATATTTATTTTAAAAGTTAAATATCAAGTTGCAACTTATAAAGCCCGCATTTCAATATATTTTCTTGATAATATGCAGATGCGGGTGTAAAGCTGTATTTTTCACAATTTAAATATATATATGACGTCTTCGACGACTATATCTTCTTTACTCACACATTATTTATCACTTCGAAATCATATATTGTAATTGAGATAAAAAAAAATGTACTCGCGACACTTTATCAAACAAAAGTTTCATTTTGAACGAATATAATTCTCCGCATTCCTTTATACGTTGCGCGTTATCTTTGAAAAAAAAAAATTACAGTAATAAAATTTTCAGTCGCGTGGTGCATTTTCCACCTTTGCACCTTGTTTAATAAATATTTGAAAAACTCGAGAATTTAGAACAAAACGGGATATCACAAAATTTTTGATATACATTATGTTAATGTTTTTGTTTTATCTTTATATACATACACGGAGATGGAAAATTATTTATGATATAAATTTATAGATAAACTGTAAATTAAAAAGAATTTAATTTTTTTTTAAAATAAATTTTAATTTTTTTTTAAACTATATTTTCATTTTACCAAATTTTTATTTAACATGTAATCAAATAAACATATTCGGCATAAAAATCCCAATACAAATTTTATTTGGAAATTAGAAAAAAAAATAATTGTAGTACGAAAATTTGGATAAATAAAGAATGTAAATTAAAATTAAAAAGTGTGTAGAAAAACAAAGAATATAATTTAACGATATTGCTAATATAAATATTTATATAATATAAACAACTTTCCACCTCTATGACGTTCCAGAAAATAAGGAAATAATATAACAATAATATTGTTTAGATTATAAAAACAGTATGTAATTCTCATTTTTTTTTTAACTCTCATCCATATAAAAAAATTATGCCATTTATTAATTAAAGAAAAATTAATTAATACGTCGCATTATTTTTAATTTTGTTATTACTTTTCTTATCATTTTATCGATAAATAAAAAAGAAAGCCAGTAAACCCCTGTATATAACAATAAAATATGATAATAGATCCCTTAAGTGACTTGTGAATAAAAAAAAAAACAACATAAAATTTCATTGAAAAAAGAAAAAAAAAAATTGGAACGAAAGAATAAATTGTATAACGGATAAAAAATTTGAAAAATGTGTTTTGTTTGTGTAAAGTGAGAATTTGTTGTCTATTTAAACGTGTGAGGTTCGATGGAAAGAATTAAAAAAAAAAAAAAAGGAACGTCTTCCTCGCGCGCACTTTCGCTGGAATCTCTAATTATTTCCACCCAATTAAATCAGCGAAGGAATAAAGAGAACGCGTGTATCACGCGTGCAATTGCACACACGCGTTTAATTCTTCCGGTCATCCCTATGCAGTACAGAAAGCGTGCTCATCTACTGAGAAATTATAATTGGATAACAGAATACATGACAAAAAAAAAAAAAAAAAAAACAGAAGAAGATTCCCTGTTTTCCCGGTCTTTTTAAAATGATAATTCCACGTGCCTTCAATTTATTATTATACTTCACTTATGATCCCTATTTTCTCGGAATATTTCTATAAATATATTCAACAACATTAATATTATTCTCCTCGACTTTTTCCCTTTTTCATACTTTATTAATTAAATTTTCAATGAATTATGTATTTTTTTATAAACAGAGTATTTTATTTTTAGTATCAACTTAAACTCCCGTATCAAACCCCATTGTTATTTATTTATTTCTGAGAAAGAGAAATTATTGTCAATGTCGATAAATATCGGTAAAAGGAATCTGTACTTTCTCAAATAATAAAATTTATTATCATTGTCGATAAATGTCGGTAAAAGGAATCTGTAATTTTTTAAAGAGAAAATATTGTCGATAAATGTCGATAAAAGAAATTTGTAATTTTTTTCAGCAAGAAAAAATTATTAAATCATTTACAATCAAAAATTAAAATAAAAATACTGATTTAACTCTCGAAAGAAAATAATATTTAAAAAGTATGTAGAGATTCTAAAAAAGCAAAGGAAAATAAATTGATAAAAGGGAAAGAGTCGAAAAGAAATATACATATAGAAATAGAATAATATATCCGAGTGAATCGCGAAATTTATCTAATCTGAAGATTAGTAATTGGAGTTGCGGTAATTTAACGTATACTGGACAGATATTAATTTAGATACATGAATATATATATATTGTGCAGAGAATAAATTAAAGGCAGGCGGAGTCGAATTGAAATCGGACGAGTCTGGACGAAGGAAAAGGGAACGGCTCCAGAAGAATGGACTGGCAAAAGTCAAGGTTAAAATAAAGGAACCCAACAAAAGGAGAAAAAGATATAGCGAAAGGGTAAAAAGGCAGGAAAGAGAAGAAGAAGAATAGGAAGAAGAAGATGAAGAAGAAGTAGGAGGGCATCGAAAGGAGAGAAATGTGTATATAGAAACAACATTATACACTATCACAACAATACAAGAGCAGAAAACCACAAAGAAAAAGCAGAATCTAAATAAAAAAAAAAGTTCTCTAACAATATGTATATAAGAGGAGGTTCCATCGATCATTATTCACATTAATGGTTTATACAAAATGCTCCACTTCAACCCGAAAGCGAAAAAAAATTACCATGCAAACTGATAATGATTAGTGACGAATAATTAATTAATAGTAAGAGATATTTTTGATATCGAGTATGTCCTGCAGAAAGAAAATTGATTCAAAGCTTTGGCTTGAATACATCCAGTCGGTAAGATTCATCTTATTGTATTTAATTTACATATTTTATTAAATTAATTTTTTCAACAATAAATAATTTTACTTAACAAAATTTTCAGGTTACCGAATTTTAATTTAGCAAAATTCACTGAATTTTTATTTAATAACATTCTTAAAACGCCGAATTTTCATTTGTTCAAAATTGATTGATTTGTCGAATTTTAATAATCGCGCGAAAATATTTTTGGACATTTGCCACTAATTAAAAAAAAAAATCCCCCGATTTTTCTTTTATTTACCGATTTTCCCTAACCAGTATCTATATACACACCATGTGTGGAATAAAGGAAAAGTGTGAAAAAACTAAGAAAGAGCGTGAATCGCGTAATTAAAGTCGTTCAGGAGATTGCACAACGGCGTCAACGATATATATATATATATATGTATATAAAAGAATCTCGTTCTCTAGGACAATCGCCATTCTCGACCACATGAGTGGTTTTCAAATAAGATCAAGAACAAGATCAAGTCATGGAGATAGCATTCCATTGATATAGACAGTTCCGTATAGAAAGTCTATGTACAAATAAATAATGATAATAATAAAAGGGCACATATAGAAAAAGAAACCACTAAAAAAGAATTAAAAAAAAAATAATTCACCAAAAAGATAATGCTGCAACTTAATTTTTTGTAATAAAATTTTTCCAATAAAATAAAATATTTACCTTAATAACGAATTTTCAGCTTCAATGAGATTCTTTCAAATTAAATAGCCCTCGGAGATCCCTACTTTCAAATCAAATTTCCATTCATAAAATGTGAAAAATAACCGTAAAAATAGACCGAGTTATAAAAAGTCTGAATAATGAAGAATTCGGTGTCCTTTAAGATAACCTTTTTTACTTTTGCCCTTATCTTTGAAATATGTGGCACCACAATCCATCGAGGATAGAATCTGCAAAAAGAAAAATTAATTAATTTATTTTATAAGATATAGTTAAGTCAAAATATTGATAAACTTAAGTGGTATATATAACAGAAAATTTGCGCACAAAAGTGAAAGAAAATATATCGACATAAAAAGAATATTCAAAAGATATTTTTAAATTCAAGGAAAACCTAAAAGTGTGAAAAAAATATTCTTTTTTTGGATCATTTCCATTACATTTCACCCAAAGTCCTTGTGATCTATTTTTATGAAATTCTGTCTAAATAAAATAGAAATAATTTAGAATGTCCTTGTACTAATTTTTTGATAATTATTAAATTTACCGCAACAAAAATGAATAAAATTTCCCTAAAAAAAAAAAGATTCTGAGTCTATTTAATCTTTAAAATTTTCATATGAAAAAGAAACTCAATTACATTGGAAAATTTTGCAGAGAAAATTATTTTCCAAATGTCAAGAGATGAGAATAAGAAAAATATACATACAACACATATTGTATTTCTTAAAATTGAGTCAGATGCTTTATCTTCTCCTCGTGACTTTGACAAATACCGGTGCACTTGTTTGCATATTTATTTTACGACGAGGTGAAGGAATTTCATATATATTATTTTCAACTCTGCTTACTTAGGATGCACTTCCCTTTAATATTCTGTCCATACTTTTTTACCACCTTTTCACTTTACTTTTATAGTCCAACAAAGGATATTTTCAAGGCACAAAAGCTTCTGAGAGACCACAACACGATAGCATCGAAAAAAAAAAAAAAAAAAAATTCAATCGTCTTTTAAACATAATTATGCATCGGCAATGGGATATACTGAGACTGAAAAATGAAGAAAATAAAAACGGAAACCAACATTATTTACCAAAATAAGAAAAAGAATGAAATCGAAAGTATTTTTTTTCTTTTCTTTCAAAAAAGAAAAATTTGCAAAAGAATAAAAATTAGTGTGAAAAATGAAGAAAATTTAAATATATAATTCCAATTCACCATCGTTTGATTCAATTCTATTTAGAGTGTTCTAAAAATTCTGACTAAATAGTTCAAAAAAAAAAAAATTTTAGCTTTCATCTTCTTTTAATTTTAATGATGACTATCTTGTTTTGGTCAAAACCTGACTATAACCAAATGCTTCCTTTTTGTATTAGTTACAATACAAATTAAGAATCATTTCTTAGAAAAGTAAAAATCTCAAATTTTTTATTGAGAATCTTTTTCATTCAGTAAAGGAAAAAAAATTAATCTCTAAATTAGATATTTAATGATAGATTTACAACTATCTCTGACAAGGTAAAATGTTATTTTTAAAACTAAGATTTGGAGTAATGTGAAGAAACGCATTAAAAACGATATTAGAAATCACAAATTCAATATGATTTTTTGAACATATACAGATTTAAGCATAATCTTTTTATAGCAGGTTATATTGACTCCTGTAATTATGTAAGTAACATGGAATCATTTATTCAAAGCATTCTCAGTAAATTATTCATGAAAATAATTGGAAATCATTTGTTAAATTATTAATTTTTTTCCCTATACAACAAACGAAAGATACCAGACAGAGATCTAGAAGACCAAATCCAATTCGAAAAAGGAAAACAAACAGAAAGAAATTGGAGTCAATAAGTAAGAAAGGAAATCCTTATTGCAAATAATAAAAAAAGATAACGAAAGTGAATCCAATATATATATAGGGATGTGAATTTCGAGCAAGTGAAACTAATTAAATCTATAGGCAAACTGTGCTTCCGAAATTGACACGGTTGTCAACTGATTCTTCTTCTTTTTCATTATTTGATGTTTCTTTGCAACCTCCGCCGAAGAATCAACGTGGGAGGAAGATAAAGAACGATATATCGGATTCACGGTCAGACTACCTGAGTGGACGTACTTTGCCCACATTACGTTACATTACACATCACCACACGAACGTAACACAAATTCATGGATTCTACCTGTTTCCCATCCACCAACACAAATTCCCATTAAAAAACATCTCTCATCTTCTTCTTTCTTTCACTACATACTAACAAACATGGTTTCTCCTCGTTCCTCCCTTTCACAAAACCTCTCTTCACACACATACATATAAAGCTGCTTTAGCCTTTAGTTTAGCCTTTCTTTCTTTTCCCTTCTCTTTGGCTCGACTTTACCTCCGCCTGAGAGCCAAGTCTCTCTCTTTCTCTCTCTCTTTCAAGCCACTCTCTGTCCCCTTCCAATGATTCTCATGGTACCGGCTAACCGTCCAGACTGACCAGTCTGCTTTTGAACACCGTAACGATCGTGCTCCAAGCATCCTGTGCTCCTTTTTTTATTTTCCAATCGAGTTCAAAAGAATATAACAAATCCGTTAAATTGATTCCTTTAAAAAATCCATCCCCCTAACAAATTTTGAGGTCTTGTTATGTGGTTTTTTCTTTTTTTTTTTTTGATAATTTTTATCAAAATTGAAATACACAAGTGATGTAATCAAAAAGAGTGTGAATTTATTGGAAAAATTTTTTTTTTTTTTATCGAGTTTCAAGTTTAGTGCGAGTGCCCTTTTTTGGTGTTTACTGTACCGCAAAAACCGGATTTGCAATTGGGAGGATCTGATACGAATAATTTGGAAAAGCAGCGACACAAGGAAATGCAAAGATTATTTCCGATATTCATGAAATGGTATTGTTCTTTGTTAAATATCTTATTGTCCGGTTTTTTCTTTACTTTTTTTTTTCTTTTTTTTTTGAAAACGAGAAAGAAAAAAAGAGAAAGTCAAGTAAAAGAAAATTATATTTTGATAAAGAGGAGGGAATATTTTAGTAAATGTTTCAGGGAAATTGAGTATATTTAAAAAAAAATAGAATAAAATTATTGTATTAAAGAAAAGGAAAAATATAAAAACAAAAGGTTGCAAGAAGAAAAGAAAGAGAATAGGCAAAAAGTATACCTATAGGTACAGTAAAAGGGAGTAGAAGAAAACACACAAAGAAAACGAAAGCAGAATTGAATTGAGGGAACAAATAAGAAACAGAAATAAAATGAAAAATAAATGAGAAATAACGAGAATGGCCAGAAAAAAAAGAATTGGAAGAAAAAGAAGAAAGAACGTAAAAGGAAGGAATAAGCAATTATTGAGTTAGTAAAATTAAAGAAACAATTAATGAAGAAAAACTGATGAATACATTGAAAACAAAGGCATTAAAAATTAATTATTTTCTGCTGCACTATGAATTCAGATTTACATATAATAATTTATGCAATATATATTATAATAATATAAATATAATAAATTATACATTCAATAATTAATTACAAGATTAGTTAAAAATAACTAATTTGATAGCAAAAAGTCAGTCACTAATTCAAAGTATTAGTTAAAAATTTTTCTTATTCCGATTTAGAGAGATAATAAATTGTAAAAGAAAATTTAAGTGAAGAAATTATCTATACTGAGTCACTTTTTTAATTTTTCAAAAACGGAAATAGAAAAAAAAAGTATAAGAGAAAATGATTATAATGATAACTTATCCAATTTCCGAATCTTTTGACTTTCTTTTAAACGAGAATGCGTCTATTATTAAAAAGAAATAATGAAAAACCGATTATCTGATAATGTATGCGTGGAATATTAAAAGTTTTTATCTAAATCTAAAGTGACAAGCACTAATAAGTGTAAGTAACTTTATTTAAAAAAAAAAAAAGAAAACTAAGTTAATATATAGTATATAAATTGTGAAACGAGAGAACCCTTCAAGTATAACTTGTGATTCAGGTTTTATGGAAATTCGACATGCAATTCCTTCTAATTTTATATGTCACCTCACGTAACAAGAATGTCAACAATTTATAATATTGAAAAAAGATTCATTTTTCAAACATCTGATCCAATAAAAATGATTCATATAATACAATTTTCTGTATAATAATTTAATTTCTTTTTTTTTCACTTAAAAAGAGTTCATTATTTTTTCGAAAATTAACTACTTTGTCAAATTTAAATATTTAAAAAAATGAAAATCACAAATTAATAATTTTTAAATAATTTTTTTCTGCAATATAAAATTGTTAAAAAATCTTTTATTTATAAATTTTTACAATCAAATTAATTTTGATTCTATATTATATTTGTAAGAAAAAAAAAAATTCAAAAAATATGTCTTGTGTGTTTTGCAATTTTTTTTCTCTCTTTTATATATATGTTTATACGTGCTTGTTTTATCTTAGGACTATATATTTTGTTTATATGTTTATTTTTTTTTTTTATTACTCGAGAGTGACTTTCGTATATTATATGCGCGCAAGACATGTTGCCAAACGTCAAACATTTTATATATATATATATATATATATATATATATATACTAGAATAATATAGTTGAATGGAATGTTCTCACAATCAGTTTAAAGTAACGGGAACATTTGGCACGTTTTCCTTTCGGTTTCTTATGGTGCGGAAGTATTTTCCTTTTATATTGCAGAAAAAAATTTATCGCCAAATAATAGTAAAAAACAACAAATATCGAAAAATAAATTACTTCATGAATTCTACATAAAAAAAAAACTCATTTTATATTATCAAAATATTTCCATTTTTTCAAATCTAAATTGTTTAAAATTAAATTAAAAAACAAAAAAAAAATAAATATGTTTAATAAATAATCGGCATTTGACTAAAAATACAATATAAACTGATAATTCAGAAAAATATTTTAAATAAATCAAAAAATAAGAATTGAAAAAAGAAATTTTTATTAATAGTAAATTATTTTTTAATTGTTTGTTGTGAGGTATAGACAATAAAAAAAAGAAAGAATTGCTATAGGGATGATTAAACTGATGTACTATTTTTATTGTTGAGGAAAACTGTTCTCCTCACTGTACACGAAGGTGATTATCGCTTAATGAACCATTCATTTATTAGAATAATAATTTATTACTTCATGTATATAAAAGTGACCCAACATTGACAATATCACACGCGAGCCTTCATCACATATGATGCAACATATATATACACACATTATTGATTGAATTAAAAATAATCACGCATTTTAAAATGCAAAAAAAAAAACAATATATTTTATTGAATCGAGGTCTAGGTCGTAATGCCATTAAAATTTTCTCTCCCACAATTCTTTACTTTCAGACAAATGAGAATAATAATAATAATACTAATAATAATTATAGCAGTAATAATTAATACTAAAAAATAAATAAAAACATTTGCAAAAATTCAATAAAAAATATAGAAATTATTTTCATAAAAAATTTAAAAAGTATAAAATAAGTCAATGATAAAAAAGGAAATGAAATTTTCAGGGAAAAATCATAAAAAATATTATGACGATTGTTCTTGTAAAGAAGTAAATTAAAAAAAAAAGAACTAATATAATTCCTCTGAGCCTTTCCGATAAAAGACTAACAATTTATTTTATTATTTTTTAGTCATTATTTTTAAAAATATAAAATATAAAAAAGGAAATTACATTCGTTCGAAATTTTTGCAAAAGAAATTGTCGTCTTATATTTGCAATAACATGATTTTAAAATAAAATTATAAATAAAAAAAAAGGAAATTTAATTATTTTCTCTATAATATTGACAATTTTTCTTCTAACAATTAAGATTATTGCAAAATAATATTCTCATTTTTTTCAAAAAAATATTTTATTTTTTTTTCATAATGAGGAAAAAAAAAGGGGAAAATAACAAGCTAAACCGGAGTTGCGAATTATATACATAGGAGATAATTGCGCAAAACCTCTGCTTAGTTTTCTGGTTAAAACAGAAACAAAAATAATATTCCATATATACTATTGCCAATATAATCTTCAAATAATTGTTGAGCTATCTCATTTATTTTAAATTGTTATTTCCAAAAGTCAATTATTCAAAGTGGAAGAGGAAAAAATTTTTCATAGAATTCAAAATATTAAATTAATATATTATTTCATTAAAATTATTATTCATATTATTTAGAAAAAAATGTATATTATATTATAATTAATTTAACCAAAAGTATTGGGGGAAAAAAATTGGGTTTTAAAAAAATCAAAATGCTTTGATTGTCGAAAGAAAAAAATATGTTTCTGACGCGACACTCGAAGAGTAAATATATATAAAAGGTGTGCAAGAAAATAGTGTAAATGTTAAACTTTCGCGAACAATAGATATTAAAAAAAAAAAAAAGATCTGGCAACGTCCTCACTGCATTGCATGAGAATTAAATGCATTGAGCGTTTGCGCAATAATTATACCGTTTGCCCCGTTGGGAGAAAGTGTATATATATATATATATACACACCGAACGACAGAATGCAATACATAACGCCACGTGCTCGTCTGAGTGACGTCACTGGAGAACAGTGACTCCTATTAAACGTCAAAGTGACAAGGTCGACAACCAAATGATCCAACTTCAATATTGTAATCAACATAATAATACAATTATGATGATCGATATAAATCGAGCTCAAAATAAAGTCGTGTATTTAAATAATTTTGGAAAATAAAAAAAAAAAAAAAACTTCTTCACAACATTAAAAGGAAAAAAATCTATAAGAACCTAACAAATATTGAAGAATTAATACAATTAGTCGAAAATTATCATTAATTTGAATGATTAACAAATATTTTTTAAAAAAATCAACTTATATCTTCTTTAAAATTTTTCTAAATTAAAATAATTATTAAAATTATTTATTTGACAAAATATTCAATTACGATAAATATTTGTATTACGCAATTGCAAAATTTATTCGTGAATAATTTTTTTTTTTTTCAAAGACATAGGTTGTGAATAATTTAAAATAAAATTTACAATTAAAATGATTAAGGGATTCATTTTTTTTTCTGATTTTGAAAATAAAACTTCTATATCTATGTGCGTGTGTGTGTGGTCAGACCTAAAAAATCATTGGTCAAGAATGGAGAAAGTCGCAACACACTTTTCGTGCAGTTGTGCCACTTTATCTGAACCAGTAAATACGTGGGTGGAACTGCTTTACGTCAGCTTTCGAAGGATTGAATTTCAGCCTTTTACTTATAAAATTAGTTGCATATCTGGATATTAAAAAAAAAAAAATTAAATTCTCTTCATTCGAATCGCTTTAGTAAAAGAATAATTCTCCCCCCCACCCCTTATTCTTCAATTTAATTTTTGTTACGTCTTTTCTAAAAATTGCAATTACGATTTGCTTCATTTTTATTTTCCACTTTTGTCATTAAAATTTTTTTGCAGTAAAGTATTTTTAAAAATATTTTATATTTATAAAAAGGGGGCAAATAAATAAAATTTACTTGAATCCAAATCAAAATAAATAATAAAAATAAAATACATTTTTTTTTTGTCAACGAGAGCAAAAATATACGCAATCTTGAAAAACAAGAAACTTGAGTGAAAGTGAAACCATAAAGTTAGAGGATGGAAAATTTGCGGATTGCAAAATTCAACGCACGTGAAATGAAAGAAAAATAATTCGAAAGCAAAAAAAAAAAAAAAAAAATTACAATTTCTTCGAATGGTATAATAAATAAATTAACGGATAATTAATAATGAATAATCAGGGAAAAAAATATGGATTGATGCGATTTATTCGCGTTTTATCAAGAAAAGTATATATCTACATTAACAGGAGAGCTACTTTATGTTATCTGTATAAAGTGATCGTGCACTATTCTCACATATCGCTGAATCTCCAATTTCCAATGTTATATTCGTTTTGCCCCCCCCCCCCCCCCCTCCATGCGAATCTCACTTTTATTAACTGGCGCTTCCCATAGGAATGTGATTTTCACTTAATGCAATTTTATTGTCCCAAGGACGCGAGTCCCAACAGCAACCGGCTGACCTTACAATTTACTGCAATTGCTGCACATTCTACATCGATGAATTTTATTAATACTATTTTTATCTATATATAAAAATAATAATTACTTTATTGCCCGCAAATAAAATTTATAATACGTTTATTGTTCCCTACACTCGACACAGTTTAATTTATTTTTTTTTTCGTTTTTAGTACAATATAGATTAATATTTTTAATCATTGTCTATTTTTCTTCTTATTTTTTTTTCATTTATTTATTTAATTTTCAATATTAAAGGCATTGGAAAAAAAATTATTTAATTAAAATAATTAATTATCAAATAAATATTTACTTCAACCAAATAATATTTATTTGAATTAAATAAACTGTATTTGAAAAAATAATTTCTCTATTTGAAACAAGTACCATTTAATTGACTTAAATAATAATTATTTGGTTCAAGTAAAAAAAAACAAAAATACATTTTTTTAATAATTTAAAAATTTAATTTTTTGGGAAGTTTTTTTAATTATGGAAATATTTGCAATCTCCCCCCCCCCCCCCATTGGAAATATATATAGTGAGATGAGCGCACGTCCCACAGAGCTTCCATAGGCATCGAATAATTGCAGCTTGCTGCGAAAATTTGCGGCTTCCTGCGAATGGAGTTTTGCCGTAAATTTACTCTCTCTGATTCCCCTGTCTGTATGTCAGGTGCCTACCCAGTAGTTCAAGACACCTACGTGTGCTTAACTGCAGGGCATTCGTCTTTTAACATTTAGAAAAGTGTCTACCCAGTGCACCTGCTGAGAATTATATTGGCTGCACAGCAGGTTTAAATATTTTTTTCTTTTTTCTTTCCAAAAAAAAAAAATTTTTATTTTTAATTCCCACATCGCAGATTTTATCCCCTTTCATCGCGAAAAACAAAAAGCAAACAAAACTGAACCTTCAATCCTTCGAAAACCAAAAACAAACGCGTATTGTAAATTATATTTAAAAATTTATTTATTTTATAATTATAAAAAATTTATTTATTTCTTTAAAAATAAAAATAAAATACAACAGTTCAGAAACTCATGAAAAAATTTCTTTGAAAACAAAATTTGTGAAAGTTTATTAATATTAATTAATATTCCCATTTTGAGAAAAATAAAAAAAAACCAATTTTTAATTTAATAATTCAAATTGTTTTAATGAGAATCACTTTATTTAAAAATTTATTGAATATATATATATATTTTTTTATTAAAGCCGAGAAATTAAACTATAAAATTTAAATAGGCCTTTGGAATAAATTAAAATGTCATGAATTGTTTAGAGAGTAATTTTACGATGATAGAAAAAAAATAGGAGTTCTTTGCTATGTTCAATTTTCGTGTCATAAATTCAAATCTCTCATAATTAGAAGAATAAACTTATTCTGTTTAAAAAAAAACATCAATATAAAACATAATTTCTTTAAAATTTCACTTCAAAAATTTTATTTTCAATTTAATTTCATTGAGAAACTGTAAATCACATTTTAATTAAAGAAATTTAATTTTCTATTACTATTTAACAAAAAAAATAATTAAAATTATCATTTTGTGAAAAGATAGTAATTTAAATTTTCTTTTTCTTTTAAAGAAAAATAGAAATAAATTTTATTTTTATTTGAATGAAAAATAACAAAAAAAAAATACTTTAAAGGAAAATAGAGAAAAAATTCTATTTCTATTAAAAATAAAATTTTTTACTATTTTTTAAATATTCAAAATTAAAAGAAAAAATGGTAATTGCATTTTCAAAAAGTAAAGAAAAATGGGAACTGAAAATCGTCATTCGAAGTTTTTCAAAGAAAAACGGGAAATTTTTTTTTGTACATATTATAAGTGCTGTTTTAAAAAAATTTAAACGAAATATGTAATAAATTCTATTTTGATATAATAAATGTCATACCTTATTATAAAAGTAGGTCTTTATTATAGAGCTCCTGGGATGAGACACACATACACACACACGTATAAAATCTCCTTTGTCATCATTATCATTATTCTGTCAACGGGTGCCTTTTTTATAATCTCGAAGAGCTCGTTTCGTTTTATTATATGGATGACTTTCTTCCTTCATGGTTTATGCTTTCATAGCGATGGCTCAGATTCTTTCCGATAATCATACCCCATACACCTGGCCAGCTGCTACTGTGTCATAGACTTTTTGCCCTCTGAACCTATTGTATTTCTTATTTTCTAATAGCAAAAGTGCCCTCGTTATTACGTTAGGTCATTTGATTTGATGGACGAGAAACCGGTATTTAAATTCCCAACGTTCAACCTGAAATATTATATATCCGAATTAAAATCTTCAAAAAAGAAATAACTTTAATTTTTCTAACTGTCAAAACACTTTTTTTTTTACTTTTAAAAATATTTAAATTATAAATTACAATATAAAATTTAATATAAATTTCCGAATTAAAATTTTTGTATAAATAATAATTATCTTTTTAATAATCAACAATTTTTTGTAGATTTAGAAATATTATTAAAATATTAGTAAACATTTTTAAATAATTTTATTATTTATATACTAAAGTTTTAAATGTACTTCAAAAATCAAATTTTTGAGTAATTTAATTTATTAACTAATGAAATTAATTAAACATTATTATGAATTATTTATTATTTTAATTATTATGTTATATTAGTTAATAATACGAGGCAAAATAATTAAGAGTTTTCAAAAACCAAATTTTTTTAAAAAGTTTGACAGTAAAAAAATAAAATAATAAAAGAACCAAGTGTTTTTATCGCAGTTTTTTCGATAAAATCAACAATACTTATTTAAAATAAAAAATGCAGTAAAAATCATAAGCAAAATGAGATTATACTCCAAGTATGCTGATAACCTAATAATTATAGAAACAACTATATATACAAATTAAATATTATTCCTAATAAAGTAGAAAAATTTAATTTTTTTTATAAAAAATTGATCAATTTGAATAAGAAATTTCGAATTATTTGCAAAATTTTATCATGTTTAAATATTTACGTGATTGTATAGGTTATGTTGCCACTGTATACGCGAGAGTGAAACAATTAAAACTTATATTTTTTTTAACAAGACAGATAATTTGTTACATTTAACCGGTAAAATATCATCAAAATTACGCAAATATACAACTTCAATGAACTTTTTTGATTAGATTAATAGTAATTATTGAAAAAAAAAGAACGAAAAAACCAACAATGAACCGAAAAGACGCCATGACAGTAATGAAAGGAAGCGCCGCCAACGGTAAATGTCGAAACTACTGTAATGGATGTAACGGAAAACATTAATTTAAAAAAAATAAATTCGTAAATAGATTATTACAATTTACTTATTGCTTTATAATAAAAAATTATTGACGAATATTAATTAATTGATTTTTTTTTACAAAATATATATCTGTTTCGAAATTTTACGTAACGGTATTTTGATAGTTATGTTCGCATAAAAATTCCGGAAAATATGAATTTTAAAACTCTTTAAGTAACATTAAAATAAATTCTTTATAAATAATCAATAAAGTACATACCCAAATTACATTATGAACAGCTTTAGTCAATTTTTCCTGTAAAATCACTATTAAATTAGTAAAAATCAAACGAAATAAAAACCACTCTACTGACAAAAAAGAATGAGGAAAAAAGCTGGTATTTCCGGTATAAAGCGCCACCAATTTCAAATTTCGAAACTAATATACCGGAAGTGAGCTTTAATTTATAACATTAATAATAATATAAAAAATTATTTTTTATCTATTAGAAAATAATTATTGTATAGCCAATATTTAATTAATAAAACTTTCTTTTGAAATAATCTTATTGGGAATTTTACAATATTACAACCGATGTGTGGATTATTATATTTAGGTTATGTTGTCAAACAGGGCGAATGAATTTTAATAACTCTTTCAGTAAATTAGAAATTACTTTTTTAATACTTCAATTAATTACCTGAATTAACGAAGAATAACTATCGTCCAGTTTTCGAGTAAAATCATTAAAATTAATAGAAACAAATTGAACAAAACAAATAGTGCAGTCTTCACTCTTCACTGCCAAAATCAGAAAATGGCGTCATGATGTTTCCGGTAAAGCGCCACCAATTTTAAATACTGAAACTAATTTCACCGGAGGTAGTCTTCTGCAATAAACATTGTTTACATAAACAAAACAATGAGAATAGTTACATTAATTGATAAATTTATATTATTTGAAATTATAATAATGATTAAAATAAAAATATATAATAAATATAAACAAAATTAATCTATGAAATTAATAATAAATTCTGTGAAAATTAAAAATAATCTTATTTTTACATATTGGAAATTGTTTACAAGTTGTTCCCAACAGTAAATAACAATTAGTATTTTTTATTTTAATTGCAGATGGAAACTGAAGTGCGGGTTTTAAAGCAAGATCTAGTCCGCACTCAAGAAGCTTTAAAAGCAGCGACCAAGAAATGTAGAGATTTGGTTAGAGAATTGGACAATCGAAATAGTAATCAAGCATCGGAGAGAAATCTTCGTGATCAACAATTATCAAGAATTCTTCGTGCTTTACTTGTTCTTGAATCACGTTTAAAACAAGAACAAAAATCAATTAGACAATTGCTTTGCGAGAAAGATAATGTCATTAGAAATCAACAATTGGAAATTGCAAAACTTCGACGTTATACAAAAAATTATATCAAAGGAAAACGTGATAGCAGTTTAGGCCAATCAATAAGTGTCGAAGAATCAATTCCACCTGAGAAAAATTCGTCTAATTTTCAGGTATAACAAAATTTTTTAATTTATTTATTTCTCTATAAATATATAATTATTTTAATTAAAAACTACGATTTCTATTTCAAATACAGTTAGAAGTCAAGTTTAAAAAAAAAAAACAAATTTTTAGGGTCCTAATTTGGAAAGTTGGTGAAACTCAATAAAAGAAATAAATTTGAAGATGAATTATGAGTCTTTAAATTCAAAATACAATTATATTGATCGTGAAAGAAAGTTTTTTTATTTTATAAATATAGCTTGACGAGTCTTTCAATTATAAAGAGATGAAATCTTTCAAATATATATAATTAAAGACCGAAATCTCTTATTACAAAAAAATCCATTTTCCATCATTCAAATTTAAGAATTTTTCACTCAACTTAATTCTATTTTTTTTTTAAATTTTATTAAATTATTTATTTATCATTAAAAGAAATCTTTGAAATAAATTAATTAATTATAATGAATATATTTTTTTATATTCTATATGTATATTTTTTCTATAAAAAAATAAAAGTAAATATATTCCTATAAAGTTAATTATAAGAGAAAATATTTTCGGTAAATAAAATGTTAAATAAACTATAAAATTAAAAAATTTTCAAATTGCTGTAATAACGGATATATATTGTTTCCCAGGTCGACGAATATAATAGTAAGCGTGACAGTAGTTTGAGTAAAGATATTGAGAATTTAAAATGTGAAATAATCACGAAATTAAATGGATCTAATTCACAAGAAATTCACAATGATCATTCACGTGGAATAACAAAAACTCATAGTTTTGCCGGAAGTGATATTTCAAAAACAAGTTTGACGAGCAGTGAAAATACAGATGCATCAATTATAACAACAACCACTGAGGGTAGTCCTTCATTATTAAGTACCGAAGGTTTTTGTGAAGGTGAAAGTACTGATGTTTCACCAGGTTCAACATTAAATAAATCGAGTCGATGTACACCGACAACAGTGACAACAGATAGTGAAAATGAAATTATGACAATTTTAAATGATGACGATGATGATGAGACAATGATGAATGATGAGGTTAATCGTTTTTCAAAAAGAAGATTTGGTGTACTAAGAGCAAAACCTTTAAAAATGATTAGCTCGTCACGTATTCACGAGTTACCAAAAATTATTAGAACCGAAAGCACTGACGATGGAATGGATTTGAATTTTGTTTCTGACGAAGAAGAGAGACATGAGCCTATTTATGTTAACTCGTGTACAGAAAATAATGTTAGAAATTTACAAGGAGCAACGAGAACAAATGAAGATTGTAGTAATAATAATGTTAATATGTAGGTATTTTAAAAGGCATAATTAATTTTTTTAATTTTTAAATAAAGCTTAAAAAAGTTCTTTTTAGTTTACGTTTGCTCTAATTAAAACAATTTTAGATTTGATAATTATATTAATTTAATTTTGAAGAATTTTTAGGAGATTTCAATTCTCAGAGAAAATAAAAAAAAATGTTTTCTATTTATAATCTTTTATAATAACGAGAAATGTATTTAAAATACTCGTATCAAAGAATTTTTAGAAAATTCAAATTTTTCCAAGATAAAAAATTTCGAATTCAACATTTTTTTTTAATCTTAAATATAAATATTTATATATTTCAAGTATAATTTTTGTTTTAATTTAAATAGAAAACTTCACTTAAATTTCTTTTAAATTTTGTTTTCATTCTTTCAATATTTTCAAAATAGAAAAATAATTTTTAAAATTATTTAATATTATTAAATTTTTAAATAAGTGAATTTTTCTGTTAAATTAAATTAATTTTTAATCGACTTTGAAAAATTCTTTTACAGAATATCAAAAATCGAGCCAGAAGAACAGAATCAAGAGGACACAAGTGGAAATTGGTACAGCGATCCTGATGAGGACAGAATAAGTGACGATGTCTTTAGACACACGACATATCGTCCAAATGGCAATCATAATTCGGTTCTCGAGTGCGTTAATCAAATTCTCCTTAGGGACATGGAAGAGGATGAGAAAGTTCTTTCAATTCCAAGACGATTTAAACATCGTGGTAAAATTGTTCGTTTTCAACCGGCAAGACTCTCGGACATTGAATCAGTTGGCTCAGAAATGGAAAGGCGAAATTCCGAAGAAGCGCCAATTGACGGTGATATATCAAATGAAATTGAACCATCAGACAATGACACCGAATCAGGTGCATTTGAAGCGACAACATCCGAAGATGAATTTGGCATGAGACATGAGGAATCATCATCGGAAATAATTGTCAATACAATTGAACCCGAGGCAAATATTGATGAAAATGAAAAACCCCGTCCAATTGTTATTATTGAACCGAAAATAGAACACGAAGAAAATCAAAAGAAACCACTTTCCTTCGTTCTACCACAAAAAGTGAAAGGTTCACCAAATTTGAGTCCAACATTAAAAATGGAAAGAATTGAGGAAAAGACTTGTCTTCAAATGTCATCCAAGGGTTTAACATTAGCAAAAAATCTTGATTATGAGGATATTGAATCGTTACCGGAAATGATCTCACCATTGCCAAAGACACCTCCTGCATTACCACCAAAGCCACAATTTATGAATAATACACTTGTGTTGAAAAAAATTCCCAGTCCATCATTTTTAATTGATGAAACAAGAAAGAAAAATGTCGATACTGATACGGAACAGGGGAAAAATTTATTTCCATTTACATCGCCAATAAAAACAACATCGGTAAAGAGTCTTAAATTTGATGAAGAATCAAATAAATCAACAAGTAGTGAATCAAGTCTTTGGAAAAATCGTTTTAATAATGTTCGATCATCATTTAAATCTAAACATGGACCGAATAATAAAGATGAGCAGAGAAAAATTCCCAGGGTTACAAATATTGTAAGACATTTTGAGGAATTTAAAATTGGTGGCGATAATGATGAGAGACTCAGTGATCGAATTAAACCTCGAGAAAGGTAAAAATTAAATATTTCCAATATACAGCCATCCTGATGAGAATAGAATCAATTTGATTAAATATATATTAAGATAATTTTCATTATTTTTTAACAAATTTTTTGATGATAAATTATTTAATTATCAAATTAAATTAAATTTTGTTTGAAAATTATTCTTATTAAAGAATTTTAAAATTAATTAATATATTTAATATTAAATATTAATAGTTAGGTAATAATTGTAATAATAAAATAATTTTTTGCTTACTTATATCCGATTCACGAATTAGAAAAAATAAAAACTAAATTTTTAGAAAATAAAATGTTAAAAAAATAGTGTTTTTCTTTTTTTTCAGGCATGTTCTTGTCTCACAATTCGATGAGGACTTTGACATTAGACAGAATTTTGAAGAATTCAATTTGGATGATTGTGATCTATCGGATGATCCTGATCGACCCGAAGGCGATGGTTCGGAGACTTTAACGAGTGTTGGCGTAATTGCCGGACAAACTGAGAATACAATAATAAGAAATAAGGATAACAATAATATCGTGATTCCAATTGATAATTCAAATAATGGCTATGATCATTTCTTAGAAGCAACGGGACTCAGTACAAAATCAATTTTAACACCATCACGGCTTCTTAGCAATCATAAAAGTATGCTTAAGCCAAAAGATATTAAATACAAAAATATGATAAAATCAAATGCTGTTCTTGAAAAACATGGACCAAGTCACACACACGTTAGGCATTGGACTGGACCGTTTGTTTGACATTGCGCCAAAAATATTCCACCAGATGAATCTCCAAATCAAGGAAAATCACCATCGAAAGATTCTTAACACTAATTACAATAAGTGTTTAAAACTCAATTTAGATGAACTCAATTTCTAAAAGAGTACAAGGATTTTTAGAAACAAATAAAAATCATTGTTTTTAAAAGTCTTGATTCTTTTTTCTATAAATATATTATTATTTATTTATTCTCTATATACGTGTATGTAAATTGCATAATATTTTTAAAATAGAAAAAAGATATAATTATCTTTGTGGTGAAAAAAAGTCTACAATTTTCTTATTATTTTAATAAAAATTCTTGTACAGATTCAAAAAAAATATATATATATATTGTAAATCCTTTTTACTTTTATAATTAATAATTGTAAATTTGAAAATTGTTATCTTCCTTAGCTTTGTCCCTGCTGTGACATAAAGTAAGAGACTCGATGTTATTAATACTTCAGAAAATATTATTTACATTGATGAGAAAGATCAATAAAAAAAATCTTGTCACATTTTAACTAATTGTTCATTAATATTTCATTTAAATTCTTAATAATTTAATCAATTCTATTTCTCAAAGGAATATAATTCAAAACATTAATTTATAGCAAAAGAAAATTAATTTTTATATAAAAATACAATTTTTTTGAATTAAATGTACAAAACTTAAAGCATTTGAAAATAGAGAAAAAATTTTTAAAAGTTTTTAATTAATTAAAAATTTGTATCAATGGAAATTAAAAAATTTGTAATTAAAAGAAAACTTTGTAATTCAAAAGACATGAAAATTGAGATTTTATAAATATATTTCGAGAATAAGAATGTGTTGTAAATACATTGTTCCCGATAGTTTTTATTCTAACGTATATGTGATTTTTCCCGAAGACTGACAGAAGGAACATTTTCACTTTTTCCATCAGAAAATTCTTTCACAAATAAAAAAAAACATTCTTACTCTACATTCCTTGAGTCTTTTTCTTTCTTTTTTTTCATGGCGCATAAGTATACACATTTGTGATGTAAATAAGAATAAAAAATGTTTCTAAAATTGTGCAAAAAAAAAAAAAATAATAATAGAAAAATGTTAATTTTCAATAAATAAGTATCAATAGTAAGAAATTCTTTAACATCTTAATTGTTTAACACTTAAATTCCAGTATAATAAGTAATACTAATTGAAAGGCCTCGCTTTATAAAATTTATATTTTCTATCGAAAATTAAAATTTTTGTTTTTTAAATTCGAAACAATCCCACAACGCTTGATTATATTCGAATAAAAAAAAGAGAAATTAATAAATTAAAATAATGCTTTGACAGTGCTTCCTTATTTACTATAGTAAATTTATCGTTTATATTTATAATTAGTGCATGAATTCAGATCGATCTGAATACATTTGATTAAATACAATTCGCGTATCTATTTTTTTATATATATATTGGCAGCACCTACACACTTGATAACATTTTTTTTTCTTCTATTTAACAGTTCGATAAAATTACAAAAGGGAAGAACTCGACGTCGAACAGATTTTATATTCTAATATCGATTAATGTTAATTGAAATAAATAAATTGTAAAATTAATGTTAATTTACATTCATGAAAATTACATATAGTCAGTTATAGTTTCTCTTATTGACACTTATTTTATAAGTTTCGCTTATTTATTTTTTTTGTTCAGATTTAATTAAAATTATACAATTTAATCATAAATTAAATCGATCAAAACCTGATTGCATTGAAGAAAAAAATAAATTTTTTTTTCAACATTTATGCAATAAATTAGAATTAAAGAGACGAAAGTCAATTTAACTAATTTAGAAGAATATTAAGAAAAAGAATAATTCCTATGAGACAAAAAATCCATTCATTGGAGTTGTGAAAAAAGGAACAAAATTATAAATTAAGAAATTAAAATAATTTTGAAAATAAATTAAAATTATTTTCTTTACGAATGAATAGGAAATAAAGGAATTTAATGAAATCAGAAACATGAACTTAAAAACTAATTAAAGGAATTATATAGTTAATTCAATAACTAATAGTGAATATAAAATTATACACATTAATTAAAATCCATAATTATAAAATGAATTAGGATTAGAGTGATTAAAGTCAATTCATTCATTGGAGTTCGAAATTTAGAATAAATTTTTCAAAAAAAAGACAATGATCAGGCAAATAAAATTGTATAATATGAGAAATCGATAAAGATTTTCACAAATATGAAGAAACTAAGAATTAAATTTTAATAATTAAAACTAAATCAAAGGAAAGATAATTTCGATGTATGAAAGTAATGAGTAATCTCAAATTTTTGGTAATTACATATTAATGTCAGTAATAATTAACAGTATTTTTGATCGATTTAAATTATAATAATCCAAATTATAATTTCAAATCGTAAAAGTTTAAGTCGTTGACTCGTTCAATTTTTTCTTAATTTCAATTAATGAAATTTGACAAATGATATTTTCAATCATTTATAATTTTTTATATCTATAAATGTTACAATGAATGATAATTTTGTTCGTTATAAATTACAATCGATTACCTAATATTAATTCTAATAAACATATTTTTTTTATGATTCCTTTAGTCTAAAAATTATAATACTACGGACGTTTTTTTATCACAATAACTAATACATTTGAGCCCTGTTAATTTCGATTAAAAGAAAAATCTCTTATTCATAATAAGATTAATTTATAATATTTTTAATAATTTATCATTTAATAAAATATGATTTTTTTTTGTTCGTTATAAATTTTTAATTTATCAAAATAATAAAAAGAACAAGTTTGGACAATTTTTTTTACCAAACAAAGAATTTACTTTAGGAAATAAATCCATTTCTTGTCGGTAATAATTTAGATATAATTTCTTAAACAAATCGCTTATTATTACTTTTCAGTTTTTTTTTTTAAGTTCAAAAAATAAAATTTTTTAAATACTTTAAATATTATTTTTAGTTCGCCGACGAGTTCTTCAACTTAAAAATTAAGAGTGCACCGAAGAATTATTAAAAAAAAATTCAATCCTTTGACAATGTGGATGAATTGAAAATAAATAAGAGAAATTTTTTTAAGGAACGTTTTGCGTATGGCGTGAACATGATGATAATTGTGATCTTTTTCTTTTTTTTTCGCTAAATATCTTTCATGATTTGTAAACAACTATAGAACGTATATGATACATACTATTAATTCCCTACGAACTATAAAAATACAACGCAAGTCTATAAAAATACAATGCTCGTAATCACTGGTATAAAAATCTAAATAGGGCACGGAAGAAGATACATAGATTCGAATATTATATATATATATAACGCATGTATCGTGCAATTCGTAATTTGTTCACATTCCATCGCACAAAAGTTGAAAAAGAAAATTTCAGCTCTTTTGAGGATTAATGAATGTGAAACATTCCAATAATAATAATAATTAATTAATTAATTAATTAATCAGGCACTCCATTATGCATTGCTAGAGCTATATTATTTAATATACATAAAGTATGAATACAGCTTAGAAACGATAGGCTTACGCAATTCGTTTTGGCACGTTCTCGATTCCTTCAAGTTTCTCTCTCTGCTCGAAAATCGTAGTGATACTGTAAAAAATTACCCTTGATAAATATTTTAGTAATTTCTTTTTTCAAAATTCTATTTAAATAACGACTAGAAAAAGATTTTTTTAAAAATAGAAATCTATTTCTTACCGCTTTATCCATTTCTTCTCGAGTTCGAATTTTAATCACAGGAAGTTTTTTCTGTTAAGAAAAATAATTTCCGTTAATTCACGATATTTTTATTTTATTTCACATCTTCTTTTATTATTTTCTATATAGAATATAATTATTATGTTATTTATTGAAATACATTAAGATGGTTTATACCTTTTAAAAAATAAAAAAATAAACTAGAATTCTATAACATAGAAATAAGAAAAATGTTTTTTTTATAAAACACTCACTTTTAGTTGATTTTTATTGGTGGAGAGAAGAGGATTGAGAGCAAAAGGAACTCCATCAAGATCAGATGATCCCGGTAATGTACCATAATTTGAAGTGGAACCAACAAGAGGTGATTTTGGTGGTTGTGGCGCTGGTCTTGTTGGTTTTATCTTTGCATTTGGACTAAGAATCTCATAATCACGATCCATAGAGTCGTCGGAGGGATTTCCAGGACTTGACGGACATGCTGGACTAATTTGAGGATAAATGCTAGTTGGTGCTTTTGGTGCAAACTTTGGTTTTGGTGGTCTCTCCGGTGCCACTCTGTGTGGAGTTCCATTTGATGGATTTGGCGATGGATTAGTCAACGATCTAAAACAACGAAAAGTCAATTAATTAACATTTTTAGCCTGAAATCATTAATTGTTTTATAATCAATAAAAAAAAAAAAAATTAATATTTGAAACTCACTCGATATTTGCATAAGGTCTGGAATTTGGATCAATGGTATTCAAATCGACAGTTTTGAAACAAAGACTCACACCATTCACCAGACTGTAATTAATAATTAATTTAGTAAATTTATCTGTGCATAATTCGACTATATTTCGTTAATATTTTCTAGAAGAAAAATTTCCAACTTTTGAATTTAAATTAAAATATTTAATTTAAAAATAAAATTCCATTGATTTAATGATTTTTTAATTTTATTTAAATTCACTATAAAAAAAAAAAAATAATTATTCATTTTGATAATAATTAGATTTAGAAAATGAAATCAGTAAATAGTGACTGATAGAGAAAATGATAAAATATAATCTAAATTCTCTTCTCCAGTATTTTTAATCTAACAGTAATTACGAAATCTTTAGGTATGATTTATTGATTTACAATAGAAATATATCATTGTTATCAGGGAGAGAGATAAAGTTTTCCAAAGAAATAAAAGCAAATAAATATTTTTTTAAAGGAAAAATAAATTTAGATTATTTTTAACATGGCCATAAACGTGAATAAAATATAATAAAAATAGAATATTTTTATCAATAAGAAATAAATTAATACTCAACCCAGCATAGGTGAATTCAAATGGTGCTCTTCTTGAACTTTTTCCAACTCTACTACAAATAATTATGTCCGTTATAGCTTTTGAGCATAAATCTTTATTTTTAATTTTATAACAAAGTTGCCTTTTCCTCCATGCACGTTGCACTGTAAAATAAATTATTTCATCAAAAAAATTCAATATTTTCAAGCTTAAATATATTTATCAAATTTCTCTCAACTTTCAAACTATTTTTTCAAATAGAAATAAAAATAATAAAATTAAATATTAAAAATAAATAAATAAGAAAAAATAATTACTGGTATCAACTGTATGTGAAATCATGCTATAGCCCTTTGGAGGTGGTTCCCTTTCATCGATTATTGCAATTTCTTCAACCACACAATGTGGCAGTCCTTCAGTCTTTGAGAAACATATATATCTACTTTTTTTCTTAATGAACAATCCACTTTCACGCCACAAATCAGCGTCGGCATCTAAATCATGTGTCCTTGAAACCTTTTTTTTTAAAGTAAACAATTTCCTGTTATTTATTCTGATAAATAAAAAAAAATTAAATGAAATCGCATTTAAAATTAATTATTGTTATACTTACAACTGTATAATTAGGCGGACATTTATCTATGTCTTCAACAATACTAATGGCAGTAATTGGACGATCGTCTGGTAAAACTGATGACAATTGATGAACTAACATTTTGTTACCTTCTTTCCTCGACATATTGTTTCCCTAAAAAATACAATTTTTTTCTTGTTATTATTTTATAATCAAGAAATAATGAACGATTTGTTAAATTATTCATTTATATTAGAATTTTGTGAGATTTAAAAAATGATGTTTCAATCAATTAAATTAATAATTAGAAAATAAAAAATTTAGTTTTAATTAACTTTTTATTTTTTATTTCCGGGGCTAATAGGCTGAAGTAAAATAACAAAAACCTTTCTATATTTGTTTAATGTTGCAAATTTCATAATATTAAGTAACGATATGAAAGAGAAAAAAGCGTGTAAACAATTCAAGTGAAATTCACACAGAAAAAATTATGTAATTAACAAATGGAATCTTATTTTGTACTACTTAAAAATTATATTTCTTTCTAAAAGAGAAAGAAAGAGAGAAATCAGGTTTCGATGCCTTTAAGAATTCTGGGATTTCCAAAGGTTAATTCCCAGTTTAAATATTTAGAACGCAGAAAATTTTCTGTTGATTAAACAATAAAAGTTAATTTCGTAAATTCAGCATTTTATTTCGATGACGAATTAATTTTTGCAAAAATTCTCAAATGTATAATAATAAAAGAATAAAATCAGACTAATAATGTAAAGAAATAAAATTTGTTGATAATTTTGATTCAAATAAAACAAAATGTGTTAAAACTGTTAAAATCCATTATTTCTTAGCTCGTTAATTTAAATTATTCCAAGGAAGTTCTTCAGACTCAAGTTAATGGAAGTCTGCGTCATTCAATGAATAGTAAAAGTGGTTCTCAAAAACCATACTCCCCTATAAAAAAAAAGAAATTAAGATTATAATATTAAAAGCAAAAAAGAAAAATCACTGAGAAATAACATTCTCACGGCTTAAAATAAAATTGACTAGAAAATAGTCTCATGCTCTCGAATTAATAATGATCTACTTTGTTTTCATAATTATTTATAAATCGTTTTTATCATTTCGCAAAAACACACATTTTTTAAATCTCACAATTAGATGTATTTTTTTAACAAAAATTCTGAAAGATTTATTATTTTTCTGTAAACATAATAAAACATAAAATGTCAAAATAAACAAAATTCTCCATTTTTTTTTTCGATAAATATATATATTTCTTTCTCTCGCACCATAATAAAAATGTGTCTAATTCTAGGTCAAAGGGAAATTTTTCTTAGAACGTAAAAAAAATGTTAATGTTGACCCCTAGTCTTTCGTTCAATGCCCGGTCACTCGCGAACGAGTAAGATCCGATCGAACATGATTAAAAAATCAGGTTCACTTTTGACATATAATAAGAATAATTTACAAAAATTGAATCACAGTACTGATATCCTTTTTCTCACAATACACTTGTCTTGTAGAATGCCAAGAGTCTAAATTTGAATTCTCTATAAATAAACGAAATTCTTTTTAAGACTCACCTAATTGTATGTAGGAATCTATAAAACCGACATTTCTTCGTCGTCTTCTTCGAGGAAGATTAAATACAGATTAATTAGCTGGGAATTATTTTGTTTTTTTTTCTAATTCGTAGACACAAACACGTTTTTATTCACTACACTTGCGGGGAGAGAGAAAATAAATTGACTTTTATTCTCCCATAGGAAATAAGCAAGAAAGAAGTCGGGAGAGGCAACATGCGCGATGTTTTGTGGTTCTTTACTTTCGAGACACACAGCGAGAGTTAGTTTGAGAAACAAAAAAAAAGAGAAAATGGAGAGTGAGAGAGAGGGAGTAAAGAATGAGAGACAAAAGTTTATAGAGAGTATATAGAATATAGGGTAGGGAGAGAAAATTAAGTGGAAGGAAAAGTACAATAAGTTAGAGGTACTGGAAACTTGGGAATAAGGCCTTGAATAAAACTATAAATGTACATATTAGTATTCAATTTATAAGGACTTGATAATAAAAATAAACACTTACGATAATTTTTATAATAATAAAAGATAAATGAAATAATATGACAGATTGTCACAATTCCCTCTATCTCAAAAGTAACTGTAATTAATGTTTTAAAACAGTAAAGAAGCTTTTGACAGATGATGACATCATCTTACACTATATGTTTGTATATTTTATAGGTTATAAGTTTTTTTACTTACAATTATTCAAACACTATTTTTTAATTACTCCAAATGAAACATGATTTTTATTATTTATACACGTAATTTTGAAACTTTAAATTTGTATCATTCTTTGTTTATTTTTATTAAACTCAACACTATTACTTTGACATGTCAGCCATTTTTATTTATCGTCTGCTTTTGTCACGAAATACATCGTGTGCTTTTAAAATAAATCGAAACCAAATATAAAAATATTTATATTGAAATATATAATCATAAAAAATATAAATAAGATCTTTTAATATAAAAAATATTGAGAAAAATTTATAACAAAGTTTGTAGTAATTAAAACGTGAATAAAGGAAGATTTTGAAATTCCCGCTTCTTACTGCACCGCCATCTATTGTATTAATTCCAATTTATTGGAAAGATTATAAATTATTAAGAATTTTTATAAGAAAATCCTAACAAACTTAAGTTTCAGATTAAACTTATTATGTTAGAATTATTTTAAATATTGTTGTTTATTATTTAATTGTTTTAGTTTTAAAAATATTATTTGAAAAATAATTTGGACAAGTAATGTTAGATATGTAACAAGCAATGCTATTGGTCAATTAGTGCGCAGGCGTCAGTTGGCATCATTGCACCGGCAAGGCGGCAATAGCGACAAGCGTCGGCCATTTTGCGTGTCGTTCTTGAATTGAAAGGTTGTAGTTGTATTTGTCAAGAAATGTTTTAGTTAATTATAGTTGAATATAAGTGCAAGAATAATAAATAATGATTCCTTGTTAAACTAGTTAATCCATTACGAGTTTCTCCATGAAAGATCTTTAAGAATATTCCAGAACTTTTAAGGTGGACAAGGTAAACATTTTTGATTTTCACTTTTAGGTTAGGAACGCTAAATTTCATTTCATTTAAATGTCTTTTAATTATTTCATACATTTTATGAAAAGTTCAGTACAACATTTTTTATAGAAATTGTTATATATTTATCGATATTTAATGTATAAAATACTCCCAAAGTCAAATTAATTAAAGAAATATTGTTTATTTTTTTTAATGATTGCATAATATATATATATATATATATATGTATCATCATAAAGCACATGAACACAATAGTAAATTAATAAAAATTTGTCGTTAATTTTTTATGCATATATAATAAGGTAACATAAATAAACATAAAAAATCACTGAGTATTGCTATAATTTATTAAGGTTGTTAATTATTATTATTAATTTAATTTTGATTTTAAATAGGTAATTAACTATTTAAATTTATATAATTGTTTATTTTTATTTATATTTAATATTATTTTTTTAATATATTAATTATTTTATTTCAATATAAAATAAATAATAAATAAAATTTGCTTTTATTAAAATTTTGAATTTAAATATTTTTTTCAACTGTCATGAATCGTTTTCATGAAAACTAGCCTTTAAATTTTGGAAAGTCTAGTAACATTTTTGGTAATTTTAATATTTTCAGTGTTTCCCAAGGGCGGCGTCGCTTTATTTTATAATCAAATGTTGGCAACAATGAACATAACGAACGCGGTTTCATCGTTGTAGTTGAGCCAGTGATTTCTAATTTTCCTCACATGTAATAATTATTCCTTCAATTATTGTGTTACTATTATAATTATGCTTTATCCAAAAAATGGACCAAAGCCTTTAGAGGCTGAGGATGGTGAAAAAATTCATGGTCCACCAACACCGCATCGTATTAAATTATCCAGTGAACAAGAAGAGACAACGACACGTTCGAAACAAGTGATACCCGAGAAGAAAAAGAAGACAACAACTGGTTGTGCTTTAAGTCCAGTGCAATTTTCAGAAGAAAAAAAACAAAAACCAGTTACTAGAAAACGTCGAAAACAAAATACAACTAATACCACTACAACTACAACAATAATAAAAAAAGTTTCTGCTGATACAAATCACAAGCTCACTGAATATTATACAGTTCGACGAAGTGTTCGAAAATGTAAAACAACTGTTCTGGAGGAGAAACAACGAGACCTTGAGAGTAAAATAATTTCCGGTTGTGAAGATGGCTTAGAGGTGAGTAGAAAAAAATGCAAATTTTTCTGTATTAGATATTTTGAATATGTTTATGTAAATATTTTTGTTTCTTCAATTTTTTCTTGTGAGATTCAAAATAATTTTTTTTTTTTCAATTTAATGACATGGCGGCAAACTTTGAAAAGCCGTTATGTTTTCGAAATACGAGATTAATTGTTAAAAGATAAGACATATCTTATCAAATGACCGAAATTGCGATTATTATTATTTGAAATTCAGTTTTTTTTTAGGAGTTACATAAAAAAAATTAATATACATGATATTGTGATTTAGATTTTTACAATTTTGTTGTATTTTTTGTAAATAACTCAAATTATGATTTAAATAGTTTCAACTTGATAATATTTATCGAAATTCTATAAAGTTTTTTTCTATTTTAATTTTTCAGGTTAGGACATTCGCTGGTAAGGGTCGTGGAATTGTTACGACTCGAGAATTCACTAAAGGAGAATTTGTCGTAGAATACATTGGTGATTTAATCGATCAAGTTGCAGCAAAAAAGCGTGAAAATCAATATGCTCAAGATCAAAATACCGGATGTTACATGTATTATTTTCAACATCGTAATCAACAGTATTGGTGAGTTTATTTTCAGTTTTAAATTTTATTTATTTACTAAACGAAATTTTGATTATTTCAATGATATTTACATTATTACAATAGCAAATATCTTAACATACAAATAACATATTAATTATATAATTAATATAAATATTATATTTCTATATTTTATTTACTGATTTTTTCTTTATAATATATTAATATTTAATTTAAAGAGTATTAAAAATTTGTTTCTAAATGCAAAGTAAATAATATTTTAAAAATTATAAAATTAAATCATGAAAATTAAAAATCATATAAATTTGACAATATTTGGAAAATAATTGCAGAAAAATTTATAAAACTTTAGAAAGTTTATAAAAAAAACTTCATTCCAAAAAACTTTCTCACTACTTACTCCTGTTGTATCATTTCTTTGTTTATAATAAGATTTAATATTTATTTTCTTTGCAATTCTATTCTATTTTCTACGCAATTTTAAAATATTTTTTTTGTCACAATCTAAAAAAAATTACAAAATTATTAATTTTATTCAGAAAAAGTTTTATAATTTTATAATAATGGATCTATTTTAATTATTTAAAAATTGAAATTTTTAGCAATTCCGCAATGGGTTTAGAAAATCATAATTTTTTTTCTGTTTTATCTTGCTTATGCATTCAAGATTTTGCGTAGTGGTTTTTGTATTCTCCTGCTGCTTTTTCTTTCTTTAGCCTTTTTATTTGCTGCGTTATTTTTCCTCTGTTAATTTTCGTTCATCTGCTATTACAATTTGCCTTTTCCAATTGCTCCTCAAGTTTATCATTCAATATTTTGTTTTTTTTCAGAAGAAACCTTTTCCTTTGCTTTCTCCTCCAATTTATCGCTCCATTATGTTGTTTTTTTTTTAAATAAGGAATCTTTTCCTTTCTCCTCCAATTTATCGCCTTTTATGTGTGTTTTTTTTAAACAAGACTTAGAGACCTCTGCCATTTCTCTATTCTTTTCCTGGGTGATGTTCTCATTCTTCTCATTTTTACGCTAATTGGTGTTTAACAATTAAAAAAAAAAATTTGTTGAATACTTAAAAAATAATTCTATTTTTTTAGTGTCGACGCAACAGCAGAATCTGATAAATTGGGACGATTAGTAAATCATTCTCGTAATGGTAATTTAATAACTCGAATAGTTGAAGTGAAGTCAATTCCACATTTAGTTCTCATTGCTAAGGATGATATTGCACAGGGAGTCGAAGTAACTTATGACTATGGTGACAGGAGTAAAGAATCAATTCGCTATCATCCATGGTTGGCTTTATAACCAAAAGAAAAAAGACAACATAACACATGAGTAATTTTAAAAAAATAGGATTTCGTTTTTCTAAATAGAAAAAAATACTTAGCAAAATTAAACATACAATTCTCGTTTGAGAATTTTATTTAATATACTATCGAGAATTTTTGAAAAAAAAAAAAAAATGGAAATTTTAGTGCCACTGAAAAAAACCAGATCAATTTGCACTAGATTTCTTTTATATTGATCTGACTTTTGTGAAATTTATTAAATTATAACAGAATGAATGTCAATTCATCGCATTGAACAAATTATTATTATATTAACTTCTTAAATGGAAAAAAAGTAGTAGCAATTCATTTTTCACTTGTGAATAAAAAAAATTTGTTAATTAAAATGTTTTTTTTTTTTTGTAATGTAGTTTTCCTTCTCAAACTTGGATAATTGAAAATTTAAAAAAAGATAATTAAAATTAATTTAATTATAAGAATTTTTCTTGTAATGATGTAAATTTTATTTTTGATTAATGGCTGATGTTAATTTGTACTTGATTAAAATAATAATGAAAAATGAATTGCTCTTAAGTAATTATCAATTTAAAGTTTATTAATATCAAAAGATTAATACAATTTTCATAATGATGATCCAAAGAAATTGATAGTGTAGTTTTTCCATTGCTCGAAAGTTTGTTTTAATATATAAAATATATATGTATAAGTAAAAACAAAATATTAAGATATTTTAGATGCAATATTTGCTTAAGTGACGCTGAGTGATTTTTTTTAAATTATATAAAATCGCGTTTAATGCATTTTCGTGCTTACAATTGAAGAAGGAATTAGACAAACAAAAAAAAAATATATATATATATAAATTTAAGAAAAATATTTTTGGCTCTTTTTAAAATCGAAATTTAAAAGGAATAAGTATTGAAAATAAAGAGCAAATTAATATTTTTGATTAGAAGTTTTTTCACTATTGTATGAAAGTAATTATTAATTATAACATTCTGTGTCTAAATCTAATTTCAGATTTAAGCCTCATTCTCCTTACTTAAAATTTTACTTTACTTTACTTTCGGTATGTAATCTGATAGGGTTATATAAAATTTGCATAATTTCCTTAAAAAAGAAAAAAAAACTCAAACACGTATCCTGGCAGGATCATCAATTTTGTGACGGGTTTTTTTTTTCTTAACAATTTAACTTTAATTAATAAAAATTTAATATTCTTCGCGTTGTTTGATGAGAAATATTATCTTCAACCGATCATTATGTTCATTAATTCTAATTAATTATTATTAATAATAATTAATACTCATAATAATATTCAAATATCAAAGATGGATTTATTGAATTCTTCAAGTCAGTTAATGTAGTAAAAGATTACTAAATTTTATTTTATTTTTTAAACTGAATGGGAGAAATTGAAAAATTCATTTTCGATAAATAAAAGTTCCAAGTTGTCAACTCAATTTTAACATTCATTAATAACAATTAATCATTATTATCCCTAATAATGATTAATACTAATAATAATAATAATAATAATAATAATAATACAATATCGAAGATGGATTTATCGATTTTTTCTATTAAGTAATTCTGTATTTTTCTTAATTTCTGAATGTGAGAAATCGATAAATTCATCTTCGATTAATAAAGTTTCGAGTTTTAAACTCAATTTTCATGACTATAATCATTATTATTAATTATTAATTAATAAATATAATAACAATAATAATAAAAAAATATCGAAGAAATTGATGTGATTTTCGATAATATTTTATATATTATATATATTTGTCTAAATTCTTCTTCAAAGTTAATTGTTTAACTTTACGAAAGTGTGCATGAATGAATCTAGAAATAAGAAAAAAAAATGATAAAAGTAAATTTGAAGTATCGTTTATTCTTCTCTTCTTCTTGAATAGAAGAAATTAAAAAAAATTTCTTATTCATTTTAAGATGAAATTCTTTATTTAATTTGAAATTGTTTCAAATTGAAATTGTTTTCTATTTAAATTAAAATGATTTCGAATTAAATAAAAATATTAAAGTTTTCGTTTTAAGGGACCACCTACTTTCAAAGCACGAAAATTGTATAATAATATAATTTTTATATATATATAATATAATATATAATCTAAATTATCTGTATAATTTTTTTGCTGATATAGTTCAGAATTAAGTGCTTTGAATAAGGGTTATCTCTTGTAAAATAAATGAAATATTTTTTCTACTAAAAAAAATAAAAACGAAATGTGTGATTTTTAGTATTATATTTAATTTTGTGAGTGTACTCTTTTCGTTTTGTATAATTCTCTTTTTCAAAAAAAGAGAATGTTGTGAATAGTTTGGTTTTTTTTTCTTTTAATAGAGGCTTGACTGAATTTTATAATAATTAATAATCCCACTCACTGCCTTGTCAATTTTTTTTTGACAATTTATTATTTACACGTCTATTTAACAGAATATGTATTTTAAGAAAATATTTCGAGAGAATATTATTAATGTATACAAAGTTTTGCACCCAGTGATTCGAGTTTGAGGGAATTTTTATGAAAATTAATTCAATATTGTTTTAATATAATTGTTGACTATATTTTTAATTTTCATTCTCACGAATCGAATAGTACTGATTGCATCGAATTTTATTTTATTTTATTACGAATTATGAATATCGATTTATGTCAATCGATTTATTGGTCAATTTTATATTCATGATGATTTCGAGTGGTTTATGAGAAATGCTTTATAATTATGAGACGCTTAATTGTTGTTGATTTTTTTTTAAATACTCTATAAGATAAATGTATTTGTGATCCGTCACCTAGAGAAGTTAAAAAAAATTGTTTAATCATTGTAACATAATATTTGAACTATAATTAAAAAAAAGCCGAATTCAATTTGTTTAAAAAACTTTCTCTTAATTTTAATAAAATTAACACTAAAGGAAAGTGACGATAACTGATACATTTATCTTCGCCTTAACTTCAGACGTTTTTTTTTAATTTTCGAAAAAGTGTTGGGAGAAACTAAACGTTTATCTTCATATTATTATTAAACTGTTAATAAAAGTGCTCTCTTCATGTAGAAATTCGTTCTTATTCAAGACTCTTCATTTATTATATTAATAATTTAGAAATGAATCGTATATGAATTACAATCAGATTTTAATTTCTAAATATCGAAAATCATATTCTTTTATCCAGGAACAAATTTTTCATTTTATTTCTCTGTTAGTTGTTGTTTCATTCATTTTTGTTAAAAGTTTTTCAAGAAGACTTTTAAAAGTCAATATACAAACGCCTCCAGTTTTGTCTATTTTAAGACCCTCTTTCAAAATTGAATCAAACTTTTCTTCTGGAAAATCTTTTAATTTTTTTATTATCGATTGAATTGTCTCCTTTGATTGTGGCTAGAAAAAAATTAAAGATACATTTATTTTTATAACCAATTTGAAATTATGCTATAATTATACTTTTACTAAATCCTCGTGAGTTAGACCAAAATTTGTAAATATAGTTGGTATTATTTCTGCCGTTGTGATTAATTGATTATATTTTAAACTATTATTTTGGTTCCATTTTACTGTACTTTCTAAAAAAAAAACAATTTAATCTTACATTTTTAGATCACGATAAATAATTGTGAAATTAAAATTTGTTTATTATAATTAACTAGTTTGTTAATGAATAATATTAATTAGTTAATAATTCAGTTATTTAATAACTATTGTTTTTTAATGAATTAATTTTAATTAATTAATTATTAAGTAAATAAATTCATTATTAATTAAATTAATATTATTTATTAAAAATAATATAAATATTTAAAAAGTTATTAATTATTGTGAAAGATTTTTTATTAAAAAATTCTTACGTAAATTTTTTTCAGGAAAATTTCCAATTGTTTTATTATAAGTTGTTAAATAATTATTTAAATCTTCTTCTGTGAATAAAATAATAATTAACGGCATAATAATAAGATTAAATCCTGAGAAGACTATTTTTATTTTTTTTAATTATTATTTCTATTTATATATATTATATAATTTATATTTTAAAATGATAATTGTTTTTAAATTGTTACCTTCTAATTTGGGAATTTCCGGAAAGTTACAATTCCAATTAAATAAATTAATAGCTTCAGGGTAATTAACGTTATCTTCATGGAGATATTTTAAAATTTTTAATAATTCACAAAATAATTCCTTCTCTGGAAATATTCGAAATTTTTTTAACACATCAAATAGTATTTTAATATTCACTATTTTTGCACCGTCCTGAAAAAAATTTGTTTATGTTTTTATTTATTGTCAATTTTGAATAAAATTGGATTAAATTGTTTTTTAGAAATACTTTATCAAATTTTTGTAATTCTTCTTCAATTTTTGTGAAGGAAATTTCGTTTCGTCTTTTCAAAATAATTCTAATTTTGTTTATATTTCGAAAACATTTTGATAGGTTTTTCAATTTTTGATTTATCGATAATGATTGCTTTAAAGTTTCGGAAACCTCTAAACGATTTGGATTTGTTTGTTTTCCAAAAGTGAAGTTAATTGGTAAATGTTCGGTTTTTAGATTTCTATCATGATTTCTATTTATTAAAAATTGATTTATTTTCAAATTTTTGAACAATATTCTCAAAAAAAAAAAAAAAAAAAAAAAAAAAAAATGATCGGTTGATTAATTATTTATTTATAATTACTTGACTTTGCCAATTCGAGGCTGTAAACTTTTATAAAAATCTGCTTGAAGGCAAATGACTTTCGTTACTGGATCCGGATTAATCCATTGCAATAATTTTTTTGCTCGTAATCCTTCCCAATTACCATCACTTTTTTTTCCAAATCGTTGTAATTTATCAAATGAACACTCATGTCTTTCGCTAAGGATAAAATTAATTTATTTTTACATATTCATCATATTCAAAAATTAATCTTTATCGCATTTAAAAATATTTTATCAATTATTATTATTATTACTATAATAATTACAATATTCTAAAAAATTTTATTTTGTTTAATAAATATATATAATTTAATAGATCAGAATTTATTTTTTAAATTATATATTTTTATTTAATAACATTGCATCGTTAATTTAATTGTGTGTCGGTCATTGTACCAATTACCCAATTTTTTTGCCCCAAAAAGTGGAAATTGAAAATTTTTATTTTATTGGAAAATATATTATATATATATATATATATATATATATACCTACATAAAATTTAAGTATGCGTTTAACTTTAATAGGGAAATTAAATGTTTATTTGTTCATTAAAACTAAATGAATCTAATTTAATGTATTACTATAAATGTATCGAATGATTATTTGATTTAATTATTTTGTGTTAGAAATGTGTAACTGTATTCTCTCGTGCTCAATATCTCTTTAATTGCAGATAATTTCTATAATTAATTAAATTTTGTTTTCTTAAAAAAAAAGAACGAAAATAATTCCTTTTAACGAAACTAGCTTTTTATTGTCCAAATTATTAATATTTTATTATTCATTATTATTATTATTATTATATTATCATTATTAATTACAAATTTTAATATTAAATATTAATTTTTTAAATAGTTTTTTATTAAAAAATATTTACAGAAAAAATATTTTTATTGTATACGATTTTTAAAATTTTTTCCATTTAATAAAAAAAAACGGGTTTTTTTTCCCATAAACAATACTTAACAACGGGTTATTTGTTCTGACTGATAATAATCTCCTTGACTTTTTAAACATACATTTTGTCCATTTTTAATCCTTTTTTAGGATCCTCATTAATATCAGTAATCATTGATTTCATAATTTCCGCAAAACCGCCATCTAATTAAAATGATAATTAAAGTTCAATAATCATGGAGGAATTTACATTTTATAACTTTATTTTGCTTTTCGTTGAATTTATTTCCTTTTTTTTATAATTAAGTCAAATAAATTGTTCATTTAAAAATTTATTTTTTTAAAAAATAATTTTATTCATTTACAGTTAAAAAAAAACTGTGAATCAAACTAATTAATTAAATTAATTACAATTGTAGTTGTTAAAGCATTTTTTTAGTCAATAATTTTCTTTTATTATTTTTGTTCAATTCAAACAATTTTTTTCAAACTAAATTATATCTATAATATAAATTATATATTATATTTATAATTATAGTATTTAAATAATTATATTAAATTACATTACATATATAGTAATACATTAATAATTTGTTTTCAATTGTTTTAATCGAAACAAAATTTTTTTCTTACCAAATTGATAAGATTTTCCAAATGTAGTTTCATTAGGATCAATTCCAACCGGAAGATTGGACACTCGATATTGAGTTTTGTTCATTTCCTGATTCCAGTAACTGTTTCTGTTAGTATTTCTTAATTTAGCAATTAATAATTGAAATCGAGTGCCTTCATCTGATCGTAAACATTCTTTAACCTGTCTCATAAAGACTGAGATATTAGAATTCAAAAATTTCATAAAAATATGTTTATTAAATAGCAAATTAATTGTCAATATTCTATTATTATTATTATTATTATTATTATTTTTATTATTATTATTATTTGAAAAATTAAAGTTACACATACACCGTCTTGGTCCTTTTTGATTTTTTTTATCATTTTTTGAGGATTTTCGATCATCTGGTATATCAGTTAATTAATCTTTATATAATTTATGAAAAATTAAAAACAAATTTCTTTTTCAATTATGAATTATTTAAATTGAGTAATTTGATCTTTACATTCTCTTTGGAAATTTTTATTTTGAAATACTTTTTCAAAAAAATTAATTGAAAAAATCAAATTTTGCTTTCGCGTCATAAAACAAAGGAAAAAAAAGTGTTCGATAAAAAAAAACAATGGTGAATATCAAAATATGCTAAAATAAGGAATTACAAAAATTTTAGAATAATTAATTAAATAAATAATATTTGTTTTGTTTTAGAAAAAACATTTTTTAATTTTTTTAAAAGAATTTAAAAAAAAAAAATAATTTTCTTCACACGTTATTGATTTTTCAAAACATTTAAATCGCGTTTACTTTTCAGTTAATATCTTGAAAGTGATGCCATTAATTCTAAATACAATTCTATCTATATTACTTAACACATGTAAAATGTAATGGGAGACTAGTTTTGCAATGAAATTGAAGAAACGGAATATGTCCTAGGTAATATCATACGTAGTATCATATAAGTTGTCTGTATTGATTTTTCAACTATACAAACTCCTGAAAATAGATTTAAATTGTGTATTATTTTTTTTTGATTTATTTATTTTATTATTATAATAATTTTTATTAATTATTCTTTGAATTTTTTTAAATTAAAAATTTTTTAAATTGAATTGTTTTAAATTAAATTATAATTAAATCATATTTATAATTTTAGAAATTTTTGACAATTTGAATATTTATTAATTGCGGATATTGATTAATAACTATAATTGGCAGTTAATCAATAAATCGGCGAGACGTATAATTTTTTTTTCTTTTTTTTTTTTTTTTGCTACAGCATATTTATGGGCGGGACAGTAAAATACGAAACAGGACATCCGTTACGTTTTATACAGGCGAATGCATATTTGATATTTGATAAATAATGAAAAAGAGCCCAAGTAAATTAGTATATATATATAGAGGCAAAGCGAGATCTGACGTAGTAAAAGAAAAAAATAAAAAAAAATCATTTACATAAACTGTCCTATTGACCGCGAATCTCAATTTGTTTTCTTCATCTTTTTCTTCATCTTCTTCTTCTTCTTTAACGAGGGGGAAGATCACTTTCAATTTTGGAGGGGCCATGGTCTTTTGCATGTTACACGTAAACATGATTATGCAATCCTTTCGTTCATATATAAATAAATACACTTATATATAAATGTACTATAAGTCTGAGTGCTCACTATAAACCTCACTTTTTTATCCCAGACTGATACATTTTTTCAGATTATTATCTCAATTATCTGTCATTAATTAATTTTTTTAAAAAATATTTTGTAATCATTTTTTATCATTTTTTTTAACAAAATATTTTTCGGCAAAATAATAATAATAATAATAATAATAAATAGAAAAATTAATAATAATTTTAATATTAATGAATGTTAATTAAAATTCTTCATTTGGTTGTATGATTACTTAAGTAATAATTGGAAGATGAAATACAAATTTGATTAAATTAAATTTTATCCAAAGGAAAATCTAGTTATATGAAAATTTTCTTAAATGGAAAATTTGTTTAAATTAAAATTTGGTCTAATACAAATTTAAATAAACAAAATAATATATTTGATTTAAGGAAGCAATTTTATTTCTTTAAATATATTTAAATTTGGAGTTTAAAAAAATAATTTTTAATTTCTCAATTGAAAAAAAGAAAAATACATAGATATCTAGATCAGTTTCATTTAATCAGATATAAATCAAATACAAATTACAAAAAAATGAAAGTTTCAGTTACGCAAGTATTTGAAAATTTTCATTATACATACCTATATATAAAAGAATTTAATAATAATAAATTAAAATTTTTCTAAAAAAATAATAAAACTTTATTTAAAATTTTTTTTATATTAAAATATTTTTATATTCAAAAATGTTTTTTCCTTTTTAAATATTTAGATATTTAAAAACAAAGAATACTTTTTACAACGTTTTAAATAAACTTATATTATAAAAAATATAACTTTTTTTAAAATGTAAATTTTTGCGTAATATTTGTCGCATAAACATAAAATGGTCTTAAACGATTTTTTTTCCATCTGAAAAGTGGCAAAAAAAAATTAGTTAATGTGCTAATACCTTCGTTTATGAAAAAAAATGTTTATAACGACAAAAAAAAAACCCTTAATGTTTATAAAAAAATGCGTTTTTATTAAAATTGCAAGCATTTTCTAAGACTATTATACTTTGAAGAAAATGACTTATCCATCTTTGGTCAAGCCAATCACACACGTCGTTATAATGTAAATGAGTATAAAAATTGAACTGGTTAAAGGTACTCAGCCAAACGAGAAGGTTAAATAATTCATCTTCAAAGATCATTTTTGCGTATAATAAAAACAATGAGAATTTAACTGGCTTAACTTATAAAAATTCTATAGAATTTATGCCAATTTCCCATAAAAAGAGTTGGTAATTTATTTAAGCACGTTGCAATTTTGCTCGATTGTCTGCGCGCATAGAAAAAAAAGCAAAAGTTGTAATAAAATTAAAAGAAAAAGAAAGTTAACTTCTACTTTTCGAATTTCTCGAAAAAATTATAATTAAACAAATTAGTATCACATTATATTTAAAATAATTTTAATTAATTATTTTTATTACTTTTTTTACTTATCATTTATTTTTTTTAATTATTATATTCTTATAAATTAATAAAATTAATTATTAATTTAAAAATATTTATTAACAATAAAAATACTTAAAAGTACAAATATTAATTTTAACCAAATTTCGAATTTTATTTCCAAATTGAAATTTATTTTATTTTATTTTATTATTTTATCAATTTAATTATTTTTAATTTTCTTTTTAAAATTTTCAATTTCTCGATTCATCGATACAATTACATTAAAAAAAAATATATATATTTCCAATTAAGTTTCTATAAAGACAATAAATTTTCTACATATAATATAAAAATCAATTGAAAAAAAATTTTTTGGTCTAGATGAAATAAATAATTTTGCCTTTAGATAATAAAGAGAAAAAAAAAAATTTCAACGCAACAAATTAGACTTATTTCCCCAGTGAAAGTTAATTAGCCATTTCTTTTCTTGATTGTTGTAATTAAAGTAATTTATAATCTTTCATATAGTTCGATTATCTTGCTTTTTTATAAATTAGAGAATTAGTCGTTTATGGGGCATTCCATGTGATATTTTCATTTTAAAACAAAAAAGAAATTTTTTGACTGGGATTTTTTTTTTGAAATCTTGATGAAAACAAGAAAATATTTTTGTATTTCTTTATTTGATAAAAATTACAGAAGTTATTATTTTTTTTCAATCAGAAGCAAAGTAGTTCTGAAATGCGTTTTTTTTCTGTTCTACTAAAGGATAAAAAATTTTTGAAATTTTTTTTTAATTCAGTTTTTGATAAATAAGAAAAATTTATTTATTATTTTCATTATTAATTATGTATTAGTATGAGAGAGAAAAACAGTATTTAAAAATATTCTGCTTTTAACGACATTAAATTTTAAAAATTCATAACTTGCATAAATTTTATCAAATAAAAAAATATTATTTTTCATAAAAATTACAAAAAAAAAAGTTTGAATGAAAATCTCACACGGAATGACCCATAATGGAGAAAGAAAAAAATTAAATTTCTTATATAGGGAATCATTATTGAAAATGGCATCATCTCTTTTTCTCGTTAATATTGTGGTTTAAAATTTTATGACAATTATTTTCAATCGGATCAACAAGACGATTAACACCGTCGAGCTTATTACAACGATAATAGAGTAAAGTATAGTTGCGCCATGAAAGAAAATGATAGTCCATTCTTGGGGGTCTTTATACCCGTATAGTTATTATCTTGATCGGATTAACTTCTTTGAAAGCGTAAGACTTGCTAAAGAATAGGAATTTCCTGAAGGCAACTCTTTAAAGTCAGACAGAGTGCAATATAAACTCGCGCTAGTCTATTTCACATAACGCTCAAATTTTATTATATACAAACTTGGTATATTCATTGGTATATTCTGTCTGTACCACAGAAATGAATACAGTGAGTGTCCTCGAGAAGAAAAATTGCAACGTACTATGAAATTAAGTTTCGTTTTTATGGAAATACACGAAATTCTAGTATCTTTTAGTCATGCTAGTTACCTGCTTATTGCACGTCAATTTCACAGATGTACTTTATGTTTGTATGTATATAAATGATCTAAGGAGATGAATTTTTTAATTTTTTATATTTAACAACTCTATTAATGATTTATTAAAAACTAATTTATATTAATTAATTAATCCAAGTTTTTAATTTAAAGAAATTTTTATTTAACCGAATTTTTTATTTAACGGATTTTGCATTTAATACAATTTTTATAAATGATAATTTGTTTTTAAATTTTTCTTAATAAAGAAAAATCAGACAAATTATGGAAGGAAACACAGTTTAATCCTTTTTTATATTTAAAGAGAATTTTTTTTTATCAAAATTAAATTCTTTTATTTAATTAGAAATCCTTGTGATTCAATTAAATTTTTTTTTTTTTCAATAGCTTCCAGGACATATATGTTATGTACAGGAAAACTTAGTATGTATCTTAAAATAGGAAGTTGAAATCGCAATTTTTTTTTATCAACAATCTCCTAGGCGCGACAAAGTATAATATATAGAGAAAAGATCGAGATTTCTTTTTTCTCAATTGTGCGTCTTACGACATTAATTGATTTTTTATAGTTCACGGTGTGCGTTGATCGCCTGTTGAGAGAGGACTACTGTCCTGATGAAAGTGAGTTTTTTTTTTTTTTTTCTTTTTTTTTTCTTTCTTAAAAGCTTTGAGTGCGTATACATGTTATATTCTTGAACTGGATCATCCAGAATGTAACTCACTTATGTGTATATGAAGTAAAGTCGTCGGCAGATTGCCACAGAACCTCTCTCGCGATACGTCCATTAAACGTCTCGAATAGGCAATTCTGGATCGATCTTACGTATTCGAAGATACCGTCAACATACGAGTTTTACTTCACCTATGTTGTAGAGAGCACCATAAAAACTGGGACAAGCTAAAAACCTGGTCCCGAATTAATTATGCAAGACTCAGTTGATACCTCAAGAGGA